GGAACTAATCATCACTTGGTCAGTCCGCTCGACTGGAGAGGCCAGAGCTACGCTCACCAAGACATTCGCAATCATCTCCAACGTCCTATGTGTCGCCCCCACTTCTCCCTCCTTCGACGCGTCCTTCAGCCGCTATAACTCTTCGTCAGCACGATATCTCCCTGGGAAGATGTCACTTACTTCAAGTATTTCAGGAATAGCCGTCCATTCTCTCGCCTCGCAATGAAGCTCAACTTCTGACGTATCGATAATCCTCAGCATATCAGAGACGCTCGAGTATCGCGGGTGAGCGGTGTTGGTTGCGCCTTGCAGGGCGTTACGGCATTGTGGGATATATTCGAGAAGCTGGTCCAGCAGCAGGATCTGCATCATATGAGCTCAGGAGCAGCAGAGAGGTGTGACAGTGGCTCACTCTGTCCGGTCCGGTCGGTAAGTCCTTGCATAGAAAGACTGTTTATCATCAGCTTTGCATCTCCGACCTAGGCTCTTGACAGGGACGTACTCTTGCCGCACAAGCAAGCAAACATCGCCGACCCTCGAACGAACGGCAAATCTGGATCAGTACTCATAGGCTCTATCACTTCATAGATCGTCATAAGCTACCCGACGTCAGTACATCGGGCCTCGAATGACTTTGATAGTTGCATACCTGGGCAGAGCGGTCGAAGAGGTCCGCGAGAGACTTGGAAGAGAGACTGTGTAGACCTTGTACGGCAACGTTGAAGGCTGGTGGATGCGCGTTAGCAACGTATAGATGACAGGCAACGAAGACGTACCGCATTTGTACAGCCACGCTATACCCTTTGTCTGCCCCTGTCCAATAGCAGGATCGTCCGTAAGCAACTCGACAGCCGTTTGCAAGTATTCCAATATAGAGTCGACAACGCGCTCTCTATAACAATTCAGTCCTCCCTTCTTCGGAAGCATAAGCGCAAGGAGAACTCACTTGTCTTCCGCCTGAGCCAGCTCCAAGACAGACATCCTCACAAGACACCTTATCACCGTAATAGTCTCGATCTGCACTTCAAAGCTCATCTCGGAATCGGTCAGAACGGAGAGGAGGGCGCGCATGGAGGCGAGAAGGACCGGTTGGGCGCCTTTTTCGTTGGCGAGTGACCTGTGGTGCTGTCAGCGGGTTTGAGAGGTAAAATAGAAATCGTGGACGTGCGTCATGAGGACCAGCTGTTGGGCTTCAAAGTCCGAGCATTCTACTATCGATGATACAGCGTCGATAGCCGCTTGCCGGCGATCTACGCTCTGTCAACAACCCGGGTGCATTGACAAGAGGAAGAGGACTCGCCTTGCCGTATGGCAGCCAAAAAGGCCAGATAATGAGTCGAAGCTTCGTCTGTCGGACAACGTGCTATAAGATCATGCGCTGCGCCCCAATCGGCCGTCTTGATATGACACAGCGCTGCTTTCCTATGATTATTGTCAGAGTCTGGCTGACCTGGGTCGGTATGGAGTGCTCACCGGAGACATCTGGATGTATTCTCCCCACCGAGCTCTTTGAAGAGATCGTGCCCTGCCAGCTGGTCTGCGAAAAGCTCAGTATGATTTTAGCGCTTGTTGCAGGCTACTTACACCAGTGCGCGGATTCAGTAATTCTCTCCTTGTTCTCATTAAAGTTTGCTATATTCCAAAGCAGCTTCTCTCCCCATCAGCACCCCTTTCCCCACCCCACCTCCAAAGCAGCTAGCAAGACTTACAGTCTGACAAGCAACAACATTAACCTTATCCTCCATCCTATACTCCCCATGCTTCCTAGCGATATCCAACATCGCCACTGCCGTGCGTATACCCAAAGCTGGCGGGGAGAGGCTTTTGGCGAAGAGGAGGCCTTCATAGATGATGAGCTGGACGTGGGGGTGGCCGTCGCGGTGGGAGAGGGCTTTGCGGAGGAATGTTTGCGCGGTTGTCGAGGGGAGTGTCGGGCTGGGGGTTGAATAAGAGGGTGATGGGTTGGGGGAGAAGAGGAGGGGACGTACTAGTCGGGCACGAGAGAAGCGAGCTGGGAGAGCGTTCTACCTCGTCGATCAGCTCCGCACATGCTTTATGTGCCAGACTGACTCAATGACTTTCTCTTCCGTCCATTCTTGCATCTTCATTAAATCCTCCATCACTAAGCCCCATTCACCATCAGCCCCTATCATGATATCACTCGACACGTACCCAGCTTGACTTCATTCTCCAGCGCTTTGCTGCGTTTCAACACATGAAGCTGCAACACCCTCATCTCGCGAAGTGTGATTTGGTCCTGTGCCCTCATTTAGCCTCTGCACTTTGGTATCCATGAAAGAAGAGGGAGGGGGACGTACTTCTTCACCGACCAACTGGGCGAGTTCGTTGAGGGTTGCTGTTGCAGCTTGAAGGGATTGTGGTGTTTCTTCCGCTTGGATCATTTGCGCTCGAGCTATACAATATGTCAGCTTCGATCGACTGATCCAAGAGGAGGAGACATGATATACCAAGACTTTTGAGTATCGCAACCTTCCCCACATCAGCCTCTCCTCTCAACGATCTTCCTCAAGGCCGAAAAGGACGTACATGCAGCTCTTCCAAACGATCCACCACCAATCCCCGATTCACCATCTTTTCCACCAACATGATTCCTTGCTTCAGCCAATCGATCGATAAAGGCAAGTTGGTTTTGTTTTGGAGCATGGTGTTGCCGACTGTCCAGCATTTGGCAGCGAGTATGTGGCACTGTTGACGTATTAGCTGGAGGGGAGGAGGGGGAGGGGGAGGGGAAGGGGAAAGAGGACTCGCTTCTTGGGGCGTCATTGACCACATCTCGTCCAACGCTGTTACCCTCGGGTTAGGTACGAAGTTTGCGTGGAGTGGAGAATGGGCTCACCGATGGCTTTGAGAAAGATGTCGAAGGCGAAAGTGTCGTTCCCTTCCTTCAGAAGCTGATCCGGCTATCAGCATTGCTGATTCTAGAAACCAGCGGGTTACGAGACCACTTACAAGATCTATTCGAGCGCAATAGAACCAGACAAGAGATGACACTTGTTGCTTGATCTCTCCCGAATCTTGTGGGTCTGTTGCTGAGAGTAGAGTCTGTTCGAACTGCACGAGCATGAGAGTGATTCGCGATGAGGTGCAGAAAAGGAAAAGTGCAGGTGCTTACTTCGGCGCCTTGGACGGCTAGCTGGCTGGCTACAGCTGTCTTACCGGCGTCTACAAAACAGTCAGAGTCATAGCAAGATATGATATGAGAGGGAGAACGACGGGATGCGTACCGAGAAGAGCGCCCATAGTCTTTGCTGTAAGGCCGAGCAAGCGAACGACGACTAACGACTTATCAGCTTACCCCTACGCTAATGGGCCCAATACGCACATGCCATGGGACCTTTTGTATCTGTAGCAGCCTCCAGAATCCGGTATCCCGTCAGTCTCACTACGATCGTCAGCTATAAGGAACTATAGATGGCTTTGAAAACTTGCAAGCGGCGACGATGGCGATATCTTCCTTGCTGAGTGTGGGATTAACTGGGGTCGTACGCCCAACTTGAGACGCTAGGTTCCATAGCTGTACTCCTGCATGACATTTAGCATGTAGTATATCATGGCCAGGAAGAAGACTACCTTCCGTATCCAGCCAATCGACCTTGACCTGCTCCGCCTCCCCATTCCTATCCCCATCTTTCTTCTTTCTCGACTTTTTGTGCTTTACAAAAGCGTGCACGGCCTCTTGGACTCCGTCCAGGGCTCTGAGTAAAAGTCGAGTATTCTGGGAGGATGGGGGAGAGGTGAGGAGGGTGGTGAAATGGGGACGAGCATGTTCGAGAGACTCTAAAGGCGGCGGGCGGGATGTCAGTCGTGCTTGGGGGGTGTATCACCGCCTTTGCTCACCTCTGAGAGCGACATACGCGTCCTTGGCCATTATGCTGGAGGTGGCGATACTTTGTTGGCGATTTGTGTGATATTATAATGATGAAGAGTAAAAGACAGAGATGCAAGGTGATGGGAAAGTCGCGTCAACTCATGTCGCGGTGGTCTGTGCGCCAGTTGACATCACCTCCCACGCGACTTTGCTATGACCAGGCCATGTTGAGTGATATCTTGAGTCGCCTATGAACATCTCAAGTATATCAAAGCTGCCAGAGGTATCAAGCTTGCCCCCGAGAGCACCAGAAGCTCGGAGCACCGACCCCCGGCCTACGCCGGTCCGCCATCTGCCGTGATCACTGACGCCGAGAGGAGGACGGGGGCGTCCAGGAGACACCTTTGAGCGTTGTCCCTTCTCGTGTCCCTTCCCTAACCATCTTTCCTACCATCCCATCATCCTCACTCACCCTCTCAACCTCATCAAAAGGGACAATGGTCGCACTGGAATCGTTACTCTTATCCGACCCATCAAGAGCTTCTCGGCGAGCTGCCCCTCATCCCCTCATCTTTCGCCTGATATCTCGGGCTATCGAAGCCGTTGTCGCAGTCTTGGTCATCATTCGCATACCGCTACTAGCCATCGCCTACGTCCTTAGCACTACGCCTTTTCCGGGATGGTCATTCAACCGGCTTGTTCAATTACGCACCGAAAGGCTGCGGGGGACGCTTCTCTCTTGGGTGTTACCGACTATCTTGTTTGATGAAAAACAAAAAGAAGAATGGACCTTCTACACTGAGGAAGAGAGAGAAGGAAGGGTCAAGATTGATGCACTGGATATACCACCGGTAGACGCCAGATGGATTAGCGGCTTTGCGAGCCTCGGCGAGGTCAAAGCAGAAACTCGACCGGCGTTCTTGATCTGCCCACTCAAAGGCGAGAGAGCCCACCGCACTGATGGGAGAATCATACTTCATCTACATGGAGGGTGCGTGGCGCAGTGAAGAAGTAAAAGATTCACGCTGACGAAGGCCGGCTCAGAGGATACATCCGCGGCCATCCTCTCTGGACACCATTCCCTTACAGCATCGCCAGGGCCACCGGCCTCGATTGCCTGAGTGTGTATTCTTCTTTATCCGGGCTCTGTGTCCAAACCAAACAACCAACCATGACTGACAACCCAACTGGCATCTGCTACCGCAAATGTCTCTCCCCCTCCTCCTCCTTCCCCGCCCCTCTCTTCGACGCCCTCTCAGCCTACTTCCACCTCACCCAGGCCCTCCACTACCCTCCGTCATCCATCGTCCTCCTCGGCGAGTCCGCCGGGGGCCACCTCTCCCTCTTACTATCCCAATATCTTCACCAGCTCGGCTTGCCCCAGCCCGGTTCTATCGCCCTGTCATCACCTTGGTCCGACTGGTCCCCTTCTTATCCCTCATATGCCGAGAATGAGCGATACGATTCTGTGTGCATGCCGAGGTTACGAGGTGCTGTCTTGTCCGCTACCCGGTACTTTGAGCGAGAGGCGTTAAAAAGCCCGTGGTTTTCTCCCAGCAAAGCGTCTCCAGGACATTGGACGTATTTGCAAGAAGAAGGGGTGGGTGTGTATTTGCAGTATGGCGGGAGAGAGGCGATGCGGGATGAAATTGCTGTCTTGGGGGAGATTATGAAGAGAGATGGGGTGAGGGTGAGGGTACGAGAGGTAGGTTTCTTGCTAATAAGAGAGATCGAAGGGGTGCAAGGGGGCGGCGGGCTGACTGGAATCCTGAACTTTTAGGATGTGAACGGAGTCCATACTAGCGCTCTGACAAATGGAGGGGCGAGGAAGATGTTTGAGAAGGATTTGGTGGAGATGTTGAGCGATGGGGATGGTGCGGAGGATAGGGCATGATCCTTCTTCTCTCCTCGTATCGGCCTTCTCTCCTTCTGTCCGCGCTGGACGCCGAACGAGCAAGGACGTTGACACTCGCTCGAAGCTTTGGTGTCCGAATGTAGGAATGGCCACCCTTGGTCCTGTGCCAACCAGCCATCACACTCATCAGTCGCAATCGCGTTGTGCAGTACATCTTTGTTTTAACGCCTGCGCCCCGCCCCCCGCGGCCTAGTGCCTTCGGCTTTTCGGAGAACCAATCATCACCAATACCAGTCTGCCCTCCCCTCTGCCCCTCGCTGATGCTGAGCTTGCTGGGGTCACCGACGCCACTCCCGCTCTCTTTCGGTCCCATCCCTGGCCCTCCCTGGCACAAACAAAAGCAACCGCCGGCACTCCCGTCATAAATCGGCATCTCCGCGCTATCCGCGGCACCAAAATTACCCACTTTGGAGATTTTGCTCGTTCAGTTGCCGACAATACCCTTTCGTAGCCGACACCGCTACCGAATGTAACCTCGTGCGCCCGACGTTTTCTAATCGCCGCTCATCGAATCCAAATCTGACGCTCTATTATCTGGCCCCAGCCACGTCTCCACTAATGCCCCGCGGGGATCTGGTTATGGGATGATTAAGCTTTCCCGGGGTGCGGCTGGGGCAGAGCGGGGCAATTCATCCTTTTAAGGTGGACTGGCATCGGCCCGAATTATTTGGTTTTTCAATGCGGGTCATTATGAGGTCGATGATGATATATATAGAGACCAGCCGGGAGTGGCTCTTCTTTCCCTCTCACCTTCTCCACGCTCCACTTCGCGAATACCCAGCAACCCGCAAGAGGTCGTCAATATGTCGACGGCTCACCAAGGAGAACTCAAGCCAACTGAGAGCATCATCAGCCATGTTCAGAAGCCCCACGATGTCGAAGCTGCCCGCGAGCACGATGAGCGCCGGAAGACTATTGAGAAAAGTCTTGTCAGGAAGCTCGATTTGAGATGTTCCCTGTTCATCCTGCTGTACATCATGAGTGAGTCAATCCTTCTTGTTGGCCAAAGCTCGAGTCTAGAGGAGTGCTGACGGCGAGCACAGACTACCTTGACCGAAACAATATCTCTGCTGCTCGTCTGAAGGGTCTTCAGACGGACTTGAATCTTACCGACACCGAGTACTCCACATGCCTGTCTATCGTGAGTCTCGTGATCATCAGCTTTTCTCGATTGCACACTTTCGCGCGGTGGTCGGCTGTGGAAGGCATTTGCCGCCCGCGAGTACGACGCGTCCGTCCTGGTTCTCATTGAGTGCCTGTGCCCATCAGTCGCCCATGTGCTCTTTCTGTGGCTCGCGAAGGCTGGCTAGAGGCTGACAAATACGCGTTCCTAGCTCTATGTCGGCTACATTCTCATGCAAATCCCGAGTAACATGATTATCAACAAGATCTCCCGACCGAGTTGGTACATTGGTTCTGCCGTAAGTGTCCCTACGTTCTCGTCCCCTGGCGCATAACTGACAGAAGGGCAGATGCTTCTCTGGGGGATGATCTCGACATGCTCCGGAGTCACCAAATCCTTCGGTGGTCTTGTCGCTACTCGATTCATGCTCGGCTTCGTCGAGGCCGCCTTCCTTCCCGGTGCTCTCCTCATCCTCTCCAAAGTACGTCATCCCCTCTCAATTGGTTCGCAAACGCTGATAGTCAACAGTGGTACACTCGCCGAGAGCTCACTCTTCGAAACGCCATCCTCTTCGGCGGTAACCTCATCTCCAACGCTTTCGCCTCACTGGTCGCTGCGGGTGTGCTGAGTAACATGGAGGGAACGTTGGGGCATGCGGCTTGGAGGTGGATGTTCTTCAGTACCTCTTCCTATTTCTTGGTCAAAACCCAGCTCACCATTCTTGTAGTCGAAGGCGCCGCCACCATGTTCTTTGCCCTCCTCTGTCCCCTCATCCTCCCCGATCTCCCCACCAACACTCGCGGTTTCACCTCTGAAGAGCTCGAAGTCGCCCAACTCCGTCTTCTCGAGGATGTGGGAGAGGCCGACCAGGATTCCGAGTCGGATGGTGTCTTTACGGGTTTGATGATGGCGGTCAAGGACGCCAAGATCTATATCATGATGCTGACTTTGACGGCGTACGTCATTGGATTGTCTTTCAACGCGTTCTTCCCCACTTTGACTGGGACGCTTGGGTTTGGATATGTTCCTACCCTCCTCATGTCTGCGCCTCCTTGGGTCTTTGCTACCCTTGTCTCGTTCGCCGTCTCGTGGCACGCCGACCGAACGCAAGAGAAGGTGAGCTCTTTTCTCCCGACTCTTCTCGCCAGTTATCGAAACTGACATGATCGGTAGTTCTGGCACATCGTTATCCCAATCCTCTTTGGCCTTGTCGGTTTCATCATCTCCATGGCTACACTCAACACTGCTGGAAGATATGTCGCCCTCTTCCTCCAAGCTCAGTCTTATGCTGGCTTCATCGTCTTGTAAGTATCGCCCCCGCTTCCTGGTACACATATTGACGATATACCAGCTACTCTTGGATCTCTTCTTCCTTCCCCCGTCCTCCCGCCAAACGTGCCGTCGCAATCGCCATGGTCAACGCCTTTTCCCAGCTCGGAAACATCGCCGGATCTTACGTCTGGGGTCTCAAAGAGAACGGCTACCGAAAGTCTTACGGTATTGTTGTGGCGATGTTTGGTATCACCATCGTCGGATGCGTTGTCTTCAAGACCATCTTGGTCAGGCTCAACAAGCAGTTGGAGGCTGGCGATGCGGCTTGGGAGGCTAGGGAGGATGTTGTGGACAAGGGACAGAAGCTGGAGCACTTCGAGCAGAAGGACGAGGCGTTGAAGATGAGGAAGGGGTTCAGGTACCTTGTTTGATCTCAGACGTGTAGTAGCTTAGGGGGTAATTGGTGTAGGATAGCTCATTTGGACATTTTGGTCTTTCGTGTAACACTTTTTACAAATGCATAATGATTACAGTACTCGAGTACAACACTTTCGGGCTCACGACAAGGGCCATTTATTATGCTTTATCCGATGGGGGACCTCCTCTAGCACAATGCCCATGGTACCACACCTTGTACGTGATTGACTCGCACAGCCCACTCTTCCGCTCTGATACAGCATCATCCATTTTGTCACCAATAGGTTCGCGGCATGCCTTGCGTCGACAGCGAGGAGGAAGTAAGCCACAAAAACCGGAGTAGTTGCCGGTGCGGTTGCGGAAGATCAGGAAAAGGCCGCTGAGGACGAGGAGGGAGATGACAACGACAATGGCATCTGGTGTTGCATATGTGGTGAGCGCAAGGTGAAGATACAGAAAGCCAACACTTACAGAAAGCGCCACTGCTAGTGAAAGAAGTAACAGAGTCTGTGCTTTGTTCGGTAGAGGAGCTCATTATGATGTTGAATAAAACGTTGCGCGATTTTGTCTCTTCACAGGTGCGTAGTATAGCCAGACTGGTGTCAGTATATGGCACAGATGGTACATACTCAGTCTTTATATACTTCAATCTCTCTCTAGCTTGCGTTACATGCGTTCCCGTGATAGACAAAGGTCACTTCACGGCACCACTGCCCGAGCAAGGGACTTGAATAGAAAGGAGGTGGTATGGGACAGCCCGTAAAGACGGCGCCTGTCCCCTACTGAGACTTTCATATTTCTGAACTTTATCGCGTGTAGAAAACTAGGCCGACAAGGTGGACGATTGATAGATACATGTCGATATACAACTGTCTACTGCAGGGCTATATGCACGACTCCTTGTGTGCTCATCCACTACCCTTTCACGTCCATCTTATCTGTTACACCGTCCTTTCATATTCTCAGCTGTTACACTGCCGGCTGCTTCAAACATGTCACAGTGCCCTCTTTGTGCTTGTACATCACCCTGCCCAGTAGTCCAGTCGCGCCTAATTTCTCAACCGTCTCGTCTGAAGTTGCTACGGAGGCGCCGCAGACGCAGCACCGCCGCTTTGAGAAGAAAAACCCTGTAGGCCATTGGTAGCGACGCCATAGGAAAAGGATGATGAGAGTGATGAGGGCTAGAAGAGCAAGGACTGCAAGTGGGGCGCAGTTAGCAGAAAAGCTTTTCCACCTGTCCTCCAATACATCACCATAATTTGATCAGCGTCTCTGATGACTTACAGACAAGCATGATGCCACCAAGTCTTGCAGGGAGAATATATATTGAACAGTATTGTAATTGATATGCTGTCTTGGGCCAGCCTCTCACAACGACGTGTGGGCCTTTTCAAAGTTTTGAGACAAAGGCTTCAAGGCTATGAAAGGAGATGAAAGACGAACTGCGACATGCGTATACATGCTTGAAACTGCATACTGTTGGATGCTGGATTTAGCATCAGACTAAAAGAGGCTGTGACGTCTTCTTCAAAATCATACTGCATCAGCAGATACTCGATAGAGTTGTATCATGTCTATCCTACCGGTCTCACAAGAATATCAAATTGACAATGGGAGTGCTCATACCCCCGTCCACCACCTTTTGTTCCAAAACGACCCATCCCCTCCCTGTATCCCGCACAGTTTTCGCCAGTCTTTCATCCCTGCCGACTCTTCTTTCTTCTCTTTCGCCTTGGGCTCGTTCTGGGGAAGTAATGGATTTTGCGATGTGCTAGGAACTACCGAAGTTGTAGAGGTAGTCCAGTTTGACGTTGCTGAACTGCGATGAAGGTGGTATTGTTTCTGAAACATGGAAGCGAAGCCTTCGATGGTCAACACGATATCGTTCCAATCTGTCATCTTGCCGGGTCCTACAGCCGCGTCAGTGTTTTGCACATCATCAAGTCCGCGATCATACATACCATCATCTCCACAAGCCAGCCTTCCAGCCCCCTGCGGCCCCGAAACCAGATAGCCTAGCTCTTGCGTCACGGTGGAGAGATGTTTGGCGGTGAAGGGATGTTGGTACATGTGGGTGTTCATGGCTGGACACAGTATGACAGGAGTGGAGGGGGAGAGGGCACGGAGCAGTGATGTCTGTTGACAGGTCAGCTGAAGGTTCAAGGGGTGGATAAAGAGCGACGCACGGCAAGGTTATCGCATATACCACCTGCGATCTTTGCCAGCATGTCTGCCGAGCAAGGCGCGATAACGACCAAATCCGCCCAGCGCCTCAGCTTGACGATTGCGATGTGCATTAGGAAAGATCTCTACACCAGACGCAGCCCTGAACTCACCTCAATATGCAATATTGGCTCTCCGACCTTTTTCCAATCCGCCCATTCATCCTCATCAGTCCAGACTCTCACGCCGATATCTGGCGACGATTCGGATGGGGGTACCGATAGTGAGCTACAGATGGAAGAGTCGATGTCGGTCTGAGAATAGAAGTGAGTGGATGCTTTGGTGGCGACGATCTGGAGGGCGATGTTCTTGTTCTGAAAGTGATGAGTCAGCAGTCTGTCCCCTTCATCCTATGTCAGCTGCCTAAACGCACCTTGAGAAGGGCTCCAGCAATATCCGGTACCTTGATGCTGGCCACACTGCCGCTACTGATCAAGACGACCCTGAAGATACCGTCGGGTGCATTGTCGGCTGGACGATGATTGGCTGAAACGAAGGGGCGTGGTGATTTGTGTTGGTATGGCGAGGAAGTCGAAGGCGGCATGTCTGTGGGCTCAATGATATCGTTATCAGAGGGGTTATATAGAGGAGAAGATGTTGCGAGATGTAATGAAAGAGTAAGAATCGTTGTCGTAAGAACCAAACAACAAACGCGAAGAGCTGAAATTCGTTGCTGGCGGCGATGCCCACCTCCAACATCATCAGTTGAATTCTGGTTGAGGCGATCCAGTGGGCGGCGTGGCAGTCGAAATCGATGATTTAGTGTAGACCATTCAAAAGCTACAGTGATCAGATATACATGGAGGGAGACCGAGAATGGTGGGAGTCTGGGAAAAAAGCGATTGTAGCGGGAGAAGGAGATCACTGAAGATATAGAAACAAGAGGTAGTACGGAATCAAGAGCCCAAGTAGGTTACGTGTACTGTCTACTGTGTCTATCGTGAAAATCGTAATCGTCCTTGAAAATTCTAGCAAGTACACAACTCTATCATAGAACGCATCCGAGAATATAAGGTCCGTGATATTAGAAGCTGACTAACGATCAGGCCCGAAAGCGGATGGGTCTGTGCCAGAGCAGAGCTTGTCAATCATGTCAGCTTGTGTATCGTAAGCTTTCTCAAGATTTCACTCACATCAGACCAAGAAGAGGGCAGATCCATCGCGCGAATGGCATCAGGCTGAACGACAACAGCAGCCATCTATTCTCCATCAGTGCCGATGCGCGACGAAGGAGGGGTGGAACTCACCTTTCCAACAGCAAGATGCCAGTCGATATGGCAGTGTAAAGGCCAAACGCCTGGGTTATCCGACATGATCCTAATAAGCGCCCACGAGTTGCTCTCAATCCAAACGACATCCTTCCTCAATGGGTTGTCCAATGAGAGGGTGAGGGCATCGACACCAGCTGCGGACATAATACCGCTACCACGGGCAAGGAGCTGGAAAGCGTTCCCGTGCAGATGGTATGGGTGGGCGATACCAGTGTCGAGGTTGTTGAGGACGATGTTGGCAGCGCCGTTGTCTTCGAATGTGATGCTGGGGATCAGACTGCTGTTCATGGTGTCGCCGTTGTGCACGACGGAGAGGAGAGGGTTGTAGATCTGGTTTTGGTACGCGGTATTGTTGAATGCCTAGATCCGAATCAGCGTAAGGTCGCGCTCAAAGTCAAGTGGACTGACGAATCCGGCAAAGGACTGACGAATCCGGCAAAGGTATTATTGTTGACATCGACAAAGGCGCCGACCTGACTGGACAGGACTTGGGTCGACAGAGCGGTGCTAGCAGCAGTTTGAGCTTGTCGAGGGCTGGAATCATGGATATGGTCAGTTGTCGTATTGATTGCGGGAAAAATAAACATACGTAAGGGTATAAGCTGCATCGAGAGGTGTGCATTCATCGGTGCTCGTAGCGAGGTCACTCCTGACATCAAGGCATCAGCACAAGTCTCCCAGGCAACACGGCGTATTCGTTGACTTACCAAGCGCTCGAAGTTGGCTCAGAAGTCGTCAAATTCCCACTGCTACCGGTGTACCTCAGGATCGCCTTCCCGACTTGGTCGTTCGTCAATCCGCAGAAGACAGCAGATGTAGCCCTGATCCAGAACGCATCTCCTTCAGCGCCTTGAGTAGTGTTTATGAGCACCGAGAACCTCTCCGCAGGCGCGATGGCGACTTCGTGACAAGAAGGCGAGGCAGGGAAATCGTGGCTAGTGACTTACGACTTGATTACGGCACCGTAGGCTGAGGATACTCCCCCAAGCAGGGTCATCAGTGAAAGAAAGTGAGGTCGCATGGTAGCGGACGTTGGCTTGTAGCAACAGAAGGTGTGCACTGTGGATAGGGTCAGCAAGGAGGCGAGCCAAGCTGATCGCATAACGCAAAGCAAAAGACTTACCAATATGACCGTCGGGGAATAGCAACACAAATCTAGATTAGACAGGAGGTGGAAGAGAAAAACGTTGTGGAAGAGGGCGAAGAGAGAGGGTGAAAGGTCGAGGAGATTACTTGTGAGCAAGACAAGTAGAGATGACGAGAAGGTGAAAAGACTGGAGAGTCAAGGTCGATGGGGGAAATGCCTCACATCTTTCCTGGTCGTCTCTTATACATCAGAAAGACCGAGGATATGCCTCAGCATGGCTGATCCTTCTGAAAAGCTATGTATACTGGCCATTGTCCGAGAGTCTTTGGTAGCATCGCATGTACACAGAACCAAAAGGTCGGACGCGAGAGGTCCTTTAGGAGGCTTGGCCCGAGGAGAAGTATCGTGCTCAGATCATCGAATAATGGAAAGCAACATGTCGTCGTTGCTGGCGATGGCCAGCTCATATGCTTTGTAGGTATGTAGCAGATATCTTTACGTATGAGGAGAGCAAGTACCCATTCCAACTGTAAATGAGGACAATGACAACTCAAAAATTCACGATGCAAAGGACCCTCGGCGATCCGACGACAGCATGTTGAGTGAGTCACTGTCCCGGTGCCGTTGAATGACCGATGACCTATGGCCGGCTGTTTATGCGCGCCATGTGCAGCGGTGCAGCAGTGCCTGATGTATGCAGCTGGTCATGCATATGCACATACATACATCACTGCGCATATCATTGCAGTAGCAATGGTCGGTGGTCGGTGGTCGGTCAACGTACAAATGCTGCAGTGGGGGGCAGATGGTTCCTGGACGGCACATTGTTTACATCCATCGCTGCGAGAAAAATCATGCTGCTACAAAGAAACCATTTCAAGCATACCCCTCTTTCCTCCCCTTCCTATCACATTCATCACACCAATACACTTTCGCCCTGCAGCACCACAGCTTATGCAGCCCATAGTCGCCCTTACTCTCACTCGTGCTCGCGAGCTTGGTCTGGCATTCCCGGCAGTGCGGGGTCATGGACCAGACTGTCATGCGGCCGCGTTTGTGGTATTTGCGGAGGAGGCCGAAGGTGAGGCCTGAGGTGAGGATGAGGATGGTGGCGATGACGATTATCCCTGGGAGGATGTTAGCTGGGTGGTGTGGGGTGGAGATGGGAGCCGAGAGGTTGTGGGGTGGTGAGCTTACTCACAAGCATACTTGTCCACAAAGCTCGCGTCATCCCCCAGATCGCTCGTATCGCTAGTAGCAGTTGTCTCAGACATCCTGTTGCTGGGCCAATATCAATAGGTACAAAATGAAAAGTGTACACAGTACAGCCAAAAGTCTGCAGTACAAGTACAGAAACCGTCTACGAGATGAGCCTTTATATACATACACTCGACGTTGTGATACGGGAGATGTATGGCATTTTCCATTTACGAACGCAGCTGAAGGTCTTAAAGGAGGGCCTACCGCGCGAGTACAAGATCTTTTGACCTGTACACAGGTCCCAGGGGCGGCCCGGCTCAAAGGATGGGGAACGTCGCAGTGTGCACTCTATCAGTTTACAACTCTTCAGTTTACGACTCTTTCAGTTTACGTCGCACATCCATGCAAGCGTATCTCTTATCAGTCCTCATACTAGAACCCATCGGATCATCTCCACGCATGCATGAAGAATCACAAGGTCCTACTCCCAAAGAAACCAAAAAACACAGAAAATGAGGACTATATGACAACGATATCGGCAATACTCAACTGTTATTGTAAACCAAAAACCAAGCTATCTGTCTTTTCTCTTCTCTTCTCTCTCCCACACCTTCCGCCGAGTCAAAGAACGCTACGTATATATATATAAGGATCTATCGAGATATTTGTAATAACCTCTTGTAAAACATAGTCCATCTCCCCACTGCCCCCTTCTTCATTCCTTCACTCTCGTCGGAGGTATCATGACCTAACGCGACCCCTCCCCTCCCACTACCCCTTGTTCCCCTCCCCCTCCTCCCCCTCTGGAGCCACCACCACCACCAGTATAACTCGCCTGAGACTGCGACTGCGCCCGCGATTGCGACTGCGACTGCAAGCCCATCTTATTGGGAAAGCTGAACCCGCGGAACAGCTCCCCATAAGGGTCGGCGACCATATCGTACGGCTGGCCGAATACGCCTGGGAGGTCTTGCGGTCGTGGCGGGGGGTAGCGTTGGAAATTTTGCGAGTCGCCTGATCACCACATTAGTCAATTATAAACGAGGAGAGAAGAGAGAGAGGAGAGGGAGAGAGGAGAGAGAGAGGAGGGAGAGAGAGAGAGAGAGAGAGAGAGGGGACGTACCCATAGAAACTACTCGCGGCACAATCGGCGCCCCAATCCCCCTCCCCTCCAAACTCGCCCAATCCACCCCCGAAAACCACGCATGCCCCATAACATCCCTCGCCCCCCCTCTCAGATTCCCCAGCCTCTTGCTCCTATCCGCCGTCAACAGCCCTCTAATCAGATCCTTTGCATAGGGGTCGATGTGGGAGGGAAAAGCGATGTGGGAGGACAGGATCTTTTCATAGATGCCGAGGGGGTGGTCGTCGAAGAAGGGCGGGTAGCCGGCGAGCATCTCGAATGCGAGGATACCCAAGGCCCACCAGTCGACGGCTTTGCCGTGTCCCTGGGAAAGCACGATTTCAGGCGCGAGGTACTCGGGGGTGCCGCAGAGTGTGAATGTACGGTCCTGGACGACTTTGGCGAAACCAAAGTCTGCGATACGGAGGTAGCCGTGCCGGTCGAGGAGCAGGTTTTCGGGTTTGAGGTCGCGGTAGATGATGTTTTTCGAGTGGAGATAGTCGATGGCGAGCACGATGGATGCGAGGTAGAAGCGGGTCACGTCTGCTGAGAACCTGCCCGCTCTTCTCAAGTGGGAGAAGAGCTCGCCGCCGGGGATGTATGAGAGCAGCATGTAGACGTTGAGCTGGTCTTGGTACGTCGCGTGGAGCTCGACGATGAAAGGGTGGCGCACGCGCTCGAGGATGTTGCGTTCAGAGTTGATGTGCTCGACCTGCTTCAGCCGGACAATCTCGGATTTGCGGAGGACTTTCATGGCAAAGTGGGGCAGTTGGGCGTCGCTGTGCTGTGTGGCGGCGGGCGACGGCGCAAGGGGGTCGTGCGATTGGTAGAGATGGGGGAAGATGGGGTGGTACGCTGTCGGTCTGTAGCTCGGTCTTTGCCTGACGAGCAGGACCCTCCCGAACGTGCCCGTCCCGAGTGTCTCGACAATCTCCCAATCTTGCAATTTCGCCTTGCTCGTCGGCGGGGGGAGGGTATAGTACTGGCTCTGGCCCCATTGACTCTCGGCTTGCCCGGGGTGGGAATGTGAGGGCCGGGGAACTGCTATTGTGGGCGCGGGGTTAGGGTGAGAGAAGGAGGAGGATGTGAGGACGTCTTCCATGGCGTTCCAGGTTTGTTGTTCTTCCCAGGTTGCTGGGGGCGTGGAGGCGTGTGAGGCGGGAGGGGAGAGGGGGAGTTGTTGTGGGGGATTCGGTGGTGGTGCGTTTGCTACAGTCCCGTCAGGTCACTGAAGCATACAAGAGACGAGGATACTGACCCGCTTCTCGACTTGCTCCAGCCTGCAAACCCGTCCTCCCGGCCCCCGCCGGCGAGACATGCCCCGAATGAAGCTTCTGCACCCCCAAATACGCTCCCTGCCCCTGCCCCTGACTGTGATTCCCATGAGACGCCAGAGGCCGAGTCGGCGCAATCGCACCAGGCGGCGACGGCTTGGGCCGTTCATGCGGCAGAAGCAACGACATCGGATCGAGTTTGAACTTTTTCGGCTTGTTCGCTGACAAACCCTCCTGCCCATCCTTCGTCCCTCCCGCGCTCGAACCGCCCAAAGCATCTCCCGCCAAAGCATCTCCCGCTGCCACCGGTACATGCGAAGCACCCCTCTCGGGCGCGGGATTGCCCGGCGTAGGGGTGATGGAGGAGGAATGTGTCTCCCTCGCGGGGGGAGGATTATCGGTGTCGAGATCCATGGAGGATGATTTCCGGCGGGCAGGGACGAGGGACGTGATTTTGGAAGCGTGCAGCCACCCGGGGGGGGGGTGATGGGAGGTGGTGGGTGGGGCGGTGACAGATAGACAGGCGGGCGATGTCGAGCGCTACTGATTGCTGATACGTGGGGTGTCTTTTGACCCGTTCCAGGGGCGAGTGCAAGGCGAGGACGGGGGCGGGGTATCGCGGGGTATAGTATAGGGAGTGGGAATAGAAGATGCAAGAGGAGAGTGTTTATTTTCAAGTTGTGCGACTCTGATGGGCCCGGTGTGCCTGGCGGGGGGGCTAATGTTCCTGCCTCGATCGTATTCAATTACAGAACGCTTTGGTAATCGTGACGCACATCTCGAGAGAACGACGACCATGGAACACGGCGCTGCCTGGCTGCATCTGTCTCTGTATGCATGCACCAGCGGGCGCAGGGGCGGGGCTGGGCGTCTCGTCGTCGACCCCGGGAGTTCCGGAGGGCTGCTGTTCCCGAGACACGCATTAGTGGGACTAGCTTCTCTAGTGCGTTGCTCGATTGCTGATTAGCGGAATCAATTCACTCATTAGCGGCATCAAACTACACACTTACCGCTCATCTCCTCTTTCATCCCGTAGCACTCTTGACCTGTCTCTCGACCGACCAACCCACTATGGCGAGCTCATCACACTCCCCATTCGACGACCTCCGCGTCTCTCTCGACCCTACCACCATAGACCTCGCGCTCGGCCAGAAACGTGTGAAAGCTATCGACCATGACGGGACCATCATCTACGAAGACGAGTACGCCCCCTCTCCCCTCCCACATACCTGGGGCTTACTGACAAGGAACAAAAAGCGAATCGCTAGAAACAGACCTCACATCCCAGCTGGAAAGAATATGGAACGAATACCCCAACGGTCTACTCGACCTCTCTGAAAGCAAGCTCGCATCCCTCCCGCCAGATGCTATTGCTTTCCAGTCCAAACCCGAAGACGGCGAAGGCGAAGGCGGGGGGGGGGAGGGGGGGAAGAAGAAGAGGGATGTTTTCAAGATGATGGAGTGGGATGAGATGGAGAGGTTGAGGTCGGAGATGTATATGCAGCTCAAGTGAGTTTCTTCGGGAAGGGGGTGGGACGGGGGCCGAGCGAGCACAGCGAGCGAGTACATGTTGGGGTGGGTGGGCGGCACAGTGACTGGAGGGAGCGTACTCTGGGAGCGCAGCAACTCTTTACTGTCTAGGTCAAGATATGGAAGCTGGAGCTGGAAGCTGACGAGGAATTCAGCGATGCTCGGAATGAACTCTGGTTCGCTCTAGAACTCGTCAAAACCCTATCCGTCTCCTCCGCCTACACATCCCAACCCCCTCCCCCGCCTACGACGCTCCATCAAAACCAAAATCAAAATCAAAAGAAACAGCCCAAACCCAAACCCACCCCTGCCCCACCAGTCCCCCCACCCACAATCCCCGGCGAACCGCCCATCCTGCCCCCCGGCACGTACACTACAACCCCCTCATCCCTCCCCTCTGTGCCCCTGCATAGTACGGTAAACGACCTCATCCAGCTGGTGCACGCAAGGGATAAGGCGGTGGGAGAGGCTTTGGGGCTGGTAGACGGGGCGGTGGAAGAGCTGGAGTTGATGGGCCGGGCAGGGGACCGATTCTGGCGCGACGTCCGAGGGCTGCGCGAAGGAAAGGGAGGGCGGGGCCGGTGGGCGATCGTGCCCAAGCCCGATTTCGCGCGACCGACACCAACGAAAGACGGCGAAAAAGCCAAAGACGTGATCATACCCTACGCCATCGACGAAGCCTCCCCTGCCACCCGATCACGCTGTATAGCAGGCTTCGACCTCGACCCGACGATACCGACGTCGCTCTCGTTCCCTGCGAGGGGGTATCGAAGGGTGAGGGTGGTGGTGAGGGATAAGGCGGCGGGGACGGTGGTGAGTTCGGGGGTGGAGGCGGAGGGGAAGGCGGGGGATGTGGGGGAGGAGATGGTGAGGGCGCAGATGGAGGCTTTTGATGAAGACTTGTTCACCCAAGTGCGTTCTTTTCCTTCTCTCACTTTTGAGCCTTGGGGAAGAGGGAGCTGATGAGGAATAGATCCGTATAGAAGCGTCCATCCTAGACAAGAGCATCATCGAACCTACCCAAGTCCAAATCCAAATACCCACATCCTCCCACACGCTCATATTCCAACTCTACTCGCCTCCCTCTGCTCCTTCCCCTTCCCCTTCCCCCTCTCCCTCCCACTCCCAGACTCCGACAAGCCCGCTGTGCAAGCTCCTGTTGGCAAGTGCGAGGCTCAACCTCCTCTCGGGCTTGAGGGTGCAAAAGCAGATTCTCGTAGCACCTTCGCCCTCCCTCCGGACCCCTTCTTCTTCTTCTTCTTCTCCAGGAGGTGTCATTGGGAGTCTGGTGGAAGGGCTGGAGTTCAAGAGTCTGTGGGAGGGGGTACAGAGCGTAGTAGCTTTTTTGGGCAAAGCGCTGGAAGGTGCTGGGGTAGAGGCTGAGGTTGGGTGGGAGGTCGTCAGTGCGGGGAAGGGGAACGAGACGGGAGATCGGGGGATCATGTCGCTCCTTGGGCAAGTGCTGCAAGGGCAAAAGTTGGGAGAAGGGCTCAAGGTGGTTTGGTCGTTATCCCTCGGCGATAGGTACTTTTCTCTTCCCTCCTCTTTCTGAAATTCTGAAGAATTGAAAGACTGATGAGAGAGTAGTGGAACTATTAAAGTCTCACTCTCCCCACCCACCTCACTCCTCATCACCCTGCCCTCTCACAACGCCACCCCCACCCCCTCCAACGCCAACGCCAACCCCTCAGGTCCTCCGCCTCCAGGCCGCCCTCCTTCTCCGTCAAACGCAAACTCAGACCCAACAAAGAGTACAAGCTCATTCCCACTAACGAACCCCGAAGAATTATCGTACATCCTCGCAGGCGAATTGGAACGGCAGCTGTTGGCGGGGATTGAGGGCCGGTTGAAGGCACGGTCTTTGAGAGAGTTTGGCGGGGGCAAGGGGAAGGGGAAGGAGGTATGGTGGGATAAATTGGTGGGGGTCGTGCAAGTTGGTCGAAGAACGTTGAGGTACGTTTCCCCTCTTTTTTTTTCCACATGATATGCGAAGGCGAGAGGCGGGAGGGGAAGTGGAGAAGGCTGATGAGAGTTGTGTAGGGTTTCATTACCGCCGCCGTATCATACCATCTACGCGTTCATCTCTTCTCCTCCGACTCCTCCTTCTCCTCCGACTCCTCCGGCTCGAGCGGTGGTAGGAGATGATGGTGGGAATGATGTTGGGCAGGATGGGACTGTGGTAGAGACTGAGGGAAAGCAGGAGAAGGAGGAGGAGGATAGCGAGGAGAAGAAGAAGAAGGAGGGAGAGGAAAAGTATGATTCGAGGGATTCGGAGGGAGGGTTGTGGAATTGGGTTGATGGGCTTGAACTGTAGCTGTAGGTTGCAAAAGTCGTACATGAGGTAGACCAGAGTCCATTCATGTATGTGTATGAATGCGATCATGAATGTGATCGAGGCCATGGACAGATCTGATATATACATTGGGAAGCAGCGCCATTGTCCTGTCCCTCCGACGACGGGCTCGCCCTTCCTTGTTCGCAGCGATTCACATAAGCCCTGAAGGTTTCGATGGATTCATCAACGGCTCGCATCCTCCTTCTCCTCCTTCTTCCACGGACACATCATGTCGTCATCGTCTATTGCGTCCTGACATCGCTGTCGATGGCGGTCAACGAAATCCAAGACAGGAGTCAACGACCCTTCCAAAGGAACCAGGCATCGGTTCCACTTGATCTCGTAATATACTCTACGGTATGTCTCTTTGGCTTTCCTACGAATATGTTGCAGATGATATTACAAGCGAAAGCATCAGCATCGCCTTCTCTCCGCCTACATGACCTCCTTATCACCCTCCTAGGGTATATCTCCATCTCAAATACGCTCTCCTTCCTCCCAGCGCACCGGACAGAGCTGTCACTTGTGCTCTCTGATGAGATCATTTATCGTCGACGCAAACCAAGCTGGGAGGGACGGAGCAGGAGCACAAGGAAAGCGGCCAGGTGGTTTTTGCTAGAGGGATGGTCACAGGTCAAGAAGAGAGTCTACGGTACGGCCTTCTACCCTTCACCATCGCCTCTAGTATTGAGACGCTGATACGAGTCATCCAGAATCTCGTCACCACTACCTCATATCATCGACGCGTCACTCTTTTCGCCTCTTCTAGCCCTGGACCAAGCGGCCCCATCAAGCAAGATACAGGGCTCATATATGAAAGAGAGGGATGCGGAGGGGGCAGATGTGGGGTCATATTAGCGGAGAGACATTGGAAATGCAGATTATCGTGATGAGCGCCTAGACCAAGAAAGGTTTCCAGGAGTGAAATGATTTGTATCCTTGACCCGACGGCTTTCTAAGGCAATGAAGGTGGCACCATGTGCCGTCAAGTGGACGGGGGGTGAGTGCAAGAGCAGAAGGATGTGTGTTTCACGACCAGCTTGTCGGTTTGCTCGCGATGGGCTGCAAAACTGTAAGAGGCACAGTGTAAGACTCGTTTGCTGTCGCCCATCTGGATTCGGAAAAGCCAATGATGCCAGCTGTGAGAGCAGATGACTGCTGATACATAGCAGGTTGTTGGGTACACAATTACTAATCGTCGCAGACAGTAGACCGCTTGAGCCATGAGCACACTCACGACAAGTATCTGGGATGTACAGAATCTTGTACAAACACTGTTCCGTAGGAGTCAAGCCAAGGTCCCGTAAGTAGAAGAATGGACGTCGGCACGAATGATAACCGCCTCTCGGCAGCAGGCGGCGGAGGCGTTTAACGGCAGAGACCAAATACGACCGATACGGTGCATATGGATAGGGTCTGAATCATTACCGTACGAGTACTGCACACAAGATGCAGGCAAACCGCGGCGCCAGGCCCCAAGTCGCGTTGAACGGTTGCGATCGGAGTCAAGGAAAGGTGACTATCAGGGCCGACGCGACTAACCATCAGGGAAGTGGTGAGTATCAACAAATCCCGGTCCTCGGGATTTTCTTGCGTTATTTGCGTTATTCGGGTTCCTCTGCATCCCGTTTTTGGTGCCGATTGTCCACATTGGGATGATTCTTGGGCTCCTTGTGAGTGCGTGTTATCTCGAGCTCCAGCCAGAAGGGGACAGCTGCTGCTGGCGAGTCTTGCCTGTAGACAGGCAAGCGCGACTCGCGGCTTTCCTCAACAACTCGCCTTCTCGATTCATGTCTCTTTCTTCACCCTTGCTCGCTCCTTGTTGTTGAAACTGTAGATTGCAGATCGGATCGCCCCCTCCCGACTCCGGATCCACTATCGGTCGTTCCTGTCCCATGGCATGTATAAGCATGATCTTTTACGATCTCTGCTATCTTTCAGGACCCTTTTGCGATCATCGGATCCAAAATCTTGCAATCAGTTCATGTAAACCTGTAAAACTCCATAGACCGCCACAGTTGATCAGCCGGAACTGATCTATAAAAAGGGCTCCATCTCGCTCATAGCTGCTCTCCTCACCCCCCAATCTTGACTCCAACTTCCCTCAGCACCCTCAGCTCCAACCAACACCCACCCACCCCACCCACCCCTCTACCGACCTATTCTTCTCTTCCCATCTCTCCTTCAGTACTCTTTAACCTACCATGTTCTTCTCCCTCCAAACCATCGCCCTTATCGCCTCTTCTGGTCTTTTCGCGCAAAGTGTGTCGGGCGCTACTATCGAAGAGCGTGCTACTAGTCTGTGCAACCAGGCCAACTATGGTGCCAAGGGTTATCCTTGGAAGTCCAACTCCACCCCGGGGTCGTTCTGCTCCAAGACGAAGCCTTCCAACTCCAAGGCTTGGGCTCAAATCGTACGTTTCTTCTCCCCTGCTTTCTTGTTTGAGCTTTGGCTGATGACGCGGTGCAGCCTTTCTGGGACGGCGGTGATCACGTCCGCTGCTCTTCGGCTCAGCGCAACAACTACAATGTCTGCAAGGGCGGTAACAAGAAGACGAGCTTGCCCAAGAACTGCAATCCTCCCCACAAGCACTCCAAGGGCACCACCTCTCCGGCCGGCAAGACTAGCACCTCGGCCACCAACAAGGCTGCTGTGAGCTCTACTGCTGCTTCCTCTGTTGCCGACACCACCACCACCACCACCACCGGCACTACCGACTTTGTGCCCGTGTCCTCTACTACTACTTCTGTCGCTGCTGCGAGCTCTACGGCGGCGGTGGTTGACCCTCTCTTCGACCCTGTTTGCGAGCTGACTGTGGGTCTGCTTCTACTTCTTCTTCGAGCGTATGGTGATAGAGGCTGGGTAGTACCAAGTCCAATACTCCAACTACACCCTTTTCGCCGCCAACGGTGTCTGGGCGGGCCTTACCGTGGGGGCTGCTACGCAAGATGCCAGCTACATGACCTACACCCTCGCCACCTCTGTCGACGACTGCCTCGCTGCTTGCGACCAAGTACGTCCCTCCCCCTCTTCCTTGCTCTCCCTGCCCTCCCCGAATGGCAAAGCTGACAGTGGTTACAGATCGAAGGATGTGTTTTCGTCAACACATACTACGACGTCAACGAAGAGGAGAACTACCTCCCCAAGCACGCGGACGGTGTCCTTACTTGCTCCATGTACTCGACCTGTGTCGGGACGGAGAAGAATGACAATTGGGGTGGTCAGGATGATCCTAACACTATTGTTGACTCTAATGGCTACTGCAAGTCGGGCGCTTGTTCCTCATAAGCTAGTGTACATAGTGTTTTGATATGTGGGCCATCTGCTTCTTGAATGGTTGTCAGAAGTGTTGTTTTTTTGATCGTCCATGCAAATTGCTCGATAGGAAGAGCGGGTTCACGAGGCAGAATGCTCTATCTAAGAAGACATTCTTCTAAAAGTTGCTTCCTTGGGTTGTAAAACTACTACAAATCAGTCCAAGACCTGCTTGCGTTGAAAGAGAAGGCAGGCGCGTCGCGAGTCGCGACTCCACCTGCAATCGGCGCTATCCACCGCCACTGACGCATCCCGGTTGACGTCATTCCTCGCGATGCCCTCTCCCTTGAGTCCCTTCTCTTTCTATCTCTTTTATCTTTCTCTTCTCAACAATCCCCATGTCAGCCCGCCTCCCCCACGCCTTCGCAGAACTGGCCACCCCCACCGGCGCCACCGCCAGCACCTCTGGCTATGTCAACGCCGACCCACCTCAATCAGGCGGCCTCGCCTCCTCGCCCCACGTCCCCAAGCCTGGCACCTCCATCGACCCTGCTACCGGCAAGCCCCACACCGCCGGCCTCACGAGGACAGAGCTCGACGCGAAGAAGGCCGCTGCTATCCAAGCTGCTGCTCCCTCAGCCCCAGCCGAGCCGCCAGTCAGCAACTCGGACGGCCTTACCACCTCTGCCGGTCTAGGCGGCGAGTGGGGGCCTGGGTTGGCTAGTGCCCCTGGTGTACCCAAGCCGGGGCAGAGTCTCAACCCCGAAACCGGTAAACCGCATACCGCTGGTATCACCCGGGCCGAGCTGGAGGCTCGCAAAGCCGCCCAAGCCGCTGAACTGTCGCCTTCTGAAGCCGAACACATCAAGAGCAAGGGCGCCGACCTCCTCGATCCTGCGCCCCAGACAGAGCAGATCCGACGCGGTAGTTTGACCGCCCCGCCAACGGAGCGTAGGCCGAGCGATGTGAGTGGGAGAGAACAAGCTGCTAGGCAGTTGTTGGCTGCGCAGATCAACGAGGCGGAGACTGCTTCGCCTGGCACTTCCACGCCTGGGCAAGAGATGCCTGGTGCATGGGGCGGTACGTATCTCTATCCAGATCTTGATGCCCGTGCTAATGTGAGAGTAGACAACAAGCCTATCCCTCTCCCTGGAACATCCGCCAACGCTCCCACCACTCTCTACGAAGACGTCGCTGAAGGACTCGGTAAAGTCGGTCAAGCCGCCTTTTCTGTCATCCCTTCCCCCATCAAGGAGGCGTTCCACCAGGAAGCAACGGGCGCCCCGCGAAAGGCGTCGGATGTGTCGTTGACCAGCAGTAGGGGTCTTGAAGCTAGCCCTACGAATACGACGGGAAGGAGGGCCAGTGCGACGTCTATCATTGATCAGGCGAGGGTACAGGCTACCAAGTTGTCGGGAAATCTGCAGGGGACTTTGGAAAGTACCCAACGTGAGTGTCTATGCCCCTTGATCGGAATAGGAACTCATGAAAAGTAGGACGAGCATCAGCCAACTTTGGTCCCGACGGCACGATCAGAAAGCAAGTGTTGAACTTTGTCGACGAGGCTTTCCAGTCCACCAAGGAATTGTCTAATGCCGAGTTCGGGTTCGTCGCTTCTGGTCCTGGAGGTCCTGGTGGGCGTATCAGCTGTAAGCCGCCATTGATTTCATCCCTCTTTCAGAAGCTCATAGGAATACAGTGGTCCCCCGTTACTCTCAATCAGCCGAAGGGCAGTCCGCCGACAAAGCAGCTCCCTCTAGACCTACGAGCGAGTATCTCGGTTCTGTCCCTGGCGAAAAGTCTGATGGTACCGGCGCCTTGCCGGGGAGTATCACCGAGACTGGTGTAGCTATCCTGCCCGAGGAGAAGAGTGAGCCATGTCCTTATGGTTGATCGACAGGAAGTGCTGATAAATATATAGACTTGAAGAATGAGAGCTCCACCAACCAGAATGTCCGACCCGGAGAAGCTTCTCCCAGCAACAGCTTCTATGCTCCTGTCGTCACTTCTAGCACTGCCGGGCCTTCTGACACATCTACTTCTGGCCCTTCGACCTCGTCCACTCCAGCCCCCAAACCTTCTGGCTCGCACACAGTCGTCAACGCCCCTACCGAATCCACTTCCCGCGACGCGCCCTCCATCCCTACCTCCTTTGCGTCCAACCCCACCGACCCTGCTTCGCATGCTGTCCCAGCGCCGACTGAGGGGGCTGCTACGGCGTCAAAGAAGGGCGAGACTGTTGCCCCTGCGACTTCTGCTTCTGGGCCTTCGGGTGCAGGATCTTTGGGATCTTCGGAGCCTTTGGAGTCTTCGAGAGCTGAGGGACACTCGGGATCGGGATCTTTGGCTCCTGCTTTGGCGCCGGCTCTTCCTGCGACCATCCTCGGTGCTGGTGTAGGCCACGGCGCCACCACCCTCCCCTCGTCTTCTTCCGAACCCCCGCACACCGCCGTCTCTTCCCCTGCCCTCACCGCCCCAGGAAGTTCGTCCACCCTCTCCGAAGACGCCTCTCCCATCTCTACCACCGCTCCCAGCATCCCAGCCGGCGTACCCCAGACATTGCACGGGAACGACCGCACCACCTCGACTTCTTCCGTCACTGCTATCGCCCACGGGCGCGAAGGTCTTCCTTTCGAACGTAGTGCCAAGGCTGGGGGTATTGCGGAGAGTCCCTTGAGGGAGGGAGTGGTAGCTGGTGAAGAGCCTCTTTCGACCGCGGGGGTGAGCAATGCGAAAAGTCTGACGCCGGGGAAGGAAGAGCATGGTGTGGGGCATCCTTCGTCGCATGGGATCGCTGGTGCGCAGAGAGACGTTAGAAAGTACCCTGCCGCAGAGCATGGCGAGCCTGCTTCTTCTTCTTCTGGTGCCGCTGGGGAGAAGGCTGCTTTGGGTGCTGGGGCTGGAGCCTTGACAGGCGCTGCTATTGGTGCTGGCTCTGGACGAGGTGAAGGCGCGGGGCTGGTGAGGAGTGAGAAGGAACAGTTGGGCGATAGGGCTCGTGCGGACGTACCCGGTGGATCCAACCTCGAAGGGGCTTCTACCTCCCACACTACTCCTTCCTCTTCCTCCGCCGCTGCTGCCGCCCCCACCTCCCAATCCACTTCCCACACTACCGGCCACACCACCGACCAAGTCGTCGGCGTCGCCCCCGGCCAAAGCCGCGTCAGAACCGAAGAAGAAAAGCTTGCAGACCGCGAGAAGGCCGACGTACCCGGTTTCACTGAAGAGGAGGAGAAGGCGGATATCCCGGGGAATGGGAGGGATGTTCCGGGGTCCAAATATTTGTCTGAGAAGCCTGCTGGTGCTGGTGCTGTGGGAGCTGGAGCTGGTGCTGCGGGGACTGGAGTTGGAGCTGGATCGGCTGCATCGCCCGCGTCGCCTAGTACCAAGACTGCTCCTACTACTGCTACGACATCGCAGACCACCCCCGTCAAGTCTCCCACCTCTGCTACGACCGCTTCGTCCGGCACGCCTACTTCCTCGCACACTAGATCAGACTCTGCTGGTAGCGGATCGGGGACTGCTAGCGCGAGTGGGACACCATCAAAGAAGGAGAAGGGCGGATTGTTGAAGAAGATCAAGACTGGGCTGAAGAAGCTTTGAGATGATGGCAAGATTGGAGGAATTGAATCGAGTGGTGATACCAAGTGAACGAGATTTATATTGAATGGAAAGAAGAACAATCATGTATCGATATTAGAACGGACCGCGACAATGTAAGAGATGAGCGGCATGTCCATGATCTAGCGAGAAAAACGTGATGCAGAATGCAGCGCTCGATTGTGCGGCGTCAATGTTCATACTAGGTCATGTACTTACAGTACGAGTATATGATACTGCATAGGACAAGGATGAGATGTAGTGAGCTCCGGTCCGGGTGTCGTGAAGATCAGTCCGATGGAAAGACGACGACTCGTATCAACGCCCTTCGTCCTCCTTCCCTTCCCCAGATGCAAGACCTGGGAGTTATAGATTGACTTGCCCCTCCTATAAAAAGACGCTCGGCATCAGCAAGGAGAGAACCGGCCTGTCATTGGTGCGCTACTTGCCGGATTGAACAGCCATCAATGCCAAAGCTGAAGCCTAGTAGCCACCGGCGCTTGCGGAGGCCCTGTCTCTGCCCCCATCGGAATTCTAGTCGTACGCACTGCTCGACATTCATCCTAGATGGAGCAATCAGCATTCCTCAAGCGCCTCGACCAATGGCCCGACACACGGCACAGCGGGTTACGAGGCTGGGTACTCACCATGTCATCTACAATCAACAGATGCATCGTCGTATCATTTACGAGGAAATTGGATGGAAACGGATAGTACTGACAGCCTGGTAGTTTGCCACCTATGAGGGTTTCCAAAGACTGCATCCGCAGATGAGTTATCAACCTGACCAGGTCATTGACGGTGTAGAGGAAGAGCGGGGAGATGGTATGTGAATATTCACCACGGCGAGAGCTTGCCATGACGGTTCCAGGTACGAGTCGATGTGGGCGGCACGCAGATCTAACCTCGGCAGATGGCTCACGCCTGATCGTAAATGTTATCATATGCTGCATTTTCATGCCCCCTCCCCCTATACAGTCGCCTTATCAATGTGGGCAGCAACCCCTGGTAGTGAAAAATGACCAGGCTTCAAAAGCTCAAGATAGCTTCCAAAGTTATCTTGGTTCTCTTTGGTCTCGCCGCAATAGCCCTGCAAATAATACGTATGAGATCACATTCATGGTACATCAAACATCTCCATTAGACGGACGCGCTTGTCACTGGAACAGGCCGCAGAGCTATGTCCCACGGCCGCACCGGATGGTCAGGGGGCTCAAGCTTGTATATCCACAGCTGCTCGTCGGGTTCGAGCTCTTTCCACAAGTCGAACCACTTTCGGTCTATGCCTTGTTTCTGTAGACGCAAGAGGTGTCGGCAAATGTAGATAAAGTAGGGAGTCATCGCTGGCTCGTCATTTTCTCCATTTGCGGTGCTGTAGATTGGCAACTGTTCGGCTGGGAGAGGTGGCTCAAAAGTCAAATCGGGCAAGGGTGGAAGTGGAAGCCAGTAGGCCGGGATGAAACGTTGCGTTTCCCATTGGTACAGAACGGATAGAGTGCGATCAAGCTCATCTATGAGTATCTCAGCAAAGCATAGTAGTGTCTCATGTGCTGTTACTCACCTAAAAAAGGAGTGTACTGTTGAGTTGTGATCAGCGGAATGATCTGTAAATGTGTCATAAACTCACTTCATCAAGAATAGCCAAAGCTCCCAGCATGTCCTTATCATAACTTCCGTCCTTTGACTTGGCTTCCATGGCGTCCACCAAGCCCTGAAAATAGCTGACTGTGTATTTCGCGTACCCATACGCTTTGCAGATCTCTATGCGGGATATCTAAGAGGGTTACATCAGACAAATTCGAGCCGCGCAGCCACCACAGCGGATAAACGCACACTATCGCCCTCTGCCAGGTAAAATCTGGAATAGTACAAAGGCCGTTTCGAATGCTGGAGACCTTCTACGCAGCTGCTTGAGAACCCGCTGCCTCGAATCCGGACCTCCGACCGCCATATTGCGGTTTCGAAAACGAAATAGTCTTGGTTGATAGGCACAAATCTGTGGATAGACATGGTTTTGAAATCGATTGACTTCCAGAAGTCCTTGATGGCGCGCATTATGTGCGTGAAAGTAGTGTGAGCGATGATGCAGTTGGAGATGAGAGACGCAGAATTGTGTACAGGGTACGTAAAAGCAAGCGGAAAGAACGAACGCGGATACGAGTACTGGCGTACGTCTCTTCGGTATTTGAAATCAGGTGATGCGGAGACATGCCTATCCAGTCATTCGTCAGTCGATGCATTGGCAGGCTGCAAATTAGCTGCTGTGTCCTCTTAAGTAGAGGAATGAATTGAACAGGGATGGCGCAAGAGTAGCGGAAGTGGGGGACGGGAATCGGGAAAGAAGGGATGTTGAGGCTCATGGGCGGCAAAAAAAAACAATGTCAAGGCTGAAAGAAGTACACTGGTTGAGCCTTCAATTACAGGGCACTGGGGAGACACGTCTACGGAGAAGCGTAGCCAAAAGTGCGACCGAAAAAAGGGCTTTTTCTTGCTGGCTGGAACCGATTGTCAAGTCCAAGCCCACAATGTATTGAGCCAGTATGGCAGTGAGATGATGCTCTATCGACGGTGTTCGATGAGCTTGGTATCTGCTTGGGAGGCTGCATAGAGCGACGTTAGTATAGTAGACTCAACCGGCTCATGAGATGGTTCGGGGCGAGACTCTTACTATTGAGGAGGAGCTCACTATTACTAGCACAAAACTTGACCAACTGCTGAATGTTAGAAAAGTGTGTATGCATATATATTTGTTCACTAACCCCTTTTCATAGACAGATCAGATCCATTCGTACGCGCTTGGTCGCCTAGGCAAATCCACAAATCTACGGAATACTATGGATTTATATAGACGGTCAAGCCTCTAGTCTACTCAGCTCCTCCACGAGTTATGCGCATCTTCCGCATGAGTCTGATGAACTGATCCCGTGGGTCTTGCCAATACTCTGCCTCGGAAGTGTTCCTCGTATCGATGCGTCACTTCATGAGATAGCGACCGGTGGGGCTTTGTGCAAGTATTCGTCTATGAGCACCAGCTAACAGTACTTTGTTTCCGCATTGCGCCAGATAGATGACTCCTTGGAGACAAGAGAATTATGAAGAGTCAAGCTTCTGTGGAAGAAAGCTTGTTGAGTGATTTCACGGGTGAAGTCTGGTCGTCTCGTTCTCTCTTGGCTCCTGAGTCATATGCTTGTGAAGAGCCCCGAATTCTCCGAGATGGAGTATCGGCGTTCGATCCAATGGTGCAAAGGGGTGATGAGGACAGAATGAACTCGAATGATGAGGCCCCCGACCGACGTTGCCCTTGCGTTGTTGTTGCGTTGCCCCGACGAGTTCGGCTTCAGTTCGGCACGACGACGCGTCTGGCTTTACTTCTTTATTTACGTAATCTGGCCGTCCAGAACTGGAAGCGTACTCGCGGGGTGGTGGTGGTCGTGACGCCGGTGAGGCTGCTGCTATGCATGTAACGAAAGTTTAAAGATCCAGATAGTGATTCAATTTCTATTGAGTGGGTAGTAAGGAGATCTGGGACAGGGAGCAGGTGAGCATGCAAGAGAGGGAACGCGCATTAGCGACGTGAATGAGCCCCTGTCAAACGACAATCATTCCACAATCCCCTTGCAGCTCCCTGTCCGCTCTCAAGCAGATGAGGACCTTCTACCAGCACTTAGAGAGCCGGATTGTTTGATGAGGTATTTTGGTAATTGAAATGAGCTAACGAGCCCGATTTGTCGATCCTGAAGCTGAAGTTGACCAAAGGAGGGGGCGGGCAGTGCGATCTCACACCCGCCCGCTCTCGCCCCGGGATAATACAGATATCTTGGCTTTTGATCCCCTCATCATACCCGACTCTACATACCCACTAGCAACAGACATGACCCCCTCCCTAACAGAAAGATTCCGAGCCTTAATCTACACCGTCCTCCAGGAATACTATGATTTTATCTTATGTGAGTGCATTACAGTGAAAGTCATTGGCGTCAGTCTCACGAGCGCATTCCAGTTTGGACTGACATAGTCGTCTACACTCTCAATATTGTCGTTCTGGCGACGCTGGAGTATGTATCACGGCGACGTGTGCTGCAGTGCTCGAGAGCTGATGCGTGCCGACAGCTCTTCAACCTGCCCCGTGCCCAGACTCCAAATGTCGGCAGATGGCGCACGCCTCGCCGTCAACCTCCTTGTATACTGCTTCTTGATGCCCTCTCCCCCTGGACGATCATCCCAGCAGGGTGGGCAGCAACCCCTGGTGCTGGGAATGACGACGTTGCAACAGTTCAAGATAGCTTCCGTGGTCATCTTCACTCTTTTTGGTTTCGCCGTGCTGGTGCTGCAAATAGCACACACAGCCTCAGTGGAGAGACATGAAGCATGTCTGGCCGCAATACTGTGCCCAGAATCCTTCGACAAGCCACCGTACGTTGCTTCCAAATGGTTAAAATCGCATTCTGACGGGTTGCTGGTAGCTGTACGGGGGTTCAGGGCCAGTTGTGCGTATCTCAAAGTCGCTCCGAAATGCAAGATAGCTAATGTCAAGTCCAGGTGTAAAAATCCCTCTGTCAATCCGGCTCAAGCGCTCATCAAGGACAACATTGGCGCGGAGACAATTGATGGGGGGTACCGATTCGACTTCGACGCTGACGTGGGTGAGTAGTTGGTTGCTTCAAGGTCGCCTACCATGCTGACGAATATTTGCAGACCCTCAGCCGAGCAGCACGAGCGACTTCGTCGTCGTTGGCGGCTGCAATTGGACCTACCTCACGGTCCTTGATGTGTAAGCTCTTTGTCCTATCTGTGTAGTTACCGCAGCAGGCTGACCATCTTTCACCCTTCCCCGGATAATCGTTCAACATCTTCTGCTGTCCCGCATCTTTATCCTCCGGCAATTTGCTCCGTCGTATCGTCATCCTGCACTTTATCCTACCAAAAAACTCAAACCATTCCCGAATCTACGATTACCCCTCCCGTCAACCATCATCCTGCCCAAATCCAGCCTCCCCGCGGCCAACAAGACCCGCTTCCAAGTGCCCGTGGAAGCTGCATTCAACTGCAGCTCATCGGAGAAGCTGTCCCTCGGTGTCGTTGTTAGAATCGCCGAGACGGAAAAGGCGAAGGAGCTGGAGAGGGGGATAGGGTCCGGTTGGAGGAGAAGAAGGGCTTGACGAGGATTGCCGGGGAGGGGAAGGGTGATTGGTAGACGAGTAGGCGGGATGCAGTTGTACATATTGGAGCCACGTACGCGAGCAGTGGGGTAACGAACAGCGAGCGATTTCATCCAGTTCGGGTTTCGCAACGATCATCAAGGCCCGCCTTTGTTGACTGTACCGATGAAAGAGGAGATACGTGCATGTCCTTTCGTTCCTTGCGGCCCATGCGTCTGCGCACATCATCTCTGCCGTTTCTCGCTGCTCTCAGCCTCTAGTCGGCGCCTGTACCGTTCATCAGTATACTATCAAGCCTCCCTCTCGCCAACTTTGAAGCACGACCTTTATACGTGCCGTGAACCGAAGATAGATTGGTGAGGCTTATTGGACCGTGAATCATGTATACATCTCGTAATTCACCACCATACTTGTACAACGATACAATTCCCCCATCACGCTGGTTCTGCAAACATTCGTCAGCAGGGTATGCGACCTTGAAGTAATGCAACCAATTACTTACCCACGTCGGCGTCGAAGTCAAATCGGTACCCCCCATCGATTGTCTCTGCACGGATATCGTCCTTGATGAGCGCTTGAGCAGAATTGACAGAGGGATTGTTGCAGCTAGACTTGACATTAGCTATCTTGTCTTTTGGAGCGAATTTGAAATACGCACACTGGCCCTGAACTCCCGTGCAGCAACCAGCAACCATCTCAGCATTATCAGCCCGGACCTCGCTCGCAGTAAAGTCTTCGAAAGCTTGATGTCTCTATCGGTCAGCGCAGAATATGCAGCCGGGAGGGATGCCAATGAGGTCACCCCTAACAGGATCTGTATCCAGGTAGGAGAGTGGCTGAATCACGATCTATCAGCACCAGCCCGTAGAATAAGCCTGGAGGGACGTACCCGCGGAGGACGAGACGTTGAGTATCATTGTCTTTACCTGCGGCACAGCTAGCAGGAGCAGGTCAGCTTTATTCTATCCAAGCACTGATGATGACTCATTTGTCCCAACAAATAGCCACACGTCTGAACGAGTACACGTTGCGCCAGCCGTCTCTTCGAGTTTCTCTTTCTCTTGTTTGACAAGCTTCGAGAGTTCCTCGAATAAAGCACGAGCTCCGATAATGGAGCGGCGTCCCTGTTCGATACTTTTTGGGCCGGAGCTTCCGTAGCTATCTTCAGTTCTCTGACGGCGGGGTGGGAGCGGGAGGGATGATGGCCGGTGAGGCTAGGGACTGAGCTCGGTGGGCGGGGGCGGCGTCGGTGGGTGCAGTGTCGGCGGGTGCGGGGGCGAGTACCCGTGTACCGTATGGTGCGGTGCACCACTTCCACCTCGGAAGGACATAAGAGAGAGCTAGCAGCCCAGCGGGCCGCCACCTGAGAAAAGTGTCAGCCACCTTGAGGGAGAAGTCACTCCCGCAGGGCAAAGTCCCTCTCACCATGGACTCACTCTTTGATCTTCCTCATCAAGATCCACCAGGCGTACAAAAGCACCAACAATAGCAGGTCGAGCAACCCTGTTTCCTCGAATCAGCTATGCATCCTTTAAAGATAGAAGCAGACAAAACAGCGGCAAAACGTACCTCCAACTACTTCCCTGCCTCTGCCTATCCTCTGGGAAGAGAGGAAGCGCCCAACCAACCAAGGGCCGAGGGGGAGGGGCAGGAGAGGAGGGGCCGAGAAGGAGGGGCAGAGGAGGAGGGGCAGAGGAGGAGGGGACGCCGGGGGGGAGGGGCGAGGGAGAGCCGGGGGGGGGGCTCAAGGTGACGGGCGAGGTATGGAGAGTATGGAGGTATGCGGGATGTGAGGGTTGGTTGATAGATTGTATAAAGGAGGATGAGAAATGGAGATACAAATTGGACGCTGTATCAAGGCTGTGTCGTGTGGGGGAGGTCGCCGATCAATCTGTGTTTTGTTGTTCAACCAACTTGCTGATGCACTAACTGTCCTTGCGCTCTCTCTGATGGATCGATGATGTATGCATATGCAGTGTGTCCAGCAGCTGCTATAGGGCAGCATCGGTAATTTGGTAGTGGAAAAGAGCAAGGCGTTGGTAGTCATGGCTGACGTTGTCGCATTGATGCAGTAGGGTGAGGGCGGTGACATTGGCGAGCGTCAGGAGCACCCGCAAGCAGGGGCTCGTTCACATATCGAGTTGAGTACCAACCACCCAGAGTTCTACGGACCCCTCGAACTACTCAAACACTCAAAGAACGGGTGACATCTCCCCAGATGGTACAAGAAAACCCAACAATCATAAAAGACATACAAATACAACAAAACACCCTTGCCCTTATACTTGACCTCCCCACCCCCATCTCAAGAATCATGTGGTTCGGAAGAAAGACGGTCAAGACGCTATTCCTTGACACTCTCAGCAAGTACCTCCATCCCCTCCTTACCGCCGACTTGTTCTATCCCTTGTTCGATCGCTTCCAACTTGTCTCCTCCTTCTCCTGTACTGGCCGCCGGCTGCCCCTCGCCAGAACCAGGGGCAGCAGCAGCAGAAGAAGGGGAAGAGGCAGAAGCAGGAGGGACGATCTTGCCCATAGCCCAATTGAGATACGCCGCCCGCCCGAGTTCCCACGCTTTCGTATGTTCTCCCGACGCTGACCCGGGGCCGTGGGAGGGGTCGGGAAGGTGGGTGAAGGAGGTGGAAGTGGGGATGGGGATGGATTCGAGGGGGAGGAGGGATGTGTGTAAAGAAGAGACCGTTTGGGTGAGGTGGGATGTGTTTTGTGGTAAGGGGTTGACTACAAGTTTCGTCAGCTTTCTAAGACAAACGCGACGGGAAGATGGAAGGGGAGAGGGAGAGAAGACGTACGGCCAGAAGTCTCAATAACCTCTTTAACAAACCCAACATGCGCCTCGCGTTGACGCAGTGTATCGAGCCTTCTATCGAGCTTCTTGTTTGCCAACTCGAGCTGCATCGATAGTTGTCTCGCCTGTTCCACTTGGACGCGGAGGGATTCGAGCTGGGTGTCGAGGGCTTCGGTGCCGCCTGGGAGGTGGGATACGTGCTCACCGCGGGTAAAATCGAGGCCGTTATGCCATGGCTACGATTGATAATTCAGTGTTGCACGGTATATACTTGGGGAAAGGGCACTGACGAGGACGACGTCGAGACCTTTTTCGAATTCGAAAGCGTTTCGCAAGAGCCACGTTTCGTACTTGTCAAACGCTCTGTCGAAATGCGTCTCTAGCAGCGTCTCCAGTGCATGCATGCCCTACACCGCACATCAGTAATCATTCCCTCTTTTGAAAAACAAGAAACAAGAATCACGCACATTCCCAGCCTCCGCACTCAACTCCTTCCCCCTCGCCACCGTCTCCGCCCAATTCTCAATACTATTCATAGCATTATACAGCTCAGTCCTGGCTACCTCGGTGATATCATTACACAGACTCCTAGGGTGGAAGCCGACGAGCTCGTGGATGAGTCTGCCGCGCTCTTCTTCGGAGAGGGGCCGGCGTTCGGTGTGGGTTTGGGAGGAAGGGGCGGGGGTGTAGGAGGGGGTGATGGAGGGCGGAAGGGATGGGGGTGGGATGATGTCGAGAGGGGGCCGTTGTTGTGTTCTTATAGGGGGCATTTTTGAGTGAGCGCGATGAAAGACTCAGGAGATGGATTTGTTGTTTGTTTTGACGATACGCGCGGGATCAGATTCCGGGTACACTTACTTGTTATTAACCCCTCTCTTTATAGTTACCAGCCAAATTACCCGCTCTCTTCGCGCGTCTCGTGTCTCGCAACTCATCTCTATCATCCCCAGACCCATAACATCCCCTCATAATCCCCTCCCCATGCGCGTCACAAAGCCAAACTGGGTACAACATACTGGTACGTCCCCTCCCCCCTTATGTGGGCAAGAGCTGACAAGAGCAACCACGACAGTCGGGGAGAAGAAGGCGAAATGCCCAATATATAGTATATCCGTCCATCCCGATGGCACCCGGCTGGCAACGGGAGGCTTAGGTGTGTAGTCCAGGCTGTTTGAGAGGGTGGGTGCTGATAGGGAGATAGATCACAAAGTCAAAATCTGGTCGACATTACCCATCCTGGATCAAGAAGCCGAGAACGAGGAGCCAAACCCAAAGCTGCTGTGTACCATGGCCGCCCATACTGGTGAGCTTTCCCTTTCCAGCATATTGTGTGGATCAAGCTGATAGGCGGGAAGGTTCGGTGTTGTCGGTTAGGTGGGCGCATCATGGACGGTTTCTGGCGACGGGGTCGGATGATCAGGTTATCATGATATGGGGTATTGACCCGTGAGTCTATATCCTCTCTCTTATTAGTCCTGGCTGATTTCAAGGGTAGGGATGGAGAAGGGAGATTGTGGGGGTCGGATGAGGTGAATGTGGAGAATTGGAAAGCGTTAACGAGACTGGTCGGGCATGTCGCTGGTGCGTACCCTCAAACGTCTCCAGGACGCTAGCTGACAGCTATGCAGATGTAGTCGACTTGGCGTGGTCAAGAGACGACTCTATGCTGGCATCCGTCGGTCTGGATAGCACAGTCTGGCTATGGGACGGTTCAACATTCGGTAAACATCCTCTCTCCCTTACCCACAAGGGCCTTCAGCTGACGTTTATAACCCAGAGCGTCTTCGCAAACTCGACCTCCACCAAGGATTCGTTAAAGGCGTCTGCTGGGACCCCGTCGGCGCCTACCTCGCCACCCAATCCGACGACAAGACTGTCAAAATCTGGAACACCGAAGACTGGTCCCTCGTCGAATCTGTATCCGAACCATTCAAGACGTCGCCCCAGAGCACATTTTTCAGACGGCTGTCGTGGTCCCCGGATGGCGCGTTCATAGCGGCGTCGAATGCGAAGAATGGGCCGGTGTTTGTGGGGGCGGTTATTGATAGGGATGGGTGGGGGTCGGAGATTAGTTTTGTGGGGCATGAGAATACGATCCAGGTCGCTGTGCGTACTCCCCTAAATGTCTTCTGACCCATGGTGTTCAAGCTGACTCGTGTGGTAGGCATTCAACCCACGCCTGTTTTTCCCACAAGGCGAGCCCAAAGGCCGCGCCACAGCATCCACCGTCCTCGCCCTCGGCGCCAACGATTTTTCCATCTCCATCTGGCGCAACACCCTGCACAAACCCCTCGTCGTGCTCAAAGACATCTTCGGCGCCGACCTCATGGACCTGTGTTGGTCGAATGACGGATATCATTTGTATGGGTCGGCTGTGGATGGGAGTATCTGTGCGATCAGTTTTGAGAAGGAGGAGTTTTTGGATCTGGCGGAGGAGGGGGATACGGACATTGTGCTTGGGGAGTATGGGTATAAGGGGAGGATGGGGAAGCGGGGGAAAGCCGCTGCTGCTGGTGCTGGTGCGCTGGGCCCGACGAGCTCGGCGCCTTCTGTATCGACGTCCTTCGGACCGACGACGACGACATCAACCCACGTCAACGTGCTTCAACCGAAAAAGGGCAAAGCCAAACGCCGAACGAGCTTTCTCCCGCCCGGCGGGGGTACCAACGGTTTCCACCCTCCTTCTCATACGCATACACAAGGACGAGATCCATTCAATGGGCCCATCCAGGGGTCTTCATCTCAAGCAGGCCAGGAGGGACAGCGCATGCTCCAAAACGCCAACGCCTACCCCACCTCACCAAGAACAGGCGATAAACGCAAAGCGCCCTCCCCGTCCTCCCCGAGGCACAGCTCCTCCCTCTTCCGCCCCGCCCCTTCCACCTCTTCCTCTCAAGCGCTCACGCAAACCCTCGGCCTCGGCCTGGGGACGGCGGATGGGGGCGCGGTGAGGGCGGCGTTTCAGAGGGGTTATGAGCAGGGCAGGGCGGAGGCGATGGAAGAGGCGGAGGTGGAGGTGAGGGGGATGGTGGAGCGGGAGAGGAAGGGGATTGAGGAGGCGGCGTTTAGGAGGGCGGTGGAGATGGTTAGGAAAGAGGGAGGGGGGCGGTGACATCTGCATATGGGATTGTTAGGGCTCAAAAGAGGAGAAGGGGGATGGGGTTGTATTGTTGTATGGTGGTGATTACGAGATAGATATGTAATTCACCTTCCAATAAGCCTCAACGATCTATCTTTGGTTCACGGCACGTACGAAGGTCTTGATACAAAGTTGCGAGAGGGAGGCTTGATAGTATACTGAGGAACGGTACAGGCGCCGACTACAAGCTGAGAACAACGAGAAAAGGCAGGGATGATGTGCGCAGACGCATAGCCGCAAGACCGGCCGCAAGAAAGAAAAGGACGCGCGCGAGTCTCCTCTTCCATCGGTACAGTCAACAAAGGCGGGCCTTGATGATCGTTGCAAAGCCCCGAAATGTATGACAATGCTCGTCGTTCCTGTACCCCACTGCTCGCGTACGTGGTACGTGGCTCCAATATGTACAACTGCATACCGCCTACTCGTCTACAAACTACACTTCTCCGCCCCTGCAATCTTCGTCAAGCCCTTCTTCTCTTCCAACTGGATCCTATCCCCCCTCTCCAGCTCATTCGCCTCCTCCGTCTCCGCGATTCTGGCGACAACACCGAGGAATAGCTTCTCCGATGAGCTGCAGTTGAATGCAGCTTCCACGGGCACTTGGAAGCGGGTCTTGTTGGCGGCGGGGAGGCTGGATTTAGGCAGAATAATGGTGGAGAAGTAGACGGGAGGGGTAATCCGTAGAGTCGGGAATGATTTGGATTTGTTGGTGGGATGAAGTGCAGGATGACGATACGACCGAGCAAATTGCCGGAGCAAAGAGATGTGGGACAGCAGAACAGGTGATACGATGATGTTGTACGATAATCGGGCGAAGGGTGAAAGATGGTCAGACTGTTGCGATGACAACACAGATAGGACAGAGAGCTTACACATCAACGACCGTGAGGTAGGTCCAATTGCAACCGCCAACGACGAGGAAGTCCAGGGGGCACTTGGGCGGGGGCGGGGTCAGAGAGTCCGACGTCGGTGGTGGGAGCGGGGGGGTGACGGCCGGAGGGGGGAGGAACCGGGTTCGGTGGGCGGTGGGAGGAGGAGCGTCGTCGGTGGCGGGCAGTGTCGGTGGGGGCTGTGTTGGCGGGTGCAGTGTCGGCGGGTGCAATGTCGGCTGGTGTAGTGTCGGCGGGGGCAGCGCCGAATACCCGTGTACCATATGGGGTCACGCACAACTTCCACCGCATGAGGACATACTTGAGAAAAGTGTCAGCCACCTTGAGGGAGAAGTCACTCCCACAGCGCAAAGTCCCTCTCACCATGGACTGACTTCTTCCTGTCGCCACCCATCAGAACCCATCAGGCGACCAAAACCACCAGCAACACCAGGTCGCGCAACACTGTTTCCTCGAATCAGCTATGCAGAAGATAGAAGCAGACAAAACAGTGGCAAAACGTACCCTCAAAGACTTGCCTGCCTTTCCCCAATCTTCCCTCTGGGAAGGGATGCCTCAACCAAGCGAACAACTCTTCTTTGCCGGGCCACCAAACGTCCCTCTCGCTATCGCCTCTGGGGGGGGCGCCAGCCTCGACGTCGGTGTTGGTGTTGGTGTTGGCCGAAGCGGGGAGCGTGCTCATTTCGTAATTGGAGGCAGAGCCGCTGTTGTTGTTGTTGTTCGGCATGGTGTAAAGATAATTGGGGGGATGGGCGATGGTGATGGAATGAGAAATGAAAGAGATATCGAATGATGCGCCTCTTTTGTACTCGAAAGGAGGTCCACACAACAGGGTCCGTGCACCTTGCAGCTACCAGCAACCCGTCAAAATGCGACCTTAACCATTTTGAGGCAACGTACGGTGACTTGTCGTAAGAGTCTGGGCACAGTATCGTGCTCAGACATGCTCTTTGTCTATCCACCGACCCCATGCGTAATTAGGGGCGGGTGCTGATACTCTTGGTCAGCAAGGCGACGCGTGGTTCATATAAAGAGTAGCGCACAATTTCCACAAGGACGCGCGTTGGGAGGTATGTTGACACCGTATGTCGACACCCTGGAGGAATCGTCAGCCTCGTTCAGCGCAATCTGAGTTCACAGCGGAGCAACATTCTCAGACTTTCAAAGACTCACTCTTGGGACTCAGAGTCCAGCATCATTGACGACAGAGCACAGCACGGAAGCAACGGCGGGGCAAAAGATCTGTTCTCTTGCGTCAGCCATGCATCCTGCGCGAGCAAAGCCGGACAGAGCACTACACAGGACGTGACCACGAAGAGGTCTTTGAATCTCGTCATTCCCACAATAGATCCAGCCACGTCACAAAGGGTGCGCGCTCCAAACAAGTCTTGCCAAGAATAGAGACATCACCGCTCGAATAACAGTCAGAACACAACGGACAAGCGGCCTGCCCCCTGGCGACCTGCGTGCCAGAGAGATATAGCCAGTACCTGTCCAGACAACCCCATAATTTACAGGAAAAGGAATAAGCAGAAAACGTACCTCATGAAGAGCACTGATGATTCCCTCTTTGAGGCCGGGAAGGAGGGGCCGAGGAGGTAGGGGACGCCGGGGGGGAGGGGCGAAGGCAAGCCAAGGGGGGCTGAAGGGTGACGGGCGAGGTATGGGGAGTATGGAGGTATGCGGAGTATGAGAGTTGGATGATAGATTGTATAAAGGAGGATGAGAAAGGGAGATACAAATGCACGCTGTATCAAAGTGGGGAAGGGCGCAACATTCGGACTGATCCCGATCTCATTGTTTGGTTCCACCGCACAGCTTTTGAAACGTATCCCAATCGCCGTTCTGCTCTTCTTGGGAAATCTCTTCCATCGGAAGGGTGCTGTTCCTCCAACCCCTATCATTGTCTATAAGTCGCTTACCACTGTCGCCTCATGGAGTCACCGTTGGATGATGCTTGGAACTCTGTCACGTCGAAGACTGAAGTATCTATGCATTGTGAATGCCACATGAGAGAAACATATCATGAATCATGTATTACTATTTCGCTGTCCAGTACTTCCCTAACGGACGAGGCTTAGCACTACATAGTGTAGCAAGGTGCTATTACTCTCATCCAAGAGACTCAATGATGATGACCTTAACGACATCACCAAGACGACTCGCGCGTTGACGTTGTAGTTTTTTGTATGGCAGCAACCGCCAGCAAACTAGATGCACCGCCGCATCTCACAGTCCCCAACTACCCTGTTTTACTGGTCGTCTCACCAAGAGCTGTTCTGTATGTTCTCGTACAGTAGAGTACTCGTACTCGAGTACTGAGTACTCGAGTACAGCTGCTTGAGTATTTCTCTTCCAGCGTTACCAATCTTCCACGTCACCACGTGTTTGCGCCATCCCCCACTCAGCCGCCACTCACCGTCAACTCACCGTACGTACGCTGTTCCGATCGGCTGTACCGTACATTTTTCTTCGCTCCTTCATACTCCCTCGACCTCGAATCTGCTACACCATCCGCTGATTAATCTTCGTCATACAGACATCACCATGCCGGATACAACTTTTCCTAGCAATTACGAGCCTCGCAGATTCATACTCGAGACCGTAAACAAGCCCCGATCTGGCTTATGGGGCCAATTGGTCAGCAAACACCATTCCCCCATCATATCCTACCGCTACATACCTGGCAATCGCCTTGAGCCGCTCTATTTCTTGGAATTCAGATCGCCAATACCCTGGGACTCACTGTATGAGGTTGGTAGGCGAGGCGCGACCTAGGGGCGGTTACGCAGTGGATCCAGCTAGGAGCGCTAGATGTCGACCTGGGACAGGCGGATGGTGAGAGGATGGATAAAGGTAATGAGGAATATACGTTGAGAATACATCTGTAAGGAAAAGGATATGGAGACGCGGCAGATGTATGTATGGGAACCTCCTCTCGCCTCCGCGCCTAACTCGTCCTTGAGAACATAGCGGCAACTCTAATACCAGACTCTGCGTTCCAATGTCCACGTCACTACATCTCCTCCTACTGACCAGTCCGTACCGATCCCTTACACTCACCTGTAAGCAAAGACTTCCTTCCCGAGTCTTACGACCTCTTCCGACCTCTTCCGACGTAGGCCTGACCAGCCCTTGCAGATCCTGCGGCTGCACCTATGCAAATCTTGGGCGACCGCAACGAACGGCGCGATCCTCATGAGGTGGATCAAGGCCAACTGCGCATTTGCCGCCACCGGCCCTTACGCCTCTCTCTATAAGGACATGGGTGTCTTTATTGTGCGCGTAAGTCAGGCCGTATTACATTGTTGTTGGTACTGACTGCAATCTCGCGTAGTTCCAACGTTATCAGCGTGCGTAGGCAGCCCGATGTGAAAAAAATCCGTATACTGATCCGACTTGCTACAGGGAAGCTAGGCCTCGCAATGGAGTTGCTCGTCGATTGGGAAGCCGCGCATTATGTACCCCGAGATTGGGATACCATTTCGAATGATTTGTGGCTTCTCCAACCAAGCAGCGCCACCTCATCCAGCCGATATCCGCAATCTCCCTCTGCCTTCTCCATCTTCACCGTCAAAGACATCTTCAAGTTCATCTCTTATCTGCGCACGAAGCCCTTGATGGAGATGCTGGGGGATGTAGTGCCGGATTGTGTATTATGTGTTTCCGCCGAATTTTCCGATAAAGGATTCCGAGACGCGACTGCTGAACATGGAAGATGAAGTAAGTCTAGCGTGGATTTGCTCTGGGGTGGATCTCGAGACAATAACAATGCTGACCATCTTCGCGCAGGAATCACAAGGAGTAGCGGATGCCACACGAGACGTGCCGAGGGTACCGTCAGATTCTTCAAGGTCGGGACCCGTGTCTGTGCTGCGAGCGATGTTCAACATGGCAAGTGACTGTCTTGACCAAGTATTGGATTTTCGTCCATGCTAACATCAGCTATTCATGTAGGACCGACAGGTTACGATATAGCTCGCTACGCTAAAGGGGTGTCAACAACATGTCATGAGGGGTACGGAAACGGGAAAAGTCGTGTAATCGAGTCCGATATCCTTCGCACAGGCGACAATCTATTCTCATTATCATCTCATACCATTTCATATGATGCTTTGAAGAGTAGCATGATGCGTTTCTTGCTTGGCGTCCACTCGTAGGGACTTGCTGCATCTTGCAGCCAGTCGTAACGTGACAATGAGCTTCCTAATGAGTTGGTGATGCTTTGGACTCTGTCGCGTCAAAACTATGCATATGGTGGATGCCAAATGAGAGAAACATATCATGTATCATGTATTACTATTTGTATCTAGTATAGCGCGACAGAAGAGGGACAAAAGCAAAATATATATATATATAAGGGTAAGGATGCTACACACACGGGAAGAAAGATCAAAATCAAAAGAAACACCAAAAAATGATCCGAATAGTAAAAAGGTCTCGAAGGGTGTATGAATAACAGTCAAAACCAGAGGTATATGGGGATCATATATGCCGTTTGATTACAAAATGATATACGTTATGAAACCGGGGAAAAGAGATGTCGTCAGGGGGCGTTAGAAGATTGTTGATTGTGGTGAGAGAGATATTTAGATCTATCTCGACCCTCTCGGCCCCGCGAGACTCGTCGTACTCTGCGCACCTAGACTCCCTCTCTGCCCCTGCGGTCCCAGCGTAGGCGGCGGAGGGAACTTGAGGAACTGCACATGACTCTCGTCGCTCACAAACACCACCTGCGACCGCGCAAACCTATTGACCGGAGGTCCCGGCGGAGCCTGCTGATGCGGATGGGGAACGGGGTATCCGCCCATTTGGGGAGGCGGGCGAGGGCGAGCGCCGGGGGTAAGAGGCGCGTTGGGGTAGTAGCCTCTGCCGGCAGGCGGGGCGTGAGGGTAGGCTGCAGTGTTGGGAGGGTAGGGGTATCCGGGGTGGGGCGGGGGACGGCTGTATGCTCCTCCAGCTTGACCGGGGTACATCATACGGTTGGGAGGGGGAGGGGCGTTGACTCGAGAAGGAGGGGTATCGGCAAAGAGGCACCGGATGTTGTTGCCGGGAATGATCTGGACGAGATGCCCAGTCTCGACATGGTGGACCTCGATGAACGTAGGCTCGAAGGCGACGACATAAGGGTAATGCAGGGCTAGAACACGGTCAGATGGCTCATGGGTAGCATGACCGACTTACCAAACGCCGTAGGGACACCCTCCCAGACAATAGCCCATTTCGGTCTCGCTCTCCATCCATTCTTGTTGACATAGAATGCGAATTCTGTCCAATCATTCAGCACTGATACTACCCTAAACAAAGGACGTACCGTCATAACACAACAAGAAATCCTCCTCAATCCGATAGATGGCAATCGGCCTCACATTATCCCTCTTCAACACAAAGTCCAAAGATCCATCCGACGGGTCCAGCAAGCCCTGCATATCGAGGGTTTCAAGGTCGACAATCTCAAAGCCTTTGGTACACCCGACACAAAGCTTGGTCTTGAGGAAGTGAACAGAGGAAGATTCGGTGGGGATGTAGAATTCCTGACATAATGTGAGCATTGTTCCGCAACATGGTCAAGGGGCGACACACCTTGAAGAGTTTCAACGCATCTTCTCGTCCATTCAACCTCTTCATAAAGCCCGCCTGTGCCTTCTTCTTGTTCTGTCCCACATCCACTGGCTCCATAACCTTTATCGTCGAGCTCAACGTACTACTCTTCACAATAGCCACCAGCGTTTTGCCAAGACACACTCCACTCTTGATGAAACTCGTATGCGAGCTGATCCGCTTTCCCCTCTTCAACGCCGCGGCAGGATCAGACGGGTCCAACGAATCAAGAGGGAAAGTCGTCACGCAGCGCTCGTGCAGGACGATGAGGAGCTGGAACTCTTCAATGACATCGACCTGGGTGACGTCGATGAGGGAGATGACTTTGACGGGATCCTTGAGCTTGTCGTCGCGTAGGTTGGCAAAGTAGACACCGTCGTCGGTACCAAAGATCATTCTGTTTCCTTGATCTACGGACACGTCAGTGTCCGATCAGGCAGATTAGAGACTACTCACCATAAGGACTCGCGCAATTGACCTTTCTCAATCCATTCGGTGACCCATCCGCAACACTCTCGCTGATAAACACACAGCTCTTCTCCCTCAACGACGTCTGCTGCTTATCTATACTCTCCAACCACTTCTTCCTCCCGATATACGTATCCACCCAAAGCTGCATCGAGTAGCCCTTCTTTCCGAGGTGGATGATGGTAAGGGAAAAGCCATGTTTGGACTCGGGTCTGGGAGGAGCAGCGACAGAGTTGGCCCCTTGGTTATTTGAGGAAGTCGTGTGCCGGGTGATGAGCCGTGTTCGCCCATGCGAGAGTTTACTAGAGTTGTACGATTCGTCGGGGGTCACGAGCACGAGCAACTCGAGCGGGATAGGCTGGCGTTTTGATCAGCGCGAGCTCTTGGACCAGATAACGAATGACTCACTCGTCGATAGACCTTGTACTGTTCGCTCTTATTGACCCACTTGGGCTTGACTAGCAGGAACGCATGATCGAACAGGAAACCCGTCAGATCCGCAATCTCTTCCCTGCTACCTCCCCTTCGCTTCAATGGCCCCTTGTGCACAATCTCGCGGTTCTTGTCTCTCAGCCTCAGATCCTGAAAAAAATCGTTAGCTCCAGTCACAACACCAAAGCAAAGACTCGCGATATTCTCATTCGGCCTGAAAACCAATTTCTGCTCGATTTGCGCCAACTCGAAGATGTTCTCACTCTTTCCACTCTCTACATTCACCTTGCCCAAGAACCCTTTGATCATCTTGATGACCTCTGGCAGATCCTTCTTATCCTGATGATCATCCGGCGTATACTTCAACACCGCTTCAAGCAAGAGCGGATATCGTCCAAGACGGGTGGTAGGTTTCGTAAGATACCCATTCAGCTCGAGTTTTCTCGACTCTGGTTTTCTCTCCGTCTCATCCACAAACTTCTGAAAGCCGGGGTTCGAACCCTTCTCCTTTTCGAATTCGTACTTTCCAAACAGCTGATGCGCTCCGTACGTCACGAACGGTTCGAATAAAGGAACGCGCTCCAAGAATAGATCGCCGACGCCAGAGACGACAGGTTCCTTCTGTTGGCGCTTGGTGAGGCGTTCGGCGAGGGGCTGGTTGACTGCGAGGACGTCGTGCACGTTCCAAAAGACTTGGCGGACAAAGTCGTCTCGACGGTCGAGGTCGACAATCTCCTGCGTGCGGAGCGGTTTGACCCAGAGCTGTCAATCATATCAGCATTCGCCCCCCGCAGACTCTCCAAAGTGTACTCACATCGCGAAGGTATTCCAAATCGCGGACAAAGTCTCTCTCTGTATAGATCACCTCGTTGATCGCTTCCTGCCTCTTCTTTTCCCTATCATCCACGCTATCCAGAATATCTTGCGACACCGAGTGAATCCACAACGTCCCCGTCTCCTATTCTCCCCATCAGCTCAATCCACTCAAAGAACAGATGAAACCCACCTTGACCTCGTGCAAACTCTCCCTACTCAACTTTCTCGTCAACCCCGGCTCAGGCTTCATATTCAACCTCTTCATCTGCTCCAACCTCCTCGGACAATTGATCGAATAACACAAACTGTCCCTCGAACACGTCGGGGAATAACAATCCGTCAAGAGCGTAAACACTCCCACAGGCAGATCTTCATCCTCTTCCGGATTCAAGTCGACCCCGAGCGTGCCGGACCTTGAAGGGGCGAGAGACGTGGCGGGGGTGGAGGTGAGGGACGTGGCGGATCCCGACGTCTGCATCGACAGCGTATCCGAATTAGGCCTCGCCTGCGTCAACGCCCTCAACCCATTCCCCAACCCCATCCCCATATTCAAACTCTTCCCACTCCCATTCCGCCCCAGTCCCCCCGGCTCGCTCTTCGGGCTCTCTGTCCCCCCTCCATTCTCTTGCCCCTCGAGCCAAGGCGTCGCGAGGCGCTCTTTGAATTGATATAGCTCGTGGGGGTTATCTCGGAGACGATGGTCGTATGTAACGTCGTGGAAAAACTTTTGAGCGTCCAGCGCGCGGCCGAGTAGGAGGGCGAGATTGCGGTCCGGCGTCTTGATGATTTCTGCAATCACCGCAACCGCAAGTCGCCCCTCAAACGAATCCTTGTAAGTGATTCCATCCTTCACCAGATCGCCCAGCGTAATGACCTGCTTGAAAGCCCCCGCGACTGCTGAGAGCAATGCGGGGTAGATGGGCGGGAGGGCGGAGAGCGCTTGGCGGGTTGCAGGAGGGACAGAGGTGTGGCGGGAGATGGAGAGCGAGTTGGAGTGATCGTGCGAGTGTCGATGGACGGGACCACTGCCTCGTCCCTTTCCCTTTAGTGTATGCTCGCCACTTCGTGTCGACCCAGAAAAGGACGTCGAGCGAACTTCGAACCCCGGGGCAGCACCAGGCGGTAGCGGGTGGTCCGAAGCCGGCAGGGGCAAAGACGAAGTCGACTCCATACTCTGGCGGGAAGAGTTGAGGAGCGCCATGGTGTACATGTCAGAGACCGATCCTGTGGGGGTTGTGGGGGTGGAGATGATCGCCTCGTCGCGTGTCGCATCAATCGTGGATAGTGGGCTATTGTTCTTATAAACGCGCCATTTCAAGAAACAATAAGGAATACGTACGCAATGACAGGCCTGGAAGGCTTGGTAGTGTGCCCGCTACTGGACAGGCTAGAGTCGGACGCCATCCGGCGATGCATACTCACCCTCGCCATACCTGACGCAGATCCATGTCTATCCCTTCGCTCTGCATCTCCTGTCAGCGTGTTTCCTTTCCTTCAAAGGATTCTGCCTTGAAGGACTCACCATCTTCCCTTCCACCAGCATTCGCCCCATCATCCTGAAACCCCTTCACCGGACTACTCTCAAAACTCAAATGTCCCATCTGCCCGATATAGTCTGGTGTCGTCGACCGCTCGACATTTGGCGGTGGTGGGGGTGGTGATTGCGTCGTCGGCTTGTGGAATGAAGTTATCGAATTGCTCGTCGGCATCCTTCCCAGCGCTGCCGGGTTTGACGACGAAGCAAAGGAAGTGTTTGAAGACGACGCTTCACTCCCGTAGTGGGGTTGTGATGGGCGCCGAGGAAAGGCCACCGGCGCCCCCGACGACATGCCATGCGGCGCTGGTACCTGCGCTGCACCATACCCGCTGCTGACATTCGTCTGATAAGCCTGCGCGGGCGTCATGGCCCCCGCAGGGTACTGCAGATTCGGGCCCGACGGCAGCCGTGGTTTGGGCGTCGGAAAGGTTGCTGAGGGTAGTCGTGCCGTGGGCTGGTGTGGGGAGGTAATGTCGTTGGGATTCGGAGAGTAGGCTGAGGCAGAGGATGTGCCAGAGTACGTAGACGGCGCTAGGGAAGCACGTCTTCCAGCAGGCTGGTGGGATCGTTAGCGACACCGACTTGGAGATGGAGACCACGTACCATCAACGTCTGCGGATGCCCAGCACTGACCGACCTATTGCCGTAGCCCCCCTCTATCCCTCCATACACAGAGTCATACGGATCCTCGGCTGGTAATGGCTGAGGAGCTGGTGTGGGCTGAGGACGGTACGCGAAGGGCGACGGCTGTTGCCGAGGTGGGCCCTGTGCAGGAAAGCTTGGCGGATAAGACGGCTGGGCAGGGAGGAGGTACGACGAGGGCTGCTGCTGCTGTGGGTACGGTCTGTACCCATACGTCCCTCCCGGGGGCGGCTGCGGCGCTGCATGCTGCCCCGGGGGAGGGCCATGGGACTGATGGTGGCCGACAGCAGGACGGCCAAAGATGTTTTCGAATACCTCGCTGCGGACGTCGGGGGTCTGCCGCTGCTGTTGGGGCTGCTGGCGGGGGGCTTGTTGCTGGCGCTGGCGGGGTCCGAAGGGGGCCATGGTGGCGTGGATGGGGCAGAAGAGCGATGCGTCGAAAAGAAAGAGGAGATGGGCGCTGTTTTTCGGCCCAATCTCGGAATCAGGCTGCGGACGGAGTGACCCTAAATTCCTGGGCTCGGAATTCACGCGTCGAAACACCCAACTCTTACATAAGCCTGCTTCTATAGCTGTTCGGTGATACAATGGGTGGGCATGCAGGGTCACTGAGTGCACACAACACAGGCTATGTGCAGGTAGATACGGCCGTCTCATTATGGGAGAGGCATCAGCATGAAGGGGTGCCGAACCTCTGTATTTTGGCACCCATGTTGAACGAGAAGTGTATTCCCAGCCCTCTCAGTCCACATAGCTCTGCCGGAATGCTTGCGCCAAATAACCGTTGATACAGGATGGGGAAATTTTTTGAGCAGTGAGGTTCTCACCAACAACAACATCTTGTTGATCGACATCATCACCGCATGACCCGACACATATAAAGCCAGCTGACATGCCATGGAGCAATATGTCCGCTGTTACCGAGTCCTGAAGAGTTGTTCTTGCCGTTGAGACGATCAACCCAGCGCAAACGAAGGCTCTGCGGAGGTCCGTCAGATTATGGCGCATCTTGCTGACGTGTGCTAGACTCTCATACCCGTACAGCAGTATTAGAAGCACGGCAGTAGAAGCCATCACCGTTGGCATTCTCCAAGTGTCTCGTCAAACACAGGGAGTCTTACTTCCATTAAGTCCTCATGTTCAGCTAATCGATAGTGGCTTTGCAGTTTGCAGCACTAAAGATGCCACTCAAAGACACCGCACGAAGAACAAGCCTCTCATCAACTACGGATCAAGCACTATCCAATAATTCCAGGAAGTGGTTGTTACATTCGCAGACTCACCTATCACTACATGCTGCACTCTGTGGATCCTCAAGCATGCATGCATCAAGATACATCATCATTCATGACGCGACAAACGCCTCCTTGATACTCAACGTCATTACGTAAACCTACATTCTCGCCTTTACGTCGTCCTGCGTTGAAGTCAAGTTGAAGTGCACCAAGTGACCAAATCGCCTCCCCTCTCAATCAACCCACCGCAGGCAATGTCCACCCCAAACCACCGCCCACTCAAGAGGGAATCCTGGCGCCCACACCAACCGCCACAACAACCCACGCAACATGGGCAATCGTCTCAAGGACCTCCCGGACATGGACAAGGACAAGGGTGGGGAAGGGCGGGGCCTAGAGATCAGGGGTGGAATTGGGGTGGTGCTGGTGGGGATGGCGAGGATAGGGAGGGTCGGGGCGTTAATTGGGAAAGGGAGAGGGAAAGGGAGAGGGAAAGGGAGAGGCCTAGGGGGAATGGCGTGCAGAGCAGCGATGATGGCTGGAGAGCGCAAGGCAAGAGGAAAGAGCTCTCCCCCGAGCGGCCCAGGGCCAACTTTGTGACGCATTCCGAGAGAGAGAGGCAGGAGCGAGAAGCGAGACGGCATGGTGGGAAGGATTCAGAACGGCAGGGCTTCAATGGCGGAGACTGGGATAGGGAAAGGGGCAGGGAAAGGGAAAGGGATAGAGGGAGAGAAAAGGGAAGGGAGCAGGGCTACGACCGCCCGCCGTTTCCTACGAGCGAACGTCCCTCGGGTCAGTCTGGTGGCTACATCAACCCACCAGGACCTCACGCCCGCCCCCTGCCCCCCCGAGATCAACAGCTCCCGCCGCCTCAAAGCACCAGGCGCTCGAGTCCAGACTATGGACACTCCCGGCGCGACGCAGAGCAGCCTTCCCGAGACGAGCTTTCTCATCCTCCCAAACAGCCTCATCCAAGGTCGGAGGACAGACGTGGAAGGGGAGACGACGGTCATCAGCAGGGTCCGCCGACAAAGAGACGGCGAGGTGGAAGAGAGAGTCCGGACTATGGTGTTGGCGGCGGTAGCAGAGACGCGTCAGTCGTTTGTCTTTTCTTTCCGTGCTATAGCTGACAGAGTCTAGTCCATCGCGAAGACCCGTGTCCCCTTCACTATCTGCTCGATCCCGGTCCAGAGAACGTACTCGCTCGCCAACCCTCTCCCATCGCTCCCACGCCCACTCCCACTCCCATTCCCATTCCCAAACCCACCGCCAGCGATCCCCCTCTCCTGCAGACTCGGACCGTCTCTCCACAACATCCGGCTGGTCCCGCCGCGGCCACGGGCGTGAGCGGGACCACGACAGAGACGGAGGCTACGACCGTCCACGGGAAAACAGGTCTGACCGAGGAGACTCATCACGACCCCTCTCTGACCCTCGCCAGCATACTCCCCACGCCCACGCCCACCGACCGCCTTTCCCTCACTCTGGACCGCCTCCAGACCGTTCGGGCGATAACGGCTGGTCCCTCCGACGTCGGGGCGGACCCCTACCGCCGCCAGCGCCTTTTACGCCCACGCCGAATCGGTTTGGTTCTGGCCCAGGACCAGGGCAAGGGTTGGATGGGGTGCCGACTGGGCCTGCGAGTGGACGATCTGGGAGAGGGTTTGAGGATAGACGGTTTGAGGACCGTCCTGGGTTTGGGCCCAATTCCAACTATGGCCCTGGACCTGGGCCGCCTGGTCCATCTGGTCCATCTGGTCCTCCACGAAATACGGGCAGAGACATCCCCATGCGCCAATGGGGCCGCCCCCCGAACCCCAGTGAAGACGCCCCCTGGGACGACCGTCCCCCTACCCGTTCCTTCCCTCCCACCGACCCCAGCCCATCATTCAACCGAGAACCTCCAAATTCCGAGGGTACCAGGCGCTGGTCTCGGTCCGACATGATGGATCGAGAAAGAGACGTCCGAGACGGTCCTTCAGCGGGGTACGGAGGGCGTAGAGGCGGGGAGGAAAGAGAGTTTGGGAGGGAGCAAGCGGAAAAGTATGGGTATGACCGGATCAAGCCTTTACCTTCACGAGGGCACACTCCGTCTCGAAGAGGCTCTCCAGCGCCGTCAGAGCCTAGTAGGTATACCCCACCAAGACCTGCACCCCTCTCATCTCCCCGCCATGCGATTTCGCCACGTGGACCAAAGCGCTTGGAACCGCCCCATCGCTCGCCTTCCCCCGAGCCCCAATACCAGAACTCAGACCCAACTTACCCCTCTCCCCGACCACAAATACCGATAGACGCACCCACCTCTTTCGCAGAGTACATTTCCCGCCCCGAAGATCCCCTCGTATCCATCCCCGAGCCCGAGCCCCAAGTCGAAGAGCCCCAGCCTCTACAGAGGATGGAGCCGCTCAAAATCTCGTTCGCGCCCATCGGGAAGCCGGCGGCCAAGGCAAAGGTCAATGGGGGTACGGAAGGGAAGGGTGGTTGGAAGTCATTATCGGGCGTTGGCGGCGTTGGGATCTCGTCCGGGGCGGAGAAGCGAAAGTTGTCGCTATTCGATGATGAGGGGGAAGATGAGGCTGGGGACGGATCCCGAAAAGAGAGTGAAGCAGAAGTGGAAGCTCCGACAGAAAAGAATGAGCAGCCGACTTTGCCTCATCCTGACGCACTCATCCATCGACTTACACTCGCTTCTCAACGATACAACACCCTCCTATCCGCCTTGCCCACCTTTCTCCGCGCAGCGTTCGACGCTTACGCCACTCTTCTTCCCTCCCCTTCCTCCTCTGTCAATCCTCGACATCCACTTCCACCAATGGACCTCTTCCTCGACGAATTTCTCAATAAACGTGCGACGATGGACGAGATCACCCGCGTAGAACAAGTCTGGGAAGCGAGGATGGCGTGGGAAGCGCAAGAGGAGGAAGGGAGGATGTATCTGGAACAGGTTGGGAAGGGCGGGATCGTGCAAGGCGGTGAAGAGAGGGGAGATATGGATCGGGAGAAGATGGAAGTCGATGCTGGGCCAATTATGGAAGTGTTGGCGCAACCCACTCCGGCACCGTCGGATACTTCGGCTCAGCCTCTTGAGCCTGCGCCTGTCCCCGAAGATATCGCCCCGCTGCCAGTGTATCAAAAGATCACCCACGTCGGTGAAGGTACTTATGGGAAAGTCTACAAAGCTCGGTCTACGATTACTGGTCAATTTGTGGCGCTCAAGCGTATTCGGATGGAGGGCGAGAAGGATGGTTTCCCCGTGACGGCGATGAGAGAGATCAAGCTGCTCCAAGCGCTGCGAGACGGCAATGTCTTGAGGCTTCTCGAGATGATTGTTGAACAAGGTGAGCATCCCGTGTCGAGATGAGAGCCAGTGCTGACTTTTGAACAGGCTCAGTGTACATGGTGCTCGAGTATATGGACCACGACCTCACCGGCCTCCTCTCCCACCCTACATTCCGCTTCACCCCCGCCAACATCAAATCCCTTTCCCATCAGATGCTCGCTGGCCTGTCCTGTCTGCACCACCACTCTATCCTTCACCGTGATCTCAAAGGCGGCAATATCCTGATCAACTCGAGAGGAGAGCTCAAGCTCGCCGACTTTGGGCTGGCGAGGTTTTATGAAAAGGATCGGAAAAGGGGTAGGAGGGAAGACTATACGAATCGCGTTGTTACGCTTTGGTATAGAAGCCCGGAGCTCTTACTGGGAGAGACGGTGTACGGGCCCGAGGTGGATATGTGGTCTGCTGGGTAAATCATCCATCTGCTGTTGGTGCACGGCTGACAATACGCAGCTGCATCATCCTCGAGCTATTCACCACCAAACCGATCTTCCAAGGCAACGACGAAATCCACCAACTCGAGACCATCTACTCCATCATGGGCACGCCCAAGGAGAGCGAGTGGCCGGGGGTGAAGGCGTTGCCTTGGTACGAGCTGGTCAAGCCAAAGGAGGTTGTGGGGAGCAAATTCAGAAGCTCGTTTGCCAAGTAAGCATATACCGCTTTAGAAGAAGGGAGCTAATGGGAAGTAGGTGGTTGAGTCCAGCTGGCCTTGATTTGGTGGAAGGGTTGCTATTCTACGACCCTTTGAAACGTCTTTCGGCAGACTCGGCTCTGAAGACAGCGTACTTTACGAGTGAAGATCCTACGATGGAGAAACCAACTCAGTATGTCTTTCGCTATTTGAGAGTGCATACCGCTAACCCTTGTTCCCAGACTGGAAGGTATGGGGGAGCATCACGAGATGACGGCAAAAGCAGAGAAGAGAAGACGGCGGATGGAAGAGGGCGAGTCGAGACATGGATCATGAGGTCCTTTCATATGTCTGTAGCTGTAGACTCTCAACATAATAAAGCATCACTACTTAATCATGAATTCATCTGCATTGAGCTGGAAGTGAGAAAGGTAACATCTCGGACGTCCTGCGTGTCACGCCCCTCTAAATATCCTGCTTTTGTCCCTCTTCTGTCGCGCTATACTAGATACGAATAGTTATACATGATACATGATATGTTTCTCTCATTTGGCATCCACAATGCATAGTCTTTGACGCGAGAAAGGACCAAGCATCAGGGAACTGTGGCTTCATGGGGCGACAGTGGTAAGCCGCTTACAGACCATGTTAGGTGTTGGAGTTGAAGCACCCATCCGAGGAAAGCGACTCCCGAAGAAGAGCAGAACGGCGATTTGGAGCTTCAAACACGGTTCAGAGGCTCGGCGGTGGAACCAAACAATGAGATCGGGATCAATCCGAGTGATTGCGCCCTTCCCCACTTTGATACAGCGTGCATTTGTATCTCCATTTCTCATCCTCCTTTATACAATCTATCATCCAACCCTCATACTCCGCCTCCCTATATACTCTCCATACCTCGCCCTTTGCCCTGAGCCCCCCCTCCGGCTCTCCCTCGCCCCCCGGTGGTGTCCACTCCTCCTCGGCCCCTCCTCCCCGGCCTCAAAGAGGCGATCAACCGCCCCCGCCGCACGGTACGTGTCAATTTATTCCTTGTTCTGTAGATTGTGGGGCTGTGGGGGTCGGTACTGGCTACATCCCTCTGGCACGCAGATCGCTAGAGGGCAGGCTGCTTGTCCGTCGTTGTTCGAGAGGTGATCTCTCCATTCCTGGCAAGACTTATCTGGCACGCGCACGCTTCGTGACGTTGCTGGATCTAATGTGAGGACGACGAAACTCAAAGTCTTCTTCGTGGTCAAGTCCTGTACCCTTATGATGTGCTCTGTCTGGCTTTACTCGCGCAGGATGCACGGCTGACGCAAGACAACAGATCCCTTGCCCCAACCCCGACCCCTAACCCCGACCCCTAACCCCGACCCCTAACCCCGACCCCGAGGCCAGCGCCCCCGTCAGAGATGATAGCGAGAGGGACAGTTGGTGGCCTGGTGGCGCTGACTTGTTTCTTTGGTGCTGGCATCCCTTCCCAGATGGAAGGTTGGGTAAAGCCAGGGAATTCGTTGGGGGTACGTTTTGCCACTGTTTTGTCAGATTCTATCTTGAAAGGATGCATAGCTGATTCGACGAAAAGTGGTTCGAGACCTCCTCTTGATGGTGCTTTTGGTCGGCTGGTGGGTGGTGATGCAGGGCGACATGAAGAGGTGAGTCCATGGTGAGAGGGACTTTGCGCTGTGGGAGTGACTTCTCGCTCAAGGTGGCTGACCTTTTCTCAGGTATCGGCCCATTTGCTTGTTATTTCTCCCGTATGTCCTCGTGCGGTGGAGGTGGTGCACGGCGCCATATGGCTCACGGGTGTTCGGCGTTGCCCCTGCCGACGCATCAGCCCCCGCCGACGCTGCCTCAGCCGACTCTGCCCATGCCGACGCATCAGCCCCCGACAACGCTGCCTCAGCCGACTCTGCCCATGCCGACGCATCAGCCCCCAACGACGCTGCCTCAGCCGACTCTGCCCATGTCGACGCATCAGCCCCCGCCGACGCTGCCCCTGACCCCGCCCCCGCCCAAGTGCCACCCGAGATCAAGGCCCTGATGGACAGTAAGGACGCCCTGCTGAACAGTAAGGACGCCCTGCTGGACAGTAAGGACGCCCTGCTCGCCTCCCAAGCGGAGATAATCTCTCAGCTTCGGGAAGAGCTCAAAGCCGCCAAACTTCGGGACGAGCAAGAGGCATCCACTGCCCCGCCCTCTTTTGCTTACTGGGTTTGTCTCTTCTGCCGTGATTTAGTGGCAAGAGTAAATCTAGGCCTTGTACTCTTTTTCTCAACCGTATGTCGTCGGGCGGGTGGATGGTTTCATGGTGGTTATGGACTGAGTACTTACAACTTCACTTAGGATTTGCCTTTCTACTCGGACATTGTTTCGCAGGTGATCGGGAGAGTTTGAGCGCCGGGGTGGAGCTTGGGGGTGGAGGGAGGTCGGAGGAGCTGGAGAGGAGTTGGGAGGGAGGGGAGGGGCGCCGGGAAGGGGGTGGTAGGGAGGTGAAGAGAGGTGCATGTATATAATACACTCTTGTATGCAATAAACACGTAAGACAGGCAAAGACAAGATCAGGGTCACGCTGCATAAGTATTTCTCGAAGGCTCACTGCAAATCAAGACCAGCCGACTGAATGACACGACTCGATTCTCATTTACGTCCTCTTCTGACATGGTGTGGTATCCATAGGACAGCGCCGCTGTGCTAAAGTGTGACTTGTCGGTCCTACATGAATAGCTGATGTTAGCATGGACGAAAATCCAGTACTTGGTCAAGACAGTCACTTGCCATGTTGAACATTGCTCGCAGCACAGACACGGGTCCCGGCCTTGAAGAATCTGCTGACGGTACCCTCGGCACGTCTTGTGTGACATCCGCCACCGCTACTCCCTGTAATTTCTGCGCAAAGGTGGTCAGCATTGTTGTCGTCTCGATATCGACCCCGGAGTCAAATCCACGCTAGACTTACTTCATCTTCCATGTTCAGCAGTCGCGTCTCGGAATCCTTTATCGGAAAATTCGGCGGAAACACATAATACACAATCCGGCACTACATCCCCCAGCATCTCCATCAAGGGTATCGTGCGCAGATAAGAGATGAACTCGAAGACGTCCCTGACGGTGTAGATGAAGAGGGGAGAGAAACATTGCGGATATCGGCTGGATGATGTGGCGCTGCTTGGTTCGAGACGCCATGTATTGTCCGCAATGGCCTCCCCAGTTCGGGGTACATGATGCGCGGATTCCCAATCGACGAGCATCTCCATTGCGAGGCCTAGCCTTTCTGTAGCAAGTTGGATCAGTATACGTTTTTGTTTTTCTATATTCACATCGGGCTGCCTACGCACGCTGATAACATTGGAACTATGCGAGATTGCAGTCAGTACCAACAACAATGTAAGACGGCCCGACTTACTCGCACAATAAAGCCATCCATGTCCTTATAGAGAGAGGAGTAAGGGCCGGTGGCGGCAAATGCGCAGTTGGCCTTGATCCACCTCATGAGGATGGCGCCGTTCGTTGAGATCGCCCAAGCTTTGCATAGGTGCAGCCGCGGAATCTGCAAATGTTGGTCAGGCCTACGTCGGAAGAGGTCGTAAGACTCGGGAAGGAAGTCTTTGCTTACAGGTGATCCCCAGGGTATTGGCGATTTGATTTCCAAGAAATAGAGCGGCTCAAGGCGATTGCCAGGTATGTAGCGGTAGGATATGATGGGGGAATGGTCTTTACTGATCAATTGGCCCCATAGGCCAGATCGGGGCTTGTTTAGGGTCTCGAGTATGAATCTGCGAGGCTCGTAGGTGGGAGGAATGGGATGGGTGGACATTGTGATGTTTGTAGGGTATGAGGAAAAGTGGTAAGGATGTTTTGCGGTAGGGTCGCTGGAGAGCGGGAAGAATTAAGATGATTTGGTTGTGACGCTGAACATTGTTATTTGCCGAGAACCAAATCGTATGCACTCGTACCGTACTGTACCTACCGTACAGCTCTTGGTGAAACGACCAGTAGAAAATGTAGTTGGGGACTGTGAGATGAGGCTGTACATCTAGTTTGCTACATTGCTGGCGGCTGGCTGTCATACAACGAATTATAACGACAACGCGCAAGTCGTCTTGTTGATGTTGTTTGGTCATCATCATTGAGTCTCTTGGATGAGAGTAATAGCACCATGCTACACTATGTGATGACAAGGCTCGTCCGTTAGGCAAGTACTGGACAGTAAATGCACGACGTACCCCGAAAGTAGGGCGCTGCTATGAGTCGACTTGCCGTTCATACTCATCAGGTGAGATGATTCACCTCGTTCAAAGCTTGAGGCCACGCCACTGCGTCGGCGGTCCCGCGTTCTTGCACCGATCTGCTGACTTTGTAGCTAGCGAAGTTAGCAGGTATACTACCAAGGTCAGCAGGTGCATGCGAGGCCGACCTCGCTGGTGAACGAAGCTGCAAAACCCTTCGCCAATCGATCCAACATCATGTTTTTACCGTCATCACTCGTCGCGTCGCAGGGGCTGCGCTTCCTCTTTTTCTCCTTCTTCTCCATGAGGTCTGATACTCTTCTCGAAGAAGATGAGATGCTTGATGGAAGATGTAGGAGAGAAGTGCGCCCTATCACGGTTTTCCGCGTATATAAAGGTAGATCGTAAGACGAACGGCCAGCTTATCGCAAGAAACACCCTCAATTACAACGACCACTACCACCAAGAACCTTGATCTCACAATCGCAAAATGGCCTACACGTACCGTGTCAACGACTACCAAATCGCCCGGTACATATCAATCTTCTTCTTCTCAAACCCCACCCTTTAATTGAGCTCGGCTTACGCTAGTGTTGCACAGTGTGCCGGGGAGTTTCATCCAAAAAGAAATCAAATACAAAAAGGCCCAGCCACCTACCAAACATGTCTGCAACGGTAAAGGCTGTATGGTGATGATTCCGTTGAATGAGTCAACTTGTAAAGGATGTCTGGAGTGAGTGATACTGTTCTTTCTTCTCGGATGGCTGGAGTCTGTTTTGACAATGCATCTACGACAGTAAGGCGAAGGCTTGAAGGAGCAGACGGGGAGAGTAAGAAACGACACATGGAACAGAGGGATGACCTGTAGATGGTGTTGAGACGGAAGATGTAGGATCTCAGTGATGTACAAGTGATCTGTCGACAGCTCATATTAGGCTTCGACTGCACTGTGACTCGCTATCAGCCATCGCACCATCATCTCACCCAGCGCAGAGTCCCCTGGACACCGCCACCGACACCGTTGACGTGCATGATCCATGATATCACTGTGTGTACATACTTTGAATACGAGTACTCGTTGATGCGTGCTGGCGGCCAACATGCAGTCGACTGGACTGCGCGGTGAGGCCGGTGATCATGATTGAAAGGACATATATGACGCCACAGACGTCGTGCTTACGCCCTCAACTGTTCTTTATCAATGTAGATCGACTGTGACAGCTTCAGTGTAGCATCAATGAGCCACACCGGCACATTCCATTCGACAGGGCGTGCATACGATGCGGCAGGCAGCATCATTCAACCTGATAATACAATGTTAATTACATTTGTAATTATCTGTTTACGTAACGCGTGACGCGGTTGCTTTTGAACAAAACAAACATGACTGATTTCTTTTCCATCCATCTCTCTCCTCACATCGTCCGCCATGCTGTCAGAAAACAGCAGCAACCTCCCCGCCGACACGTAAGTCCCCGCGCCAGCCCCATTCTCTCTCCGCCCCCTGCTGAAAACCCATAGCACAAACCCCTTCATGTCCAAATCCGCCCTCTCGCCCTCCAAGTCCCGCGTCTCCCCCGACTCGTCTCTCGCTTCTCTCCGCCAAGGCATGGGCCGTATGGATATCTCTTCCAAAGGCTCTTCCGGCCCCTACTTGACAGAGACCCGCGAGCGGAAAGAGTCGAAAGACACCACCCGGCGCGAACTCGACCGTTTTGTCCCTTCCCGCCCCGCCTCCCTCGCGCACAGCTCGCACTCGGGATCTGCGATGCCGACGTTGGCTATGGACGCTGCGACGCCGGATGGGTCAATGGATACGGGCTTGTCGGGGGGGCATGACCAGTCGACGTCGAGTCTGCAAGCGAGCTTGGGGATCAACAATGGTAATCGCCGTATCCTCTCTTTCCGCGCCCCTCCACCTCCCTCATCGCGTGCGACGTCCCACCTCGATGCCCAGCGAAACTACCTCCTCCAGTCTTCCGCCTCCGCCAACAGAGGCGGCAGTACGGCGCCGGGGAAAGAGACCAAGAAGAGGGCGCCGCCGTATATGCCAGAGAGGGTACTGGATGCGCCCGGGTTTCAGGATGATTATTATCTGAATTTGATCGATTGGAGTTGTGCAAATAGGGTGGCTATTGGGTTGGGAGACATGGGGTATGTTTGGGATGCGGAGACGGGGGATGTGAGTGCTTTGGGGAGCGGTGTGGCTGATGAGTACGTATTCATGTCTTTGATGTTGATCATGCTGACTTTCGTCGTAGAGAGGAACCCAACCCCGTCACGGCTGTCTCCTGGTCCAACGACGGCGCCTACCTTGCCCTCGGTCTTGACTCTGGCGAAATCCAAATTTGGGACGTCGAAGAGAACAAAAAGATGCGCACGATGAAGGGCCATCAAGCGCGTATCCCCACCCTCGACTGGCACGGGCACGTCCTCACTTCTGGTTGTCGAGACGGAAGTATTTATCACCATGATGTGAGAGTCGCAAAGCACAAGGTGCAGGAGCTGGTGGGGCATAATGCGGAGGTTTGTGGGTTGGCTTGGAGGCCGGATGGACAGTTTTTGGCGAGTGGTGGGAATGATAATGTCGTCAACTGCTGGGAGTGAGTTGCCTCCCATTTCTAAATCTGCAAGGCTGACTGGTCTGTAGCGGTCGAATCGGCGCGTCTGTGCTGCAGACGGACGAGGGCACCCCCCGCGGCGTCGCCAAATGGACCAAACGCAACCACACCGCCGCCGTCAAAGCCATCGCCTGGTGCCCCTGGCAATCCTCCCTCCTCGCCACCGGCGGCGGCACCGCCGACAAACACATCCACTTTTGGTCCACCTCCACCGGCGCGCGTACCGCCTCCCTCTCCACTTCCACCCAAGTCACCTCTTTAACCTTTTCGCCGCATAGCAAAGAGATACTGGGTACGCATGGGTATCCGGATAATACGCTGACGCTGTGGAGTTATCCGGGGTTGGAGAAGGTGTGGGAGGTGCCGGCGCATGATTCGAGGATCATCAGTTCGGCGTTGAGCCCGGATGGGACGACGCTTTGTACGGGGGCGGGGGATGAGAATCTTAAGTTTTGGAAGGTGTGGGAGCCGAAGGCGGTGAAGAAGGATAGGGATGAGGGGGATAGTGGGGGTGGGAGGGGTAAGACGGCTGTGAGGATTAGATAGGGGTATGGGGAGTGAACGTTTATAGCCTAGTCTCTTTTATACGAATGTCCATCACGCAGCTTGTCATGTATACCATTAATGAACCTGGCATGGGATTATGGTACGCGCGATTGAGCTTTGCATACAATTGACGCCTCCATTATATCGCAAATCCGACCTCTCGACTAAACACGACGTCCTCGTCTTACGCTCTTGGCCCTTTCTCTCTCCGGCCTCTGCCCCCTCCAGCTGCCCAAATGCCCTGCCCATATCTTCTCCATCACTCTACCGCAATACCGCGATACCCCTACTCGGCTCTACATGCGACGATGCCTCAGAATTTGTCTCGTGTTCGGGGCGCAGGCTGCACCACGCAACATCGGGCAGAGATATGATGAGTTGATGGCGCTGACGGACGGCTGATGGATGATGGGTGCTCTATGTATGCCCCCTGATCGCCCGTCGCCGCGTCTCCCGGGCGGCCCGTGCCTAGCCATCATTCAACGTCCTACGTAGCTGTCATGTTTAGGATAGACGAGAGAACTTGACTCAACACCGAACGACATGTGCCTCAGGGCAATGCGGCGTACAGCCACCGAGGGCTGATCAGTCTTGACAAGCTATACCGTTCAACGATTGATGAAGACTCCATTGACATAGGACTATGATACATGATGGTGTACACAATTGAGCTACATGAATCAACGACCGACACCTCTTACAACAGTATCAATCTCCCAACGCGTTCCGACGGCGACACAACATACTCATCCGCTCTACCCCATCACTCCACTACAATCCCCCTACTCAACAACATAGCAAACAAATCATCCCCCGCCCCTCCTCCCGAAACGAACCTCGGCACCCTACTATTCCGCTCCACGATCTCATCCCCTCTATGCGACCTGTTGAACGAAGGCTGCGGACGGGGGCGGTGGTGGAAGGGAGAGAAGAGCTTGATGGTGGAGTCTATGCCGGAGGAGGCGATTAGGGGGAGAGTGGGGTGTTGTTCGATCACTGTTGGAGAGGGTGGGTTAGTATGTGGAGAGGAGGGAGGGAGAGGAGATGGGGAGGGGGAGGGGGAGGGACGTACTGTTGACGATGGCGCCGTCGCCTTCCCAGACACCTTCGAGTCTGCCGGTGTCTTTGTCCCAGACCATGAAATGTCCATCATCCGAACCGGATGCGATCTTGTCACTCCTCACTCCCAAAAAGTTGCCTATACGATACCATCAGATCACCCTCCTAAGAGATCTGGTGGGAGGTGAAACTTACAGTCCTTGACAGTCTCAGTGTTCAACGCCCCAAAGAACGACCTCACAGGATGCACGACATCGACAGAATCATACTTCTCTTTCGCCGCCGTACTCGCATGTGCCCCAAAGGGAAAACCAAAGATGGGCGATCCGAAAAAGTCTTCGTCTTCTTCATCAGCGTCGATATAGGTGTCTTCGTCAAACATGTCGAAATCGTCATCGTCGTCGAGGGACGAATAGTCGTCTTCGTCGGTGCCGTCGTGGCCTGGGCCGGCGACGGGGCGTTGGAGAAGGTCGTCGGCCAAGTTGTTTGTGTCGGATAAATCTGTTGTCGGAAGGTTGATCAATTTTTGTTTTCTTTTTTTTGGCTAGCGAGTAGATGAGAAGCTCACGATTTCTTAACTCCTCGTCATAATCCCTGAATTCCTCACCCTCGTTGATATCACTATTCTCATCAAGAGGATCCACACTGGAAACATGGCGCTGGTCACGCTCCTCTGCCATGATGGCAGCTTGCTCCATCACCCCTTCATAGAAATCCTGCAAGCCCGGCGACATTGACTCCATGTCAGAGTCTTCTTCGGGTTGGAGCTCGTCTGGCAAGAACAAGTCCAGAGCACGCAAGTTGCGTCTTTCCTCGGCTGAGAGGGGTTCTTCGTTTCCGGTGGTGGATGCTGAAGCGGGGCGAGAAGAGGATTCGGGGTCGGCTGAAAGGTTGATCAGTTTGTTTTTTTTTTTGCTAGCGAATAGATGAGAAGCTCACGATTCCTTGACTCCTCGTCATCCTCCCTGAATTCCTCACCTTCGATCATATCGCCATTCTCATCAAAAGTACCCACACTGACAGCATTGCGCTGATCACGCTCCGTTGCCATGATTCGCTCCATCACTTCTTTATAGACTGCTTGCGGGCCCGGCGACAGTGGCTCCGTGTCGGAATCTTCTTCGGATTGGGGCTCGCCTGGCAAGGGCAAGGTGGTGGATGCTGGAGCTGGGCGAGAAGAGGATCCGGGGTTGGCTGAAGATGAGGGCGGAGAGAGGGAGCGAGAGCTTGTGGGTCGTTTTCCGAGAACAGATTTGTCGGAATCGTTCTTTGTTCGCTTGGCGTTCTCATTCGGGGATAGTAAGGGTGAAGAATTCGGTGATTTGGCGGAAGACGAGTAGGGAGAATCGTACGTCGAAAAGAGAGAGGTCGAGTGTTTCATGAATGCTACCGCGACCTGTCGACTTGTCAGCTCGAATCCCGCTTCCGATTGGACGATTGGAAGGCATACCTCATCGCCTCGCTCTCCACTCATCCTGACACTACTGATATGACGATCGCCTCCAAATCTTCGACGGCCTGGCAGGACGCGCTCCCATTCTTCATTCGGAAGCCCGAGTCGGCGGACGCAGTGGACTTGACCGTCGGATCTGGTATTCGGACCCCAAGAGGATGATGAAGAGGAGGGAGTCATACGACGGTCGCACACAAAAGCCTGTCACTTTATCAGCCCTCGTACCAGCAAGAGAAATGTGCACGCACATGCTCGGCAGTCCCCGCGACAGTAAACATCCAAGGCATCACAGGGCTCACGCTCAGGCTATACAGATCCACCCCTTTTGGCGCGTTGAACAAGACTTCGGGGCATAGTCCTGCAGAGCAAGAGTGGGGGAGGCGGAGATCGTGTTGTCGGACGGTGCCGTCTTCGGAGACGGTAAGGAAAAGGGAGGGCGAGTTTTCGGTGGCGATGCGCTTGACGCGAGATTTGTGGCACTGGAGGGTACGGACGCTGCAAGAATGTAAAGTCAAGTTCGGTTCACTTGCACTTAGCGATGAAGAGGGACAGGTATCGCCTTCTGACAGGGGACACGCCCAAGACAATCAGACTCACCCTGCCGCGCCAGCACCAGTCCCATCCAACACATCCCAGCTCTCCCCATTCTCTGCAGTTTCCTCACTCCGCCCCAGTCGTTCCACATCAAACACTCTTATATCCCTATACCCAGCCACGCTGACAATGGTTGGTGTATTTGCGTGCGGCAAGAATTTGGCAGAGAAGATGTTGTTGCGATGGCCAGTCTTGATCATCGTGGACAGCTTGAGGGGGTGAGGAGAGATGGTGTTGGGTAGAGGAGAGGAATCCGGTTGCCATATGCATAGCCTAGTATGATCAGCCTTGAATACCGGTATGCACGTTGGACATGCCACGTACCGCCTGTCATCTGAGCCCGACAACAAAGTCTGACCATCTTCGCTCCAACTGAGCGCGTTCACACATCTACTATGGGTCAGTCACAGTCCTCGTAGCAAAGGAGGAGCAGGTCTCACCCAGTATGCCCCCCACCATCCGTTCCACCTAAGACTTGTACCCTATCCAGAGTCTCCCACATGGACTGATCCGTGCCGTGCCCATCAAGACCCGGGCGGGTGGGCTGGAATTGGCGAGAGAGCGGCTTCAGAGTGTGGCGGGGCATGATAGTTGAGGGCTGTATTGGATGATCCGTGAAAAGTAAGAAGATGACAGAAAAGTGATACTCGTAATGAAAGAGATGATGCGCACAAATGACGGGCCTCGGCGGCCGTCAGGGTTGCGCGCATGTCCTCTTTCATTCAGTCGTGACCAATGTGTACGTTCGTGATTCGGGATTTTCCTGTCTGGTACGAGTCATACCCGTTTACCATGCAGATAGGAACATTAGCTTTATCCATTCCCGTTTATCAACTCAAGACAACAAGTCAGGATGCCACAATACAAGCGCTGTAAACGCCCTTGCGTTTGCATGATGGTAAGCTATATATGAATACTGTCCCATTGGGATTAGCAGGTCCCTAGAGGTCCTAGTACTATAGGGGAAGCACGCGGTAGGTTTAAGGTGAATCAGAGCAGTAGTGTCGCGGTGGACGCTAATGGACGGCTCGGTGTAAGGGTCGAGAATAACCCTTCACTGAGATAGTGATGATGTAACGACTGGACAAAGCCAGGAGAGGAAATAGCCGACGTAGAAGCCGGAGATCGACGTAGAAGTCGAGAAACGGTGATACCAGGTGAGTGCGTCGGACAGCGAACGGTCACCTGTATTGCATAGGCTAAAACTGGACTAAAGTCAGAACTCGCCGAGCCTTGCACAACACACAAACAAGCAGCTGTCCTTGGGAAAGAGACGAGCCAGAGAGATGAGAGATGAAGAAAAGGATCTCTCGGCTCTGCTTGTTTGTGGTTGTACACGCGCGTCGGAATCTCGGCATTACGCGCGTGGCACGGGTAAGAGGCCTGCTCTCTTACACTCGGCTGATACAGTGATTTTTACATGTGTCAGCTCATAGCTAGCGCGATATTGAACTTGTTCTCGACTACTCTACACGCCACCAATCTCCGACTGCTGATAGCAAGCTGCTGATACAAGAAGACGTTTGGATGTCGCTCAACACCCTCTTTCTCACTTGGCGTTAGCTGCCGCTTGCTCTGCAGCTACTCTCGCCTCTTCTTTCCTACAAAGATATGAGCACTGGACCATGGGGAATGGTAAGTACCGCCATGACGTACGTCTTACAGCTCGGGCACATGGTAGAGCCCTCGTCATCGAAACGATTGATGCAGCCTGTCATGCTACATACCTTACCAGGTGGAGTCGGAGCTCTCGTGTAGTGAATGGTGGGAAGGATATTGGGATGGCTTTGCAAGTGCGTAAGATACTCGAGCGGCAAAGAGGACAATGGAGATGGCTCTTACCGGACAATTTGATCGTGAGACATTGTTGTTGGGTAGCTGGATCTTGTTTGAGGCATGTTCTGTGTCACTTCGAAGGTTCATGAGGTTTATATATGCAAATTACATGGGATGATCTGCTGAGATACGTAGCTGCACGCCTCTCGCCACCGAAAACGCCGCGAGAAGACCATCGCTGGACGGAAAACGCGTTCGAACGGATCGTCGTGTCAGGCCAGGGCGTATCAATGAATCTCGCCTTGTGATTGCCGATGATAGTAATAACCTATATACAGGAAGTCAATCAAACTGGCATTGACCCAATTTTGCGGGGCGCGCCAACCGGCATACCTCTTCGCGCAACAATCGCGCAATCTATTGCTTTGACTTCTTCTTCTTACTTGAAGACTTCTTTTTCAACTTTTTCGCATCCCCTTTCGTATCTTCTCCCTCCGCCCAGGGCCACCACCCCCAAGCAGTCTGCGCCACCCGGCTCACTATCCCGGCCTGCTCCTCTTTCACGGCGACCTCCAGCTCCTGATCCACTCCATCTTGAACCCGGCGAAGGAATCCATCGTATTCTACAGCCAAAAACCATAGCACCGACATTACGAACGCGACTGTCCCTCTACACCACACCCCCTAGTCAGCGCTAGCTCTTTCGGAATTGGAAGGAAGGAATCTGAAGACGTACAGCCAAAAAGCAGGCTGCCTACTGACCGTCTTGACGTCGTCCGTCAGCTCCAGCTTACGACCGACAGATATATCCGAGATCATCACTATGCAAGGGAGCAAGGGGCCGAAGAGGGGAAGGACGGTGCCGTAGCGTTTGGTTGTAGGGGACGCGGGGAAGAGGAAGAGAACATGCGCTGCTAGGGCGTTTAGGGAGAAGATTGCAGATGCTATGGGGAGTTCTCAGTCGCTCGCCCGGCGGGATGTTGGCTGACTGATGATGGGGCGGACTTACATGCGAGATGAAAGATCAACAGAGTGTGTATACTACCCCAATGTGCCGGATTTGTCGTCTCTCCCGTACACCTAATCCAGCAGCCCATCAGCTCTCCCTTCCATCCTTTCCATCGACACGCTGTACAGTACGAGTACTTACTCTTGACCAACTTCACAACTCCCCAACCCTCCAACCTCCCAAACCTCCCCATCGCCTTGCTCCCCACCCACCTCCGTCTCCCCCCAATACTCGACTCTCAAAAAGTAGAATCCTACTCTCGTACCGGTGACGCCAGAGAGGATGAGGAAGAGGGCTGTGAGGAGGGCGAAGAAAGGCGGGAGGAGGTGGATGATGCGGAGGGTGCATGGATGTGGGAGGGTGCGGAGTGAGAACATTGCATTGCTGACCTGGATGGCTCTGGTATGCTGTAGAGATGCATGATGTGAATCATGGTACTTGTTTTTAGATGGGATCACATATGAAGGGATGCCGCTTGAAAGGATGAGCCAGGACACACTGGCAAAGGTTGACGACGTTTGAATCTCGGCACGCCGAGCGCGCGCATCTCCTCTTCCATCGCGTTCCAATCCCAAGCGCAAAAAGTAGAATGACACGAATGCATTTGTTTTGTTGACAACGAGGTATTCCCCTAGTTATAAAGAGAGAGAAAAGAAGTCATACCGTTCTTACCCCCGTCCCCATCGTACCATCATACCAGCGTACCATCTTCGTGAAGCAGCACATCTAACCCCAAACGTCCAAGACCGTCGTCAACACCCAAGCTCGCTCCCCCCTCGCCCAAACTAGTAAACAACGGATAGATAGATTACAGAGGAAAAGAAGAGGAGTTGTTTAAACAAAAGTGACAAGTATAGTTTATAGATTGACAAAATGCGAAAGGGAAAGATCAAATGGGCGATCTATCCAGACTTATCCAGGAGGGAGAGAAAACGACAATCATTACAAGCTTTTTTTGTTGACGGGGGTAAATACCGAAGAATGAAAAGGGGAAACAAACAAAAGTATGCTGGATATATTGATTTTGATGATGGGGTAGGCGGGGAGGAGGGTAAAAAATGAATATTGCTTTTGATTGTCGACATGATCGAAAAGATGCCGGATGACGAAAGATCCGCCGCTCCCCCTTGCGCGCGACTTGCCGACCCCTTTCCTCCCCCCCAAACCTCCATCCTCTCTCGCCTCGCCCCTCGCCTCTCCCATACTGCAAGCTTCCAAGCCTCCATCCAGAAAAGAAGAGCCAGGCAAAAGGCAAGCACACCTCTCTACGCCTTCTCCCTCAACCACCCCACATACCGCCTCAAAAACTGCACCTGCTCATAACTCTCAATCGCCTTCAACCCCCGCCGACAGCGGATCATGGCGATGACGCGCTCGACGATGGACATGATGATTTGGTGTTCGAGTTCGGCGGGGATGGCGGCGGGCCCGGGGGCGGGGGCGGTGCTGGGGAGGGAGGACGAGGAGGTGAAGGAGGCGGAGGAGGGGTTGAGGGCGGATCGAGCGGTGTGGGCGGCATGTCGCCTAGCAGCTTCCTCGACGATCGTCAAACTCGGATGAGGCTGTACGAAACCCATCTTGATTGCCCAAGCACAAGCCGTCATCCCAGCGCGTCCTATACCGCCTGTATATGTGTCGAAAACCCAGGTCGATCCAGAGTAGTGAGCGGGACGAAAGAGAAGAAGAAGGAGAATGTCAATAAAGAGAAGAGATGATGGGAGAGGGGAGAGGAGGGGGGACTAACCTCGACAGTGGACGAGCACGTTGATGCCTTGCAGAGTATATTTTTGGGCGATGAGAGCGACTTGCGAGTCGAACAATTCCATCGAAACCATCGTGAACCCATCCGGCATCGGCAACCTGACCCATCTTTATCAATACCCTGTCCATTTCACCCATCCCACCCGGCAAAGATGGAAGGGGGAAGAAAAGACTCACCGAATAACATCCAACCCCGTGCCCACCGCCACATCCCTATAAGTCTCCCACGGCACCCCCAACAAAGCCAACTCCTCATCATCCAAACAACAAACCAACGCCCCCACCCCTTCGCCTTTGATCCGCCTCAGATCGGTCGCGAGATCACGGCATACAGGACCGCGGCCTTTGGAAGGCGCGTCCATGCGGAGGCGTTTGCCGGGGCAGGAGGAGAGGAGGAGGTTGCCGAGGGTTCTGGTTTGGGTGGTTTGGGTTGAGGTTGAGGTTGAGGAGACGGAGGGGGAAGGGGAGGGAGGGGAGAGGTGGAGGTCTCTAAAGCTGGATTGGAGAGGCGAAGGGATAGGCGCCGATGCCGAGGGCGGCGCAAAGCCGAGAAGCAGACTCGGCACATCGATTCTCGAACCCAACATCATCCTCTTCCCTTCTTCCAACTGCCCTACCACATTCCTCGACAAGATCTCGAGCAATTCAGAGGGGAAGAATGGGGAAACGATAATGGGGTGCGATTCGGACGTTTTGACGACCATGCCGAATACCGCGGCTGGAGGAGGATTTTGCGCGTGGGCGTGGGCTTTGGACAAGTCGGGCACAGAGGCAGACATCCGCCCACCCTGCGCCGCCGCCGAAACAGACGCTTTCGCGCTCTCTGAGGGAGAGAGTATGACCCCACTATCGACGGCTTCTTGAACGACCATCTTGACGTCTTCGTCCTCTTCCACCTTGCGCCGCTTGTCCTCTTCGCCCTGCTGCCCCTGTCCGACCATGGGGCGTTTGGCACCGCACGACTGGGCCCTGACGCGGGTGGGGGGGCGGGCCTGGCGCTGAGGAAGGGGAGGGGAGTGTGTAGAGAGGGGCTCGTCGATTTGCATGGTATTGTCGCTTTCGTGAGGGAGGGAAGGGAGCGAAGCGTTGGAGTGGCGGCAGCACAAGAGCGAGCTTGCCATCGCTTCTCTCAGCTCTTCCGCCCTCTTCCTCTCCTCTTCCTCTTTACATTCCCTAGCCCCCTCGACCTCGAAGCGGGCAGCACTCCCAAACAAGACACTCCCCACAGGCGAACTCTCCGCAGAGGCAGAACCGGAAAGCTCGCTCGCGGACGTATCCGTCTCATCGTCCGACTCGTGCTCCCCCCGGTGGTGCTGGGGTTCGCGCTGACAGGAGAAAAAGGTGGACGAGGTCGTACAAAGCTGTTGTTCGAGCTCTGCTTGGCGCTGCATCACCATCGCGACGTAGTGCGGGTTGCAGAAACTCTGGGGTTGGTATGGGGTGTTTGCTCCTGGTAACTTCATCAGCTATGTCCCACCCAACGAAGAATGAAGGAGGGAAGGAGGAAGAAGGGAGGCTCACCTTTAGGACCATGTTTCGTCATATTATACCCACTCTGCGGCCACTGGCTACACAGCCTCGCGCACTCGTGGATCCTGCGGTTCTCCGAGTCGATCCATTCGCGCTGCCTTTTGGCTTTTTCCTCCTCCTCCTCTGCTCCCGCTAACTGAGCTGCAGGATGAGCGGACTGGGCGGAGAGCGGGGCGGGTTGGGAAGAAGGGGGAGGCGGCCGGAGCGGCTGAGTGGTAGTAAGGCTAGACGGCGTCGACGTGCCGGTCTGACTGCTCGACCGCCGGCCCGTAAACGATACTCTCCTCTTCTCATCCCGAATAAACCCTCGACCCGTGTTGACGACCCCCATCACCATCTTTCCTACCCAAGACGGCTTGCCTCCTTCCCCTCCGAGGGACATTTGGCCGAGCTCTTGGCCGCCGAGGTACCCTGCTTGAGCGACATCTTCGTGCAGGGAAATGTCGTCCGCGTCGATGATGTATGGTTCCGAGTCGGAAGAGACGGGTGTCAAGAGCGTAGAGGGTGTTTGGGAGATGATGCTCGCCATGGACGCGCTCGTCAATGGCGTCGACGAGCGGGAAAGCGAGTCGTTAGACGAGGGGATGGATGATTGTGAAGATTGGTTTGAAGAAGACGATGAAGCGGTTGATTGTTGGCGATGGAGCTCTTCTTCCCTCCTTCCCTCTGCATCTGCAACATCTCCCTCGGAAGAATCTTCGGTGTTCTTTTTGAAAGTGCCAGAAGGGAGGTTCTTGACCTTTCTCCGCGCGAAAGAATGTGAATGATGCCCGTGCCCGTGCCCGTGTCGGGCAAAGTGCGTAGAAGAGGTGGTGTGGGCATTGTGGCGCATAGAGGGGGTGGCGGTCTTTTGGGGAAAGTATGTTTGGGGAGGAGGGGTGGGGGCGGCGGTTCGGGACATGTTGAGTGTCTTTTGGTGATTAGGAGGGGAGGGTGGCGAAGAAGTGCGGTTGGCTTGGAAATTGGTAGGGAGAGGAGAGGCTACCGTTTTCTTCGCGCCTTTTGGGATTATGGGCTAGTCACGATGACTGCTTTTTATCGCTTGTCGCAAGAGAAGAAGGAGGAAGGGGTAAGTTGGGAAGTGGCGACAAGGTGGATTATCCGCCGGCTTTAAAGCTGTACCAAAAGTGTCAATGCTGATCCTTTCAAAGATGGCATGCGGGGTGGAGGCGTACCAGGTGGGAGGAATGTTCAAAGGAGAGGTCGGGTAAAAAAGTCTTGAGCGGCGGTGGCAAAAGACTCGGAAAGAAGGTAGAAGGCAGAGGTCTCGAAAAAGACGAGCTGCTTTTTCGTCCTAGAGCTCAAGGCACTTCTAGAAGGGCAGTAGGGGGACGTTGGCGAAGGACCGTTGACCGATTGACGACGTGATAGAAAGAACCGAGGTATAGCGCGCGTTTGTTGACACTTTTCAGGCGACCAGCGAGAAGCAAAAACAGACCCAAAGAGAACCCGAGAATCGTCCGTGCTTGTTTTCTTTTTTCAGGTGGGAAAGCAGAAAACAAAATGGTAGGAGAGGGGTGGGTGGGTATTTTACTGCTGGAGGACGAGCTGTTGCGCAACAGCGCTGGCGGTGATGGACATGGTAGCAATATTGGGTGGCGGGGGTATAGCGAGTAGTGGGGTATAGCGAGTAGTGGGGTATGCACGGACGCCGGTGGGTGGGGCGCCAGGTGGGTGGGTAAGCCGGGGTGAGCCGGGGACGGTGGGTGAGTGGGGAGTGGGCAGAGCTGCAGTGGGCTCTGGGCGGGGTGTACTTTTGGGCTGTTTTGCTGGACCGAGCTGTGGGCGTGTGAGCTAGTGCGGATCGGCGGGGGACTGTGCGTACCTAAGATATTCGGTGCAGGGTGGAGGTCGGCGGGGGGTGTTTTAGAAAAGAAGGGATTATACGGGGTGGGTGGTTGAACCGCTGGGAAGCGTTGAATGAAGGTGGCAAATACAAAGTGGGGGGCACACACCACAGCCCACCCCAGAATCACCGTGATGGCGTCATCAAATGCCACACTCGGCATGCCGTGCACACACAAAACGCCGCCCAAATCGCGACTTACGTAACGACATTTTGCAGCTGCAGCCTGCACCACAACTTTTCGCCCGTGTCTGTTTGTCTCTCTCATCCGCTTCACTGGCTTTTCCTTGGTGCGTCCTCTGCGAAAGTGCCAGGAGTCGAGCTAACCCTACGGCAGATTGACGACTAGTCTCGAGGATCTTTTTTTCAAGTTTGCAAGCCCCCAAACCCGCCAAAACACAACCACAACCCGTTAAAAATGTCTACCGACAAGCTTCCCAAGGCTCTCCAGGCCACCGAGGAGGACATTCAGCTCCTCTTGTCTGCCCAGTCGCACCTTGGTACCAAGAACTGTGACAAGACTATGGAGCCGTATGTCTGGAAGAGGAGGGCTGATGGTGAGTCGCGTTTCTTTGGGCGAGCGGAGCGAGCCATCTTTTTTTTTGGGAAGAGGGCGGGACGGGGGCCGAGCGAGCGCAGCGAGCGAGTACATGTTGGGGTGGGTGGGCGGCACAGCGACCGGAGGGAGCGTACTCTGGGAGCGAAGCGACAATCTATCCCGCGAGCGGAGCGAGCCACTTTCTTTCCTTGGGAAGGGGGTGGGACGGGGCCGAGCGAGCAAAGCGAGCGAGCTAGTGTTCTCACAGCGACCACCGGGAGCTTACTTTCGCATTGACGTTGGGGTGGGCGGGCGGGAGAGGCGGAGGAGCAAATTCTAGAGACACACTCGAATAACTTTGTGCTAACGTCACCCAGGCATCCACGTCCTCAACGTCGGCAAGACCTGGGAGAAGCTCGTGCTCGCTGCCCGAATCCTCGCCACCATCGACAACCCCAACGACGTCTGTGTCATCTCTAGCCGACCCTACGGCCACCGAGCTGTCCTCAAGTACGCCTCCTTTACCGGCGCTCAGGCTATTGCTGGCCGATTCACCCCTGGTTCCTTCACCAACTACATTACTCGATCCTTCAAGGAGCCCCGAGTGATTATCGTGACCGACCCCAGGGTTGACCACCAGGCTATCCGAGAGGCTGCCTACGTCAACATCCCGTATGTCCCCCTCTTTTTAAAGCAGAGCAGAACCCAGCTAACACTTTCAGTGTCATTGCCTTTGCCGACACTGACGCCTCCCTCAAGTTTGTCGACGTCGCCATCCCCGCCAACAACAAGTCCCGCCACTCTGTCGGTCTCCTCTGGTACCTCCTCTGCCGAGAGACCCTTCGTCTCCGAGGCACCATCCCCCGAGGCCCCACCGGCCCCGACGGCTGGGACGTCCTCCCCGACTTGTTCTTCTACCGCGACCCCGAGGAGATCAAGCGTGAGGAGGAGGAGAAGGCCGAGGCTGCCGCTGCCCAGGCTGTCGAAGATGCCCCTGCCCCCCCTGTGGGCCAGGAGTGGAACGCCGAGAATGTTGGTGAGGCTGCGCTCGCTGCTCAGCCCACTGACGCTACCCTCGACTGGTCTGCTGAGCCTACCTCTGGTGACTGGGCCGCCGAGCCCGCTGCCGAGGCCGCTTGGTAATTGTCTTGTTTGACTTGACATTTGCGATAACGAGGAGGAGGGAGTCAAAAATTGTGGTTCAGGTGGTAGTAGGGGGTCAAGACGGATTGTGTTTTGCTAGGCTTCAGTTTAGTGGACATGTATACCGAATTGCATCTGCAGAGTGTAGGCGTGGTACTTGTTGCATACAGGCTCTCGTATGCCCCTTTCTGAACTTGGCGCACCATGTCGGCGATGCCCGACCCCTCCACCTCCACCTCGGCTTACGACATCATTCCCAGTTATGATGTGCTCGCTCTCTCCTGTATATAACCCCCTCTATGCTCCGCACCCTCCTCCGCCCATTCCAAGCAACAACACCAAGACACATCCACCGCACCATGTCCTCCCTCCCTCCCGCCCAGCTGCCCGAGACCTTTGCCAAAGCCGCGCTCGGCGACGCCAAACTCCATCTCTACACCGTCGGCACGCCCAACGGGTACAAGCCTTCCATCCTGCTCGAAGAGCTCGCGAGAGCCTACCCGGACAATAAGGAGCTCGTATACGATTTCCACGCGCTGAGGTTTGCAGAGACGGACCAGAAGAAGCCAGAGTTTTTGGCGATCAACCCGAACGGCAGGATCCCGGCGCTGGTGGATGATAATGTACAAGTTGGGGGGGAGGGGCACAAGGTGTTTGAGAGTGCGAGTATTTTGTTGTGGTTGGTGGAGAGGTATGATAAGGAGTACAAGTTTAGTTTTGAGGATCCGGTGGAGAGGAGTCGGGTGTTGAGCTGGATCTTTTTTGCGCATGGCGGTGAGTATCTGGTACGATTTTTGGGGTGGGGCTGATGGTGGGGTAGGTGTTGGACCGATGCAAGGACAGGCGAACCATTTCTTGTACGTCGCAAATGTTGAGAGAGAGAGAGAGGGGAAGCTGACACCGACTACTTTATAGCCGCTATGCCCCCGAAAAGATTCCTTACGGTATCAAGCGATACCAGGAAGAGACTGCGCGCCTCTACTCTGTGCTCGAGGGCCAGCTCGCAAAGAAAGAGTCTGGGGGGTGGCTTGTAGGCGGCAGGTATAGCATTGCTGATATCAACGGTAAGTCTCTTCTTCTTTTGGCGCAGGGTGAAGCTGATGCATGATAGTCTTCCCCTGGGTCCGCGTCCATGCTTGGGCTGGAGTGGACATTGAGCCCTTCCCTGCGGTTGCCAAGTGGCTCGAGGCGATTGAGGCTCGTCCCGGTGTGTACGCCGGCTTGGGTGTGCCGACCAGGAGCGCGGTGAAGAAGACAAAGGAGGAGGAGGAAAAGCTCGCTGAGGAGGCCAAGAAATGGATCCACAAGAAGGACTAGATTACGCACACTATGTATATAGCAAGGAAATGAAGAATGAAATGATGGAATACGTACACGGAGCGTACGCCATCCCGGCCGCCGCCGCCAGAGCCTGGAACTTTTGCTGCGTTTTCGAGGTCGTCAGTCACCGGCGGGCCACTTTAAAATCACAATTCCATCTCCTCATTCTTTTTCCATCCCGCCATGTCCTCCCCACGCTCAATAACAATATCCTACTCCCTCACCCCGCCCCCTACCACCCCCCTGCCCCCCTCGTCCCCGACCCAGCCCCAGCCGGTACCGACGAGCAACACCCTCTCTTTCCCCATAGCCCCGCCCAGCCCGCTCAAGATCCCGTACATAAGCGCGACGACGAAATACTATACGAGCACGTCGGCGTCGTTGTTGTCGGCGCAGGCGGTGTTGAATGAGAAGCTGAGTTATTGGAAAGAGGCGATAGGCGATGGGGAGAAGGAGAAGGAGGCGGGGGAGGGGAAGGGGTATGGCAGGGGGAAGGCGATGATGATGAGTGCGGAGGTTAATGGGGAGATGGAGAGTAGTGGGAGCGGGAGTGAGGGGGAGTCGTTATGACAGGGCTGGGAGTGTTGAGGTGAGTTTGGGCGTTTTTGGGATGGGGGCTTGGCGCTGACAGAGAGATAGTATCTCCACTCGCAAGCCTGTTTCGCCATACACGCCTGCTATCTTTCTATTCATTTTTCCCCGTCACGATCCCATAAACAGAAAACAACTTGTTGTACCTCATATCAAAACACAATATACACGCTCCAGCAAGGATAGAGCCAAGAGGTGGCGAGGGCGCGAGGCCGCGAGGGTCGGTCTTGTTATTTCTAGAAGTAAACATGCAAAGAAAAAGCTTGGTCATCGTTTTTTCTACATCTTGTGGTGCATATGGTGAGAAGAAATAATTGCGCAGAAGGCGATGATGCGCGGGCGCAGGAGGACAATTGAAAATATTTCCACGCAGGGGTACGTTCGGTCTTCTGCGGGAGAGGGGCGAGATGCGAGAAAGACCCCTTTGGCCCGTGGCCGGAAAACTGTCGATCTTGTGCAGCGATTGCGCGAAGGGACTACGGATCAGGTCCCCCGGTCCCCAAGGGGCTACGCATGCTTGAAAGAAGGTTGGAGGGAGGTGGTATTTTGGGGAACGGGCAGAACCGGATCTTTGTTCGTATGCTCATGGTGCGGACTGGCGGCTGACTGGCAGTGGATGCATACCAACACATACGTAGGAAAGCAGAGATGCGATCTGAAAGCCGAGACTTTGGACTTTTGGGCTTACGGGACGGGTAGGTCTTAAGGTTGAGCTTTCCCCTTAATTGTACGTCTAGATGAGTGTTTGGAACACGGTTATTACCATAGAATGGCGAGCGCATGTGTCTTTGATTTTGTTCTCGGGGGATCGGTCCGGTTCGACTGTTTGGCGTTCTCTTGGTGGTACTGTGGAAATAAATAGTTTCAAGAGATGGATATGGGCAAGTGTATGATACACGGCTACGGAATGGTGTATACACTGCGCGTATTCTTTCATCCTCCCCTCTTTCCGCTACTGTCGCCGCTGGCTGCTGGTGAATGCTGCCATCGCTGAGCAGTCTGTAATGTGGTTCAGGTGTACCGCACCGCGCAGCTGTAGAATACATCATTGTGAAAGCGATGGAGATAAGCTTATCGACATCATCATTCATACGAATCAACAGCTCTAGCTCGTCTGATACAGAAAACGTCAATCTCTCAACGACATAAACCTAGCACCCACCACCTCCCCCACCTCCGCCGCTCATTCCTCCTCCACCGCTAAATCTGCCACCTTCGCTCGTCGTCATGTGTGTTGCTGTAGTATGAGCGCCATGATGAACATGGCCATGGCTGCGATGAGCATGTCGACGGCTAGATTGTGGTAGAGTTGGCGCATTGTCTTGTGTACTGGATGGTTTTGGAAGAAGCATTACCTGTTGCCCTGGAACACGGTCAGCATTAGCACGGCCAACGAGGATGGGGGAAAGAGAAGAGGAAGAGAGGACTTGCGGTGGTGGTACCGCCACTGCCGCCGAAACACCCTCCTCGAAGACGAAGAAGCTCTTCATCATCATCAAGAGGCGGTCTCTCGGGCCAGTGGGAGCGTCGTTGAACGCTTGAGTGTTGTTGGCTTTGGCTGTCGGACTGAAAGTCTTCTTAATGAAGATGTTGAAGAACATGGTAATGTTTGGTTGATAGTCGGCCAAGTCAGGATATCGTCTGTCGTTGTGATGGTCATAGCAGTCTCCTCAATACTTCTCGTTTGTATATGGCTTTCCGAGCACAGCATGCGTCTGATCGTGTATCGATAGCTGTACTGTAAAGCTGGCGCTTATCTCGTCGATGGCCGAAAGGCAGGCTTTGCTGGTGTGCTCATGTAACTGTCGCTGCTGCTGATCGGTATATCGCGATACGTTCGACGTCATCATTCCTCATGCTTCTGGTACTTCTTATGGCTTCCTGTCTGGTCCTCTTTGGACATAGCACCGCTCTATGCTGCTGATTCCCCTCCCTCTATTGGAACACCCCCACAGCGTTCAGTCAAGATGATCCGCGCCATGGCTTCTCGCTCGAGATGATGCAGTGGAGAGGATAAGGAGGAAGGCGATGAGGAGGAAGAAGAGGGATGGGGCGGAAGGAGAGACTGTGGACCTTGGGAAGGGGCGAGTTGGTAGGGGTGAAGAACCTATTACAGCGAATAGACTCGTTGATATCATTGTACTAGATGAGTGTTGGCGAAGTGGCTGAGCTTGTTATAGACATTCGGCATAGAGCTGGCATGGCGGCGCCTTTTCTACCTTTCCGTTACCGTCTCCATTCTCTCCTCCACCCTTATTTAGACAGATCGTAGTCAATTAGCAGCATCTACACGCCACAGACTTTCCGTACCTGTACCACACATCATCTTTGCATTATCGCATAGCAACGGAATAGATTGTAGTCCTTCTCAGTTTGCAAAACCTTCTCAGCACCCGCCCCCTCCGCCCCCTCCGCCACATCCACCTCCGCCCCCTCCACCGCCACCACCACCCCCTCCCCCACCACAGCCACCCCTCCCCCCACCACAGCTAACCCCCTCACCCCCTCCCCCTCCCCCAGCTGCCCCTCCACATGCACTGGCTGCCCCGCCACCGCTCATCATGAATCCAGCACCGGCTCCAGCAGTTCCGCCGGCAGCGGCCGTTGTTGTTCGGTGATGCTTGTATCCTTGGCTAGATGATTGACGATGACTAGATGGAGTTAGCCGCGAGACTTTGTTCTTTGTATCACTGCATAAGAACCATTACCTCTTGCCCTAAAACACAGTCATCATCAGCACCGTGATCGTGAATGGAGGAAAAAACGAGAGAGAGGGGACTTACGGTTCCGCTTCCACCAAAACAGCCTCCCCGGAGACGAAGGAGCTCTTCATCTTCGTCGACACGAGGGGCTTTCTGGCCAGCCGGAATGGCATAGGCTGCTTGGGAGCTGTCGCCTTTGCCCTGAAAGCTAAAATTCTTGCGGAAGATGTTGAAGAAGAACATGGTGGTTGGTAGTTGATAGTCGAACAAGTAAAGATTCTGCTGGGCAATCTCGTTGCTGGTGTTGCTCAATCCTCACACACTGTGATGCTTTATATATGGGTTTGGTAGCACAGCATATATATTTGATCGTGATTTAATATTGTAGGCTGCCGCTACTTTTGTCGATGACGGATGGCGGAAAGGCGGACGGAATGTGCCGATCTGTCTCTGCTTCTCAACGCAGCGCTGACACAGCGTTTATGTACTGGAGTGGAGGTATGTACTTCTTCCCCTCATGTATGGTCACATTGCACGGGGTAGAGAATGAGAGACGAGGCCAAACAAATGACGATCGGCGAAAGCAGTGTACACGGCGACTCGATCAACATTCATTCCACGTTTGACTAATGCTTCTGACGCTTCCTATGGTGTCCAAGCTCTCTTCCCGAGCTCCCCTCCTTTCCGGTATACCGGCGTCCGACACCACCCACAGCCCCGATGTCACAATTCCCCTATCCTCCACTGCCCGTCTCCCCTTGATCCCGCCCGCGCCTCTCAGACAAGATCATGCGCCCCACAGCTCCCCGAGACATGGCGGAGTGAAAGGAAGATGAGAAAAGACGCTTTGTATAATTACTGGCAGGGGTTGGACGAGGGAGGGCGTATTGATCTCGGGAGCCGAGTAAAAATATGGGGTAATAGATCTAGAACAGCGAATGGACCTGCTACAAAGATTCGTCAGGGACGTTCACCGCAGCGACGGAATCACTCACCACGTCTAGGCCTCATACTCGACTTCGTAATCCGGCTGTGCTTCCTCTCCAACCTCTTCCTTCTCCTGTAGCTTTCTCGAGTCCTCCGGAAACACGACGTCTCCATCTTCCCTCCCGTATCTGACGAGCGTATCGACCCAGCCCTTCTCCCAGCCCGCCATCTCCTTCCTCCGCATTTCCAACTCTTCTCCCAGCCCCAACTCTCTGATCAAACCAGCGTCTTCGGCGCGCAGCCAGAACGCCTGGTCGGCGGGTACAGCAGATGCTGCGAAAGCTGATTTGACGAGGATGGGAGCGAATGTGCGATCGGTGAGGAGAAGGAGGCGAAGCATACGGTCGTACCATTCTGGCTCGACTTGGCGGTCAGCTAAAAGGCTGTTCCAGCGTTTCCAACCTTCGCCAAAACCGAGTCGATCGGGCCGCATAAGAAGAGTGTGGATGATTTCAAAGTGCAGGAATGTCGACATGGCAGAATAGCCACCGGGGAAACAGTCCATGGCGGCGTCGATGAAGGCTGCTCGGGTAGTGTTGTCGACTTGGTCTGTCTTTGCTGCTGGGCGGAGGTAGCGAGTCCACATATCGTACTCTCTAATTCTCTTCCTTCCATACAGTTCTTCAGTACTCGCCCGCTGGAGGATGTACAGCCCCGCCTCGAGCTCCTTCGCGTTGGGCGTAGAGACATGCGTCCACTTTGTGAGCATGCCAGCGAGAACCTCGGTCCAGCGCACCATGGCGTTTGTTGGCATGTCGCGAGTGGGGAGGGCGGAGAGAATGGCGTCGACAGTGGGTATGATGGGGAGGCCAGAGCTGATTTGGATAGAGAGGAGGGGGCCTAGGGTACGAGGTTCGATGGGGACTTTGTTCTCGGCAATGATGGCGAGGATATAGCGGCAGTAGGTCATGGGCACATTATCTCCCCACTTCCACATTGCCAGAAACCGAATAAATTGGCCGGTGGCTTCTGTAAAGTCGTGTTCGGCCACGTTCCTGGACCATTCGTTGGGGCGGAAAGAGGAGGGGTCGTGGGGGAAGGCGGAGAAGACTTCGAGGGCGCGCGGCAGGTTTCTCCCCGCCATAAAGCTCTCGACAAACGCCGCCCTCGTCTTCGGTCCTATCTTGCCCAGATGTCCCGCCTTCGCAGCGTCATACAGGTTGTCCACCTCTCCCTCTAGCCTCCTCTCCTTCCTGATCAATACCGCCAGACTCTTCACCCGCCGACTAAACACTTGATCTTCCATATGCCATCCGTTGCTGGTCAGGCGGCGCCAGTACTCGTCCGCCCAAGCTCGAGCCTTTGCTTGGATAGAGCGGGAGAGGCCACGGCGGGAGGAAATGACAGACATGTGGACCATCGCTTGGGCGAGAAAGAAGGAATTGATACGGAGTTGGCGAGCGGGAAAGATGGTGTCTACCATTTCGGCTATGCGGTCGGGCTGACTGTGCCATTCGAATGCTCTCATGAAAGCAACTGTGGATCGTCAGTGATAGACAAAAAGGGAGAGGTATATACGTACGCCATACAACCGGAGGAAGACTGATATCTCTCGCCGAACGCATATGCGAAGTAAAATCATCCAAGTCCCTCGTCATGATGAATGCCCCCTTGCCCTCCGTCGACTCCAACACCTTGTCGTACAGACTGTATAGCCCGCTATATGACTTGGCGTGCGAGTAGGCATCGATACGCTTGACAAAGACCGGGGGGTGGTAGCACTGTACAGCGAGGAGGAGGTTGTCGAGGTTGACACGGAATTTGTCGTAGAGCTTGTCGCCTTTGGAAATACGGCGAAACATGCGGTAGATGGGGCCAAAGTTGTAGACGGACTGGGGACGGAGGTTGATATCGGCGTCAAGCATGGAATAGAGGGCTTCTTTGTCGCATTGATCGAGTAGGGTGAGGGCGGCGACGTTGGCGAGTGTTAGGGTACGCAAGCCGGGACCTTCCAGCCTCGCCGCCAACCTCTTCTGCCTATCCCAAGAGACCAAATCCTTCTCATCTTTCCCCTGCAGCAGCCTCATTTTTGCCTTCGTCTGGTCATAGGCGCGGGCGACATCGCCCGGCCGACCCCTCTCCATGGCGCGAAACATGAACATGGTAAGACCGCCGATGTGGTGTCGGGCAGCAGCTTCTATAGCCATATTGAGAAAGAGCCCATACTCTAGAGGTTGCTTGATTGCCATCCGACCCAGATCAGGGCTAGTTCGGCGAGTCAAGACTTTGCTGATCGTTTGCGCGATTTGGCGAAAGTGGGCATCTTTGAGGCGCGAGACTGCGTCCAAGTCAATGAGATGGGACCACACGGGGAGGATGATGTCAATTTTTCCCCCATCCAAAGCATCGAGTAGCTGCTGGAGGACGGGAGCGATATTGTAATCGGGCGGGGGAGGAAGGAAGATGACATTCGCGATGGGCAGATCGAGCTTTTTGGGGTATTTGGAGACGGGGCGAGGAGGGTCGGATGAGCGGGTAGCTTTGGCAGCTTTGTGAGGCTTGGGAGGCTGCAGAGGTACAGCTTTTTGCCGTTTTGGAGGAGTGGGAGGGGGTTTTCGGGGTCGTTGACTGGCGGCAAAGAGTTTCGAGGAGCTGTTGAAAGCTCGCGACGAAGAGGGGGGTGCTCGGAGGGAAAGTCGGTACAGCCATGAGGATGGGCCCGGTCCTGCAAGCGCAGAAGAGAGGTAGGCCATCTATATCTATAAGATACGATGCTCAAATTGCTGCGATTCAAAATGAAAGAGATCATACGCGGGGGTAACTATTGGTAGTTATCGTTATTAATGTGTTTGTTTGGTCCCGAATCTTTTGGAGGGCGATAGATCCCCAAACATGATTGTACAGCCAGCCTCAAGTCGAAAGAATGGAGATAAGATAGGTGGTCTGTGATCTTTTGAATCATTGGACAAGAGTCTAGACCGCTTTCGACGATCATCGAGATCCTCAAGCTGGTGGATGGGCACGTTGCAAGAACGCCCGGAGGCCAGCAGCGCGTCAACAGCATGTCAAACAGTCAGCATCGTTTGTATATCATGCCATGAGATGAGCTTCTCTACTCATACCCAGTTTGTGTTTCTAGCGTCCACTCTTATCGGTTACGTTAGACGCACGGCGACAAGAACCATGTTGTTTCGGTCCCTCTGGACCCGATCAAGATCGAAGAAGACCGAAAGATCCTGTCTTAAAAAGCCGTCTAGCGAATACAAGAGTATCCGCCCAGATCCAGACCGAGAAAGAGTTGACCTTGGGCACTTTAACAATGGGGACGGAGAGGAAAGAGGGTGTTGTTTTGCGCTGCTCAATGGTGGTGTTGTGAGCCGTTCGAGGTCGTTTGACTGAGGGCCAAATGTTGACACGCAGAAGCTTAAGAGATACCAGTATCAAACACCGATATACAATGCCAGGCAGAGCTGATGGAGGTGATCTTGAATAGGTCAAAGAGGCGCCGAGTACGATTCGCCACGTTGTAGCAAAGAAGCATATCGTCATGGACCCATGGCAGCTTGACAGTGTACTGTGTTATTATGTTTTAGGACAGTTCAAATAGAGCGTATGTTCATTCGATATATGTCTATCCATATACTGAGAATAATGGTATCCATGTCACACTGCAAGAGAAGTGCGAGACATTACAAGATGCGATTACACACCAGGAGCCTTCAGTAACAGCGTCGTCTTTGACATGAGATTACTATTTGAAACGATAGCTTTCGGAGCTGACAGGTACTCCCTTCCCGGATGGATTCACCTATCACATTGAAGAGATCTACGGGTTTGAAACATACGCCTTTCCATCGCAGGACGTATGCTGGCCTCGTGCTGATGTCATCGCCACAAACTGTTGAGCAGTAGTAGGGCGCGCACAAGAGCCCTGGTGACTGGTCGCCAATCAAATCCTAGATCGCTATCCAATCGGTCGTGTACAAAGGTCCAGGAGAACTGCCGAGATGTTTCGGGAAACGTTGCGCAACGCACCACCTCATCAACTGACTACTGCAAAACGTGGAGGGAAAGGGGCGCGGCCGGGAGAAGAAGCAGGTATGCGTGAGGTTCTTCAAGACTTTAAGCAGCACAGCTGGATCGGCCTTCTGAAGAATGCTATCAACCGCACAAAACAAGAGAATGAAGGGACATACATAGGGATGATGACGGTACAGCGAGCTCACACACATACAACAGGGGTGTTTCGTAAGGTCCTTTCTAGAAGCAACTGTAACAACAATATCGTTTCAGAGATACTTACCATGGTATACTATCTCGAACGTCCTAGGACAGCACTGAAGCAGCTCCCCTCAAACAGCGTTACAGTTACCCAACCGCGTACGCCGCAAATTATGCCGAACGCCACACAGCGACGGGGGAAGATCATCGAGGAAGGAGTAGCGTTTTATCTGTTACTCGGCACGTCGAATCCCTTTTCCTCGGCAATAACAAAGCCTTCTGTCCGTGACACATACACCATGCTGAGAAGAGTGCGTTTGGGAGAGAGTCTGACGAGATAGTGATGGGACACATTGACTATAAAAGGCAGCTTTGAGCTGCTGATTGTAGCATAGTGTTATCATCGCCATCGTCCAACATGCTTGCCTTTAGGCGGTTTTGGAGGTATAGGAGGGACGCCTCAGGGGGTAAGTCCATGTTTCGTTCCTATTCGTGCGAATGGGAATGTCTAACTCAAGATATTCTTAGCATCACCCAAGAAGCCGGTCGCCCAATCCGCCGAAGACAGCTCCATGCGCCGCAGATGCGTCGATGAAGAGGAGCTGCTTCGTCTGCGCGGAGGTTGCTTTCCCCGTCGTCCTCGCGGCGTAAGTCGATCTCTCTCCAACCGGAGCATGACACTTTGTTGACGCTTTTTATCCCTCAGTATAGACCCAACGGGTAAGTGTCAGCATATGTCCCTGGCCTTCAACAGCTCTGACCATAATTGATCCCCCTGCAGGCCTCACATGGGCCACGAAGACATGGCATACGCAATAGAAATGATGCCTCAATATGAGATGTCTCGACGAGGGGGTGCATTGAGCCATACGCAGTACGGCCCAAACTTCAACATGCCCCCTCCGTTTGGGATGTCTCCAAGGCGCCCACATGGGGGTTATTGATCATCAAATTCTGATTGGAGGGAGGCGGGGGGAAAAGATGGATGAGAAGGGACATTGTTTGTTTTCGCGATTATTGATCACCTTTTGCTCTGTTGTCGTAGAAACGAGGTGGTTATAGCTCTTGATCGCAGATGTCAGTTGAAAACCCGCCTTACTGCTCTATGACCGAGTCACAAAGAATAGCATCGCATAACACATCAAGCTAGGGACTCAAGAGTTTGCAAGCCTCCGGCTACTGTTCGTACCCCGCCATGCCGACGTACTCTTCTCATACATTTCGTACTTCTTGTCTCTCAAGAAATCCTCCATCACCCCGCTACGACACCACGGCAGAGCATAGTAGTTCGTCTGAAGACTAGCAGCATCGGTCTTGTGTCTATTGGGCCACTTTTCTTCGTGGTAACTGACAATGTTCAACGATACTCCACAGCTATCTGCGCACTCTGCTTGGATGCGAGGTAGGCCAGAGGTCTGTTGTTCCCATACGGATTCACACGCTGGGTGAGTGATCGTACCCAAACGATGACTCGCTAAATTGTCCTTTTCAGCGAACTCACTTTTCCAGTACTGTTTTCTTTCCTCTCGTGTGGCGTTCTCGCCGCCGTCGATGACGGAGGAACCGCATACCGTGCACGTTGGAATGGGCTCTGTTTCGCACCAAATAGAGGCGGGATGGCGAGGATCATCAAAGTATTTTGCTGTGTTGTTCCAAGCCTGGTCAAAGGGAGATGGTGCTCCGTCGTCCGCATCCACCAAAAGAATGTCATCCTCTGGCCGGGCAGACTGGCGAGGATCGTTCATGTTGGACGAAGCCCCATCACCTGCCACACTACGAGTGTCTACTTCTGAGGACGTCAACCGCAGCAAGGGTGTGACTGACGGGAGCAACAACATCTGGCTATTGGGACGAGGAGCTGCCGTGTATGGTACCAAAGCGGTTTCTTCAGTCTTCATGGACGGAAGAGTAATTCGATTGTCGGGACCTCTAGCCAGTGATAAAGCTTTGTGAAACCTCGAGCATCCTCTGTACCCTTCCTCGTCTCGCGAGACGGAGCCGTTCTCGAATACGATGATTGGCGCAGTGCATCTCCATCTGTGCACCTGTCCGTCTTCTTCGCCAGATCCCTGGATTTCCTCTGCGTAAGGTTCGTCGTCGTCTCGACTCTCGAACTCAATCCCACATGATTCAATTGCGATGACAGGGTTCGAAGGGGCATCTGCCGAGTGGCTAGGGCAGTACCAATGTCCATTCCTCAGACTCTGCTCGAAGGCGTCTTTGCTAAACTTGTCTCGGCCGTAGAATGCAATGGCTCCCTCCCCGCTCATGAACGGTATCCGCGAACTGATGGACTTGGCATTGCAGTCAGCATTGTGGCATGTTTGGACGTAGGCTTCGTGCAAGTTGGCGTTGTTTTGGTCGTTGGTGGGCAGCTGAGTGAAGGGTGCTGATGTAGATTGGTAGTGCTGGTCAGCCGCGAGGTTTGTTTCGCAGATAGAATTGAGAGTGACATCGGTCAATGGAACTGTAAGGTGCGTCAATGTGGTGATCTTTTCACTTGAGACGTCAGTCACGGGCTGCCGGTCACTTACTGGGGACGGTGGTGTTTGGTCGTGACATTATGTGCAAAGCGCAGTTGAAGGAGGAAAGAGAGAGAGGATAATCAAACGGGTTTGCCAGTGACTGGCAAAGCTCAAATACTTCGGACAATATTGACATTCATTGAGATCACAATGGATGTTCAAATGCTATTTCCGTTGCGCGAAGAAGTCGGAGACCGAAGTATGCCGACAGCAGAGTGAAGGGAGAGGTATGGCGATAAGACGACTGATATTGACGACGTTTGCGCCATACTATTGCCGAGCTCAATATAGGTAATGCTGGTGTTCTCGATATTTCTATTCTCGTTTCACTCGTAGTTCTTTGAGGTAACGTGCCCCTGCGAAGCAAGTACGTCGACAGGCGAACCTGTCTGTGAACGGAAAGCATCGTACGACGACGACTGTTGCCGAAATCTGAGACATAATAAAGGAGGGGCTGGCTATGTACTCATCATATGTTGATTCTCATTAAGATACATGCTTGACATGGGTCCATCTTGAATGAACCTTCAGCTCGTTGGAGCGTTTTAGGAGTCATCGGGTTTCCGAGTGGGGTCCTCATAGATGTCTGCGCCAAGCATCTGGCATCTGAAAAGTTATACGCATCACATTTCATGTGAAACTCCTTTATCCTGCTCGTTGCTCATCCGTCGGACAAGTCCAACTCCAATCCTCAACCCCCTCCTCCCCAAACAAGTCTCGCACCTTCCCTTCCAACTCCCTACTCCCTTTACTATGCTCTTCATCCTCATGATTCACCTGATTCCACATCTTTACACTCTCTTTCACGTGCTCCAGCTCTGTACATCCTATTACCACTGGTACGCGTTTCCCACTGGGTTGAGAGATGGCGCGGTAGGCGTAAGAGAGGGAGATTTGTTCGAGGGAAGTTTGGGAGGCGAGACAGAGGGAGGAGGCGGCGCGGGCGGCGTGCCAGAGGGGTGGGATGTCGCGGGCTGGGTGCCATTCTGGCCCTCCGTCGGTAGTCAAGAGCCCCATTGATAAGGGGGCTGCACTAATCACCCGATCCACCTTTGCCTGCTGTTCGAAGGCCTGCAGATAACCCTTCTCGATAGAACTATTTTGGATAGTGTGGTGCCCGAAGGTTTGGACGATGTCGAGAGGGGTGCCGGTGGTGTGGTACACGAGGAGAGAGAGACGGAGGAGGACTGGGAGAGGGTAGCCTGCGATACCAATCTTGAGAATCTTGCCGGAAGATTGAAGGGCGCGGAGGGTAGATATGGCGAGGAGGAGGGTAGATTCTTCCGGAGTGGGTACGAGGGGCTGGGCGAGGACGGAGGGTAAATCGGATAGGGGAGTGTGGGAGCAGGAGGGAGGGGGTAGAGTGTATTCGACATCGTGCAGATCTGAGGGAGGGGTCAGGTGGGCTGATTGGTAAGAGGAAGAGGGACGCACAGACGGCGTCAAGATAGTCGGTGCCGAGTCGCTTCAGACTTCGTTCGACACTAGCCTGAATAACTTCTGGATCCCATATGTGATCTCTACAGTTGGGGCCGTACTTGCCGACTTTGGTGATCAGGTGATAAGAGCCGCGAGGATAATCGAGAGCGCGAAGAGCGTTGCCGAGGATGGTCTCGGACGGATTGTACCAAGGTGCTGCTTCAGGTCAGTATTTGCAATCTTCGTGAATCATATGGAAGATTCACGTACAGGTATCGAAACTAGTGATACCAGAACGCAAGGCAAGCCTGACTATGCGCAGGGGCAGAGAGGAGGTGAGGTGGTCTTGGTCGGTGTACATCCCATATCCAAAGGCTGCGCAGCCGAGGATCAGGGGCGATAGAACGACATTCTTGCTGTTCGGACTTTTTAGGGCCTTCACTACCAGTTAGTATGATACTTGTAGGCGGATGGCTGAAGACTGACCTTGGGCAGGAGCTCCTGGTTCGTATTGGCCTTATCGATGTCTTCGTCTGGGATCTTTGCGAGGTCGAAAGGGGCAATGTTCGGTTCGGGCTGATAAGGGTGATAAGGGGAGAGGTAGTCGGCCATGATAGGGGTCTCTTGTCTAGAGATCTATGGGTCTAAGTATTCCACGATGCAATGTCCAAACAGCCTGCAGTAGCACGCAAGACAAACGCAAGATCGGGATCGCCAGGGTGGAGGCAGGTGGAGGTCTCCATTAGTATCCAAACGTAATCTCATTTCTCATTAGCGGGAGCAAAACAGCCTCCACTTTCTGCGACCGTCCCCTGCAAGTCCCCTGGCCAGCCCCTGGCTCTTGCCTTGTCCGCTGCTTGACCGCTTTCCCTACATATCGCTCAGATACAGACGCTCTTCCTGCTCAACAGCCCAAGCTATATCGTTGATTTGACGCCTATCGAATTCTACTCAACATGCCGCCTTCTCTGCCGATGCCCCGGATCATGTACGGGACTGCCTGGTGAGTCTCGGCCGCCCGATGGCCAGTGGATCGCTGCTTCTGTGTCTCTGGCCGGGGATACCAAAGACCTCAATAATACAGAACAGAATACTGATGCTTGATTATAGGAAGAAGGATTATACTTCGGAGCTCGTGATACAAGCTGTCAAAGCGGGATTTTGCGGGATAGATACCGCGGCGCAACCGAAGGTGATTTTCCAAGCTTCTTACCTGATTTGCTCCGTCGCTGATCCATAGAATAGCACTACAGGTATACCCCATTCAAAGGCTCTAGGCCGTGGACTTCTTGCTCACACTTTTAGGGAGGATCTCGTCGGAAAGGCGATACAGACACTGTTAACAAAGGGCATTGTAAAGCGGGAAGAGCTATTCATTCAAACTAAGCGCGCATCGCTATTCCCACCTACATCAGTGTTAAGCTGACATGAGTATTAGATTTTCCAGCCTTGATGGTCAGGACCTCACAAAGCCGATTCCTTACGATCCAAAAGCGCCTCTCGTCGAGCAAGTCAAACAATCCGTCCAGTCGTCTCTAAAGAACTTGGGCATCGACTATATCGACTCGGTCATCCTTCATTCTCCTCTACGCACCATAGATGTATGCCTTATCAATTCACTCTAATATGAGCTGACCACTGCACAGGATACTCTCAAAGCATACACCGTCCTCGAATCATTCGTCGAAACCGGCCAAATACGACAACTCGGCATCTCTAACATCTACGACGCCAAACAGCTCGAACATATTATCAGACAAGTGGATGTGGCTGTGAGCGTGGTGCAGAATAGGTGGTATGAGGGGAATGCGTGGGATTGGGAGGTTTATGATGTTTGTCAAAAGTATGGAGTGCAGTATCAGTACGTCCTTGTCATTGCTCTTGTCGGCTTCAGCCGGGGACGGAGGGGATAAGCTGACTTTGGGTACAGATCTTTCTGGACTTTGACGGGGTCGCCAACGCTGTTGGGTGATCCGTATGTGTCGGGTATGGCGAGAAAGTATGGGGTCACGACCTCGCAACTGATGTTTAAGCTCTGTCAACTGTACGTTATCCTTCTTTCCCTCTCTCCGTTGCCTTATTCATACAACACCCCGTCAATTTTCGGCCTTTCTGTGCAAGCTATAGCAGCTGACGAGCACGATAGCTGGAATATCACCCCTTTATCTGGAACGACTTCCCCCGACCACGCACGAGAGGCGATAGCTGCCGAGGAGGCGAAGATTGAGAAAGATGCGGAGGATGTGGTCAAGCTGTGGGATGCGTTGCATGGAATTTCGCGGTAGTGTGCGCGGATGGAGGTAAATGCAATGGAAAGAATATCAGTGGTACTGGGGTAAAGCGAAAACAAATTGGGAGAGCAATGAGACGTGTTGAGAGATGCGATGATGTAGCTGCATGCTGCGACCATGAATCAATTGTACACATCGTCTTCCTTTAGGCATGTTACAATTATCATGCTCCTTACCTGCTATGTACAACAGACACCTCTCTCCAAGAACACCCCACGGTAGGACCTAAGATTTAAGGGACTGCGATGATCGATGACTTCTCAATGGTCGCCCAATCCTGCATCTCGTCGAATTCTGAGCAGCTCCGTACGCGTAATTTTCTGGGTGATAACCATCGTTAGCATCGTCTTGTAGCAGGTCGGCAGCATGTCTAGGCTTACGCTCTTATCGCAGAGAGATCTGAAAATGGATCCAGGTTGATCGAAAAGATGGAGGGGGGTGTCCAGCTCGGCGACTTTACCAGCGTCCATGACAAGAATCCGGTCGTAGTATGCTACAGTTTGGAGTCTGTGGACTATTGAGAGGATCTATCATGTACTATCATCAGTATCAACTCGATCGAGAGCACTGAAAGTACGTACGGTAGTGTTTGAGAATTGCGATTGAATGATCCGTTGGATGAGAGCATCGGTCTCGGGGTCGACAGAGGAGGTGGCTTCGTCGAGCATGAGGACCTTGCTCCCTCTTACCAGAGCTCTCACCAGCGCCACTGTGGAGTCTCAGCACCTGGTTTGATCACATCCCCCGTCATGGAGCAAAAAAGCGAAAGTTTTGGCTTACAAAGCTGTCGTTCACCAGCGCTAAAGTTGGAGCCTTCACTCGCGACCGTCGCGTCTAGGCCGAACTTGGCGCGGATAAGATGGGAGGAAGAGTCGACGTTATGGATGAGATTGAGAGCATCGTTCAATGCAGCGTCGGAGTGAGTGTTTGTGGGATCGATGTTCTCGCGGATTGTACCACTAAACAAGAATGTATCTTGGGGGATGATAGAGAGCCTCTGTCTCAACTATCGTAAATCAAACCAGATGTTAGAGAGGTCTCTGATTTACAATGGTGCAATGTGACCCACAGTATCGAGACCGAGACCTCGTAAATCTCTGCCGTCGATGACGATCTTCCCACTCGCAATCTCGATAGTCCTGAAAAGCGCTTGAGCGATACTGCTCTTCCCCGCGCCTGTCCTTCCTATGATACCGATCTTCTCTCCAGGATTGACATAGAACGTCAACCCCTTGAGAACTAGAGGCAGATCTGATCGGTATTTGAGCTGAACATTTTGGAAAGAGATGGTGCCTTCAGGAGGCCAAGGGCCGGAGGAGTTGTCGGGATCGGAGGGGAGGTGGGAAGGGGCTTCGGGGGTGAGCTCCCCGTAGGCTTGGACTCGATCTGTGCTATTCTGGGGTCAAGGTGAGTATCGCAGTACTCCTCGTCGGCAGGTGCGTCGTTTCTTGAGTATGCGCTTACCATTTTTGCTTCAAAGTTCCCTGCCCAACCGATCATGCCCGTTCATGCTAGTAGCAGCAAGAAGTCATCGATGAGTCTTCAAATAGAGGGTTCTAGATGATTGACTTACTGGCAGATGTAGCGATTACATATGTCAGCACGACACCGAAGTGAGATGGCGAGACCGAGCTTCGGAACACAACACCAAAGATTGCCACAAACTAGATGTTATTCGTTCAAGCCAGCGTCTACAGATGAGGCAAGAACGCGTACCAAAATAAGAAGGTAGCTCATAAAATTGATTCTGATCCCCATCCAGTAGTTTTGTGTCATTGCCTGTGCATCACGTCAGTGTTGTTACAGCCCGTTGTATAGCTGGGACACTCACCCCGCATAGTACGGTCGACATTTCCACATCCACTGATTTCTTAATTTTACGGTTATATCTCGACTGCTGATGGAAGGCGCGGATGACAGGAAGGCCAGTCAGGTGGATCAGGTCAGCAGACTGTTTTCACACCGAGCGTCGTTGCTTCTGCCTCACTTGTTCTCCGAAGTTGAGGTAAATATGACTTCTCGTCAAAGATGCCAGTCTCTGGAGATCGCGAGCGGTAATCCTGTAGTAGATGAAAGCCAAGGTCTTGATCGCACTTGTCAGCGAACGCGACGTTTACACTCCTATCAGGAGACACAGCTCACGTAAAAGAAGTAAACCGGGATAAACAGAAGAGCGATCCACGGATAAACATAAAGGATGAGGGCGAGAGTTCCAAAGATGCTCATAACGGCGCTACATAGATCTGAAGTCAGTTGAGATCTGCACAACCGAGAATGTGGTAGCAAACTTTGCGAGTAAATACCACAGATCCGGTACGTGATCATCGAGATTCTCGACATCTACCACAAGAAGGCAGTCTCGTCAGCATCGATCGGCAGATAGTAGCAACCTCACCGTTGCTTAGGCGATTGATGATGCGCCCCGTCTATGTGTTAAGCTTCAGTATGCGGCAGTGCGATGAGGAGGTATGAAATGCTGCTAACCGGGTTACGATCATGCCAGGCAGTTGGACTTCTGGTGACACCATTCCATGCTCGATTGAAAATTGTGTATGATGCCGAAATCGCAGCTAGAAATGTGGAAAATACAGCGCCAAACTACATCACCGTCAGTATCGTTCTTGAGAGAACCCTACGGTTGAATGTCGCGCACCGAAAATGCGGCCATCAAACCACCGAGAATTATAAGCGTTGTCATCATAGCACTCGCGATCATATGACACTCTCTTACCTCCATAGATAGCCATGTACTCGCCCTGTCGAAGATTAGGATACTTGTCTTCTGACCCAATTCCTAGGAAAAGAGAGTTGAAGACGGTAGCCGCCTGGGCGAGAAGCAAAAATGACACCACCATGGGAGGCAGAGCCCAGGATTTGATTGCTTGGGCGTACTGGCGATATGATGTCCAAGAGATTGTTCCTTGTGCCCATTCCTCATCTATTACTAGCTTCTTCACCTCAGCCTTATTTGTGGGATCGGTCTCTTCTCCTTCTGTGTCATCTTTGGGTACTAGTTCTGCTTCTCCATCAGCGTCTTTCCCTCCAGATTCGCCGCTGGAAGAAGAGTCGTGAGTAGATCCAAATTGGCTGATCAGGGTCTGGAAAGTTCCGCTTGCCGACATCGGTTGCTATAAAAGCTGTCAGATATGGCATTAAGATGATGAGAAACTATAGTATCACCTCATAAGTCCCTTGTTGAATGATATGTCCATCGCCCTTCTCATCTTTTCCCATCACGAGGATGACATCAGCATGATGCAACATGTCCAAATGATGCGTTACAAGAACACGTGTGCGATGGCTCAAAGGCCCGTTGAGAATGCAATTGTGAAGGAGATGATTCCCGACGTGAGCATCCACTGCTGACAGCGGATCGTCGAGAAGAACGACAGACGCCTGAGAGTAAGCTGCTCGGGCAATACAGATGCGCTGTCGTTGTCCACCAGAAAGTGTAATTCCTCGTTCACCTATTTCAGTCCTGGACGCTCATCAGTTCAAGTATCAAGAAGCCAGGCTTTCGCTTACAGAACGCCTTGAGGCCACATATTGACATCACGCCTCAAAGCGCACGCCCCAATGACTTCTTCTACACGGTTCAGATCAACGTCTCCAGATGCACTAGAAAAGGTAACGTTATCTCTGATAGACCCCGATTGTACCCAGGCGTGTTGGGGGACTGTAAGGTCATATCAGCGCCCACAAGGACTATAGCTGTTCGGAATAGATATACCGTAGCTGACACTCCCACCGAAAACTACTTCGCCTTCGGTACGTTTCATCTCGTTGAGAAGACCGGAGAGAAGGGCCGTTTTTCCGGTACCTACGCTACCTACCACGCATACGAGAGAGCCTCGGGGTATCTGTAGATCGATGTTCTTGAGCGAAAATGGTGTATTACTCGCGGTATTGGGGTCGACTTTCGCGCCAGCTTTGTCGGGGCTCGCTGTCTTCATGCTGAAAGCTGGCCTACACTTCGATTCCATACCTCGAAGAAGTGTCGATTCCTATGACGTGATCGAGCTCCTCGGCCTAGACAAAAGCTACGTCAACAGGTAGGCTCACTCCGGAGCGCAATTGATATACTGACCTCAAAAAGCGTAGATAGACGATCTGCAGATATGTTCAGCCTATTTGCTAGCCGCTTCTCACTCGATTGAAAATTACGTACCGACGGCGACTTTGCCCTCGCTGAAGCTAGAGAGGAGTTGTGGAAGCATTGTCAACGGTACTCTCATAATGTTGAAGTACTGCAGAGACGAGAAGATGACCGCCGCGTTTAGCGTGTGTCCGCTGAGAGAGTAGGTGATATAGCTGTTGTTAGAAAAGTTGAATCAGGAATTAGTGTTCACTTACTGATAGCCGCGAGCGTAGGTATGAATGTGACAATCATGTTCAGGCTCGACTTTCCGACACTGTTCGATCTACGTTTCTGCAGCTCCTCCTTTCGCATATCTTCAATCCTGTCCGCCCAAAGCTTTTCGTAAGCATACAATTTAACAGACCTGATGTTGTTAAGGACTTCGGAAAGCAGGCGGACGCGACTATCCATGACTTTTGTTTGAGCTTTGCGGAGTCGGGAGATCCGCTTAAACATAAAGGTCTGGTATGGACCGATTAGTGCAAGGACGCCGAGACCGACCAATGCGGAGTATCCCATGTTGTTGATCAAGAGCGCTGTACCGAGAACGATGGAAATCGGAGCAGATGTCATGTTAAGACTTATCGGACAGAGCTGTTCCTGCGCCGAAGGTCATATCAAGATTCCGGATCTAGAATCATGGAATCTGCACTTACGATAGAGGCGCAGTCCACTGATACCATAGTTGTTAAGCGACCATTGGTCATCTCTAACCTTGATCCACTGCAAAGTCTTCTGCGTTGTTATTTAGCGCCGTTCACTCGAGTATGTTGAAAGATCCTGACATGGACTTGCGAGAAATCATGGTAATGAGCTAGTATAATGTGAGACGGGCGGATATTATGATATCCGATAGAGAGAGATGCAGGCTTACAGAAGACCTCAGCTTTCTTCCCATGACGAGTGCCTCATAGTTTGTATGATTGCTCATGAACGATGACGCGAGAAGCATCAACCACAGGCCGAAGGCTACTCCGACCATGTATCCAACCGATTTTGGGCGCTGTGAGTCATCCGGAGACAGCCCGGAGGTTGTAGCTTGGTGGTAATTGTAAGCGGCGGTGAGTTGAGTGATGAGGATTTTGCTGACGAGGGGGGCGGTGATTTGGAGGACCTCTGCCTTCATGTCAACGTTGTACTCCAAAAAGCGACTGTGTCGCTGTCGGATGCTCTTTTGGGGCGACTTACGGGCTGCTCCTTGGATGGTGTTGTTATATGTGATTGTTCTCCACACGGAAAGATATAGAGCTTTGACCAAACTCCGATCATACACGTGCCCATCCTCAAGAACCACATCCCCATTTCTTACCTTCTTTTGCAATCGTCCGGACAGATTCTGTTCGGATTCTGCCTTCCGAGTCTGTTTTTCAGTAGATGAAGATGAGGTGTTATGATCGGGTGCAGATGTTGAGCGATACTTGGCGGGACGTTGTGAAGGAGGAGTACGTTGCATGTAAAGTCGCTCGAGATTGTCACCAAGCTAATCAGCGACTTCAGCGATGTATACCGACAAATCCGGTAGCCGCTCAGCAACATGAGCTGAACACGCAGTTGAGACTCACATTCTGACAGCTAAAGTCAGGCGTAATATCATATATATCTGTACAGCAACAATGTCAGCTGACGCCGTGCAGAACTCGGCCCTCGCTGGACTACTGACCATCTTGTTTGAGAGGCCTCGACCACGCAAGCTTCATCATAAGCGCAATCCATTGTCCAAAAAGCCTGCTGCAAAGGCCAGCGCTGCTATACGGTAGGGGCTCGTCCTTGAAAAGTGCTGGCGGTGCAGCATTGGGTTTGTAGAAGGGGATGATCATCGTACTGATGATGCGAGAGTTGTGAGAGGGATGGATGAGGTGGTGTGGGGCAGGTTTTGAGGGTATGTGTTGGACCGGGGCTCGAAATAGATAGATAGTTATGCTATGTGTAGGTTTGCTGAGCTTATATTTTCGTACTCAGCGACGTTCTGCAAACGAGGCATAGAGGATGGTGCTCAAAGGTATCCGACTTGCTTTACGATCATCTCCTTGTCGATGTTTGAAGTCGTCCTTTGTACGTGATCCAAAGGCTTTGTGAGAGAGAAGAGGTTGACAGAAGACGGATGACATAGGAATGCATGAGTACGGTGTATTGGAGTTTGGAGGAATGATCTGTCAAATGGCTATGGGGATGATGATGCTCGGGCACGGAGGGAGGGAGGATTGTCAGTGGTTTGTGTGTATTTGGGGGTGGTAAAGAGAACAAGAAAGAATTGGGGATCGAAGCACAGCACACGGTCCATACGCGGCTGCTCAGCCAAATGCGAGCCAAACAATCAGTCACGTGCAGATTGCAATGCCCATTAGCGGGATCAAATCCAAACTGGTGACGTCTACACGTCGTGTCGTGTCTTTCCTCTTTCTTCCAGTCTCTCCTTCTCCTACAACTCGTCAAAACGCCGCCACCCGCCATGTTGCCGCGACTCGCCACCTTCTCAGTCGCCTTTCTGGCACTCTTATCACCCACCCTCGCCGCCAAGGAACCGGAGGACTCGTTGGTCGGCGTCATAGAAAGGGTTCGTCTTCTCTACCCTCTGTGCGCGTCGGTACTGACTTGGATGGCAGACTGTCCCCCTACGGACGCACTCGCTGGCGGCTCCATATGTGGATAGTGATTTGCAAAATAGATGGTAAGCTGCGTCGCGTGAGGGGTGCCTAAAGTTGAGACTGACGCTTTTTGAAGGTGGGATTTCGGGGGCGACACCATTATCGTGAGGATACTTTGCTGGATACAAGCGTTCTAGCTGACACTTGTCCAGAATACTATGAAACACGCCCGTCTCACACAAGATCGCCCATCCCAACAAGGCTGGCTCTGGGCCCGAATGCCCTTGAGCGTTGCCAACTGGCAGATCGACGTCGACTTTAAGGTAGACGGCAAGGCGAACAATATCTTTGGAGATGGGTTTGCGATGTGGGTCAGCCAGGATAGGGCAAAGACTGGGCCGGTGTTTGGAAGTGTCAACTTTTTCAAGGGGCTTGGTATCTTCTTTGACACGTGAGTTTGAATCTTGAAGGGAAGGGGAGAGAGCTGATGGGTAGGGTAGGTACGCAAACACTAAGCATGGATATTCTTTTCCTCGTGTGAGCGCTATGCTGGGGGATGGGAAGACGGGATACGACCAGGATACCGACAATGAGGCGAATGAGCTCGCGGGGTGTTCTGTGAGTGCCCTTGGATGGTCGAATATTGTGCGCGACTGACAAACCCGTAGGAGAACTTCCGACGACGCAACGACGTCCCGACCAAAGCTCGACTGACATACATCAAGGGAAAGGTTCTGCAGGTGAGTCTGGTCGTAGTCGTCTTCGGTCGTTGCTGACTAGTCTGCAGCTCAAGCTTCAAACCCGGAAAGTCGACGAGTGGAAGATCTGTTTCGAGACCAACGTCGACCTCCCCGAGAGCCCATACATTGGCTTCAGCGCTGCCACAGGAGATGTATCCGACAACCACGAGTGCGTTCTCCCTTGAAAGGCTTTAGGCTCTACTGACGCTTGCGATCAGTATCATCTCCGTCTCTACCCACTCCGTCACCGTCAAACCCGAGCACCGAGATATCAAGCAGGCTCTCGGCGCGGACGCCAACAAGAGCGGCAAGGGAAGAAAAGCGGATAAAGCTAGTGGGGGAGGCGCCGGATGGTTCATGTTCATTCTCAAGGTGCGTCTGCGGCGTGAACAAGTACCGTTGACTGTGCTGACTGGCGATTGTAGTTTATCGGTGTGCTTGCCTTCATCGCGTTTGGTGTTGCCGCTTTCGTACGTCATCACCTCGGATTTGTATGATCGATTGCTGACCCCTTTTGGCAGAGGACTTACAACGCTCAGAAAATATCAAAGAGGCATTGGTAGAGGGATGGCATCTATGGACAGAAGTAACGAAATATGATGCATGGAATGACAGGTCGCTGTTGATTAGTACGCAAGAGATACGTATGTACATGCTCATCTCCTCGGGGAACGCCTTCTCTGGCCGATCTATCATTTCGAGATCTTTGCACTGTACGAGTACGAGTACAGAATCGACAGATGGGTGAGAATGCATTACAAAAAGAAGCTAATATTATGACGGCCGATTACAACCGCGTCCTAATGACTCGCGTTCAAAACAAACAAATCGACTCTTTGTCGTTCCTCCATTCTGCTTTCTACCAATCCCCCCACCATGTCCGATCCGCCAACCACCATATCCCTCCCGCCCTCCCTGCCATACCCCATCACCATCACCCGCCTCATCGCCAACCCCGGCGACCCTTTACGCCGGGGATCTCGGCTACTCGAGTATTCCTTCATGTCGTCTGACCAGCGAGAACGGATATCAAAGAGACGAGCGCAAGGACGAGCGGCGGATAAGGGGAAGGGAGAGATTGGAGGGGATGATATGGTGGGGTCGTGGGATAGTTTGATTGAGGGAGATGCTGTGGCGTGGAAAGGCGCGAAAGTCGGGCTGGTGGTTGAGAAGAGGGACGCGAGGTATGTGTCCTCTTCGAACAAATGTCCCTTACTGATACACCTTCAGCAATATAGTACTCAGTATCCAGCAAGCATGCTCCCATCCTGTTCAGCTTCATGGAATGTGCGGTGTCTGTGGTGCCGATCTGACGGCGTTCGTGATCTTGCTCTTATACTCTGTGTCCGCCCGCTCATGTTGTGCTTTAGAGACGACTATCTATCTCGCCCCGCCCAGAATACATCCCAAGCAGGCCCCTCCCGCCACCCTGGTGGATTCGAGATAGCACACGACTCTATGGGAGTCACAGTCTCGAAAAATGCACGTTTCGCCCTCCTTTCTTTTGTCAAGCCGCAGCTAACGTCTTTGTAGGAGGCTCAACGGCTCGAGAACCTTACTAGAAACACCCTCCTCGACACCCGCCGACTCTCTCTCATTGTCGATCTTGACCAGACAATTATCCACACGACTGTAGACCCCACCGTTGCCGAATGGATGGAGCAGATAGAAAGGCAGAAGGAAAGGGATGCAAAGACGGAAGCGGGGGTGGAGAGCACTACGCCTCCGGGCTCGCCGACTGCGGGGGGATTAGGGGTAACGGTGAAGCCGGAGGAGAGGAATCCGAATACGGAGGCATTGGACGATGTTGCGAAGTTTCAGATCGCGGATGACTTGCCGGCAGAGTACGCCAAGCTCAAGAGCAAGGCCGGACCGGGGAGTAAACCTGTTGAGAGAGAGGGGAGGTGGTACTTTACCAAGCCTAGGTGAGTGTTATACTTCAAGCCTCGGGGACTAGCTGACCATCTTGTGACAGGCCGGGTCTGCAAAAGTTCCTCGATGAGATGTCGGAGTTGTACGAAATGCACGTCTACACCATGGGGACGAGGACATACGCCGATGCGATTTGTCGGGTGATAGATCCCGATGGCAAGATCTTTGGCGGTAGAATATTGAGTCGAGATGAGAGCGGAAGTGAGTAAAGAAGCGCCCGTTCTTGCAGATTGACAGCTGATGATACGTCAGGCTTCAGCTCGAAAAATCTCAAGCGTTTGTTTCCCACCGATACTAGTATGGTTGTAGTCATTGACGATAGGTCTGACGTATGGGGAGATTGCCCCAATCTGGTCAAAGTCGTTCCTTGTGCGTATAAACCACTATTACATATATCATGGCTGATGTCGTATAGACGATTTCTTCCTCGGTATCGGCGATATCAACTCGTCATTCCTACCCGCCAACAAATCTACTCCCCCGCCATCGTCTGCCGCCAAATCCTCTCCCTCTCCTTCCGCTGCCTCGCCATCCCCCCCTTCTCCTTCTCTTACAGTGGGCGAAAGTGCCGCTTCGACTCCTTCACCTACGACACCCTCGTCCGTCACGGCGGAGGTCGAGCCGACGAGAGAAGAAGAGTTGGTGATGAAGGCAAAGTTGATGGATCAAGTCAGTAGCGAGCGACCTTTGGCCAAGCTGCAGGAGGAGCTGGAGCATGCGGGGGAAGGCGTGGGGGGAGAGAAGGTTGTGAAGGAGTTATCGGCATCGACAGAGTTGAAGGAGAGGTCGACTTCGCCGAGTAAAATCCCCAAACCTCTACTCAATCCTCACGACTACGAACTCATCAGAGTTGCGGACGTGAGTCTCATGCCATCAGCTCTCTGGTCTGTACTGACATGAACGTAGATCTTGACCGAAATACATGGCCGGTTCTACAGCGGGTTCGACGCCATCGAGAATTGGAAGCCGACGAACGCTTTGCCTATGAATTGTGATGTAGAGGTATGTTTCTCGGATATGACATGTCGCGTCGACTAATATAGCCCCTAGTTTATCATTCCCGAGATCAAAGCAGAAGTTTTGGAAGGGTGCAACCTTGTCTTTTCTGGCATGATTCCTCGGGAGGTGAACCCGGCCAAGTAAGTCCCCCATCTATAGCGAAACGACAGCTGACGTCCTCTCGCAGTACCACCATCTGGCAAACAGCAGAATCCTTCGGCGCCCTGATAACCCCCTCACTCACCCCTCGCACCACCCACCTCGTCACCGCTGTTCTCAATACCGAAAAGACATGGCGCGCTTCCAAGATGCCGCATGTCAGTACTGTTTGGGGAGAGTGGTTTTGGGATAGTGTGGCGTTGTGGAAGAGACAGGATGAGGGGAAGTATCTGGCAAAGAAGGAAGGGAGCGAGCCGGAGAAGGAAGAGAAGAAGGGCGAGCAAGTTCCCGAGTCACAGCCCGAGGGTGGGGCGGAGCAAATGAAAGGAGAAGAGGGGGAGGAGAATGAGGATATGAACGACGATACCCAAGTGGGGACTGGGTGGGACGAGGAAGCGGAGAAGGAATGGGAAGATTTCATGGCGGGCGAGGATGATTGGTCGGAGGATGGGAGTGTGGCGGCGAGCGAGGCGGGGAGTGTGAGGAGTATCGGGAGTGCTCCGTCGACGCCTAGTCGGAAAAGGGTGAGGTATGCGGATGAAGAGTCGTTGCCGCTGGAGGACTTTAAGGACCCGTCGCCACAGGAGTAAGTCTGGTGCTACGAGGTGTTGGGACTATGGGCTGACTTGGCGTGTAGCTCGCTCGAACCCGAGCCAAAACGGCGCAAACCGCTCCTTCTTGAAGACGTAAAGCCAGACGACGACATCCCGGAAGCGAACCGAATGCAATACAAAGCGAAGGGGTCATATGGAAAAGGCAAGGATGAGGCGAAAGGCGAACAAATTGAGGCTGGGACGTCGGGAGTGGACGACGACAGTTTTAGCGTTGGGGGAGGAGAAGGAGATGACGAGTTTGCGCAGATGGTGAGTCGACTTGATGGCGTGGTAGTGCTTGACTAACGCAGTCGTAGCTCATGGATAGCTTGGCCGATGGCGAAGAGGTCGCAGACGAAGACGAATAGGGGGTGTCGTAGCTTGTTGTGCCGTTGCATATGTTGTAACACCGAATTTCACAGTAGCATCTCTGTCCCATCTATGCATTGTCATCGTTTGGAAGTCTTCTCGTACTGCTAATGGGATTGTGATGGCTTGGGACTGGTTTGGAGGTGGACGGGCGAGGTGGAGGCATGTGCCTGGTCGATCGTTGTTCGTTTCCGCTCTCTTTTCGACATTTGTTTTCCATCTACATTCACCAAAAACTACCCACTGCGTCCACCTTCCAACGCCGACTCGACTCTGTCTTCCTATACACCTCTTGAATTGCAAGCCTCCCGGCAAGAATGGCTTCCATCCTCCTGGGCGAGCCCAACACCCTCCCAACCGATCCCATCGTGCCCGGGACCGAAAAGAAGAAACGCCAAATTCCCAAAGTCGCGTTCTATGTCGCTGGATCTGCTGTACGCCCCTCTCTCTTTCTCCTCCTCCAGGGATCATGAAGAAGGCTCAGGCTAATGCGGGATACAGTTTGTCATGACGATAGGCCTAACGGCGATGGTCATCCCTTACGTCCGTCAAGCTGCTCGGTCGATCAATAGACCAGAGTTCATGTCGAATCGGCATATGCCTATTTTGGCTTCTCGCAAATACCCTTCACCCCTTGTCCCTCCTTCAGCTTCGGATGCCGTCTCATCATTAACATCAGCATCGGCACCGCTGGGGGGAAAGGCAAAGGCGTCGGCGCTACCGGCGTATTCGCATCCGACCTTCGCAGCCGAAATGCCCATCTCCGAAGAAGACATTTTGAGAGAAGAAGCAGCCAAGAGTCGGTTGTTCAATGCTAGGGAAGAAAGATCGCTTTTCGGGGGATCGTTGATGCTTCAAAAGAAGGACGGGTACGCCCTCGGAGAAGGCGAGGAAGAAGGAGAAGGGGGAGAGGGAGGGGAAGGAGGGAAAGAGGGGGATAATATGGAAGGAGCGTTGTTGGGGGCGAAAGCGTTTGGAATAGCGACGGGGATCGTGTTTGGGTGTGCGGGGTTGGGGATGTGGATTGTGGGAAAGGCTGTGGGTGCTGAAGATGTAAGTCTCTACTCTTTTTCTTGTCTTGCGAGGAAGCTGATGGGAACGGTAGCCGGAAGACTTTGCAGTCAAGATGCGGCAACAGCTGGTGACGTCCATGCCTGCGCTGGTGACGAGTGTGAACAAGCCGGGGAGGAGTGTGGATGGGCTTGATGGGCAGGCGATTGAAGAGTGGGTGGAAGGGTTGGAGAGGGAGGATGAGAGGCCAACATAGACGGTACACGTCGTCATGAATCACTTATTCATAATGCTACACTGCTATACTTTTTCTATCCCGCTACAGTGTTGTTCCATTGCTACAGCGTTCTCGTTCCCCGATCTTCTACTTTCGGTGCTTCCAAGCCTCGTCATTGCCTTGCCTCCTACAATCGCGAGTCAGCTTGTCTCTCAACACAAACACGTCAAGACGTACCCCATTTCAGCAGTCGGCTGGGTGTTCCTTTCAGCCAAAGTACCGTCCTTGGCCTGCTGGGAGAGGACGGGGTGAGGAGGGTCGACGGCGGAGCTAGAATAGGGAATCTGGCTAGAGGGCTTTAGGTTGGAGGGCGCGGGTTCGGTGGCTTCTGCAGAGTAGTCGGATTCGAGGTGAGGGGGGAGAGCTTCGGGGGGCGCGCCCTGCAAACATGTTAGCTTGGGATACCTGGTAGGAGAGAAGGGGGGGGGGGGCTTACGGTAGCGGCGTGGCTCTCACTGTCATGATGAGTCTTTGCATACTGACCAGAAGGGGGCGAGTAGGCTCTCCTTGCAGCGCTCATATGAATCTTTCTCGTCTGCTGTGCGCTCCCGCCCTTGCCTTGGTGGCTGGGAAGATGAGGGTCATCGGCCGCGTTACCCTTGCCCTTGTCGGGGGTGGACGGAGAGCTGTGCTTGAGGTGATCGTTCTGATCGCCCGGGGTGGACTCTTTCGGGGCGCGGGAGCCAGGGGCGTCGGGGGATGTGGGCTCCGCAGCGGGTTGGTGGGCGCGAGCAGAAGTGTGAAAGTTCTTTCCTTCCTATATCCCTTGTCAGCGATGTTTCTTCCCACCAAGGAAGGAGAGACATACCTCGCGAAGCTTTCGCAAACCTTCGAAACCTTGTCCCTGGTTGGTATTCTTGAGCCCCTGGGTAGCCGTGTTCTTGGCAGCAGGCTCTTGCCCCCCGAATTCCACGCCTTTGCCGCTACCTTCCTGCCCACCGACTTGGTCCTTGAAAGCGCCAGACTGACCCTTGTCGACGCCGCTTGTTGCCTGCGTCTTGGAAGCCTTTGCCTCGCCGCTGCTACCGCCTTGACGGGCAGCATCGAATGGCTGATCCTCACCTGAGCCGTTGGAAGAGTGCTTTTCGGCGTGGGCGGCGTGGGCCGAGGAGGCCTGGGGGTCGTCGGCGTCTTTGGTGGAGGTGTGGCCCTGGGTGGTGGGGGGGCCCTTGTTGAGGCGGGCGGGGGTGGTGGAGAGGAGGCGGAGGTTGCCGCGGGAGAGGTGTCTGGGTGCGAGGCGGAACATGGTGCTGATGGAGATGCAGTCGAGTCTTGAGGTGGAGTGGCTCATAATCAAATGGGAAGATGCCCCTGCGTCATCTCGGTGACCGCCGGTGACGCACCCGGCCTCTTCACCGTCCGGAGTGGACATCGCCGCCCCCTTCCATCTCTTCTGTCCATCTCGACAATGTTTACACCCGCCCCGCCCTACGTCCACGCTCCCCCCACTGCCGCCCGTCCATCCCTCACCACCCTCCCCGTCCATCTCGTACACCGCATCCTCCTCCTCACCCTCGACCAACAAGCCACGCCGAGCCGTTTCTGGTCTGATGCCGAGGAGGAACGAGTCAGGAGACTGTGGGCGCTCTTTCGTGGGCTGAGAGGTGTTAGTAGAGTGTTCTGGCTAGGTAATGTGGCGAAATTTAGGAGCTGGGACCGAGACTGATCCATGAACAGTGGCGACATCGATACTCCGAGCACATTACCTCGCCCCTTTCCTCAACCTCATCAAACCCGGCTACTCGTCCGACCCATTCCCATTCGAATCATCCCACCTATCGGACCCCTCTCTCTCATTCGACCCAAGCGCAGGGGGGAGTGTGTATGCAGAGAGGGGGAGGGAGACGGCCGTGCTTGATAGGTTTATAGCGGTGAGGGTCGGGGAGGAGTTGAGGAGGGTGGAGAGTGAGCTTTCGGAGGGGAGTGGGGCGGAGGTGGATATCTTCCAGAGGTTGCAGGTAAGCCTTTTGCCATGCTGATTCTTGGATTTTGTGAAGGCTGGGTTTTATGAAGGCTGGGTTTTGTGAAGGCTGACGAGATGATAGCCGGCTGCGAGGATCGAAGACCTCTTATCGACCCTTCCCCCTCACTTTATAACACCCACCTCCATCCTCCCCTCTCCCCCACCCCCAAAGCGCACTCTCCCACTACCCCAAGCACTCGTCAGTATCTCTCTAACGCCGAATTGGGCGCAAGTGTGGATCAATGCGCAGGTGGTGAGTTTGGCGAGGAAGGGAGGCGGGAAGGAGATGGTGCTTGAGGTGAGGAGGGTGGGGACTTTGGAGGGGGTTGTGGCGAGGATTGGGGAGGGGTTGGATGATTTGAGGTTGGGGTTGGTGGGGTGGGGAGGGAGGGTGCAGTGATCAGTGTGTGTGTAGCATACGAGTAGTGACGGACTGTACGAGCAGTGAGATGTACGAGTAGTGAATTGTACGAGTAGTGAATTGTACGAGTAGAAACGTTTTGTAAAAGTAGTGGAATGTACGAGGAGTATCGAACTGTACAAGTAGTTCAACTACCCCCATCTTGTCGCCCGCCAGCTGCATGTCATGTATGTCATGACGTTATATGAGGCTACATGTAATGGAAACAGCTCAAAAATGACTCAAGCACGCTCTAGTAATGCAAAAGAGCATCTACAACTTTCCTCTTTCCTTTCCGGCGCCACAGCGCCACTCGGGTGCTCGACATGAGATGAGATATGATATATTGGTGATAGACATTTGTGATATGCGAGGGAGGCAAGGGAAGGGGGAGGGGAGAGAGGGAGGGGGATCATTGGAGGGGTTCGCGACTGAGGGGGCGTTAGTACGCGATAGAGCGATAGGAACAGGGGAGAGAAGAGAGAGACGAAGAGAGACGAAGAGAGACGAAAAGAGACGACGACGAGAGTGAGAGGAGATGAAGGAGAAAGAGACGAGCTAGAGAAGGGAGAAAGAGAAAGGAGTCAAACAAAGGGAAGGAAACATGACGAACCTCGAAGACAATTTGTTGAGCGAGATGTAAACGTCCGTGCCATAACCATCCATCGACACAATCCTCAGATCACCTCCAAAGAATCGAGCGTACTGCACGACATGTAAGCAGATCTCTCGCGCGCATGCAGAAGGAGGACGTACAAGTCTTGACAAGGGGAGTCCGTATCCGAAGCCAGCCATGGGCGCCTTGAATTCTGACATTTGCAAGTGATCTTCTAGCCCTTCGTCGCTCATTGTCGTATAGAGATACCTGCGAGGGTCGTTAGTACATCCCCCCGGCCCCTCGAGAAGATTCGAACGACTCACGTCCAGATCTGCGGCAGCGCACTCCTCGGTATTCCCCCACCCTCATCCGAAATCTTGATTGTAATATCCTCCCTCCCCTCCACCACCACCACCTTGATCGGGGGGTACAACTCATCATTGTCCCTCCCGAATCTCTCGACGATAGCGCGAAGAGAGTTTTTGAGGAGTTCGAAGCAGATGTGGGAGAGGTGGCCGGGGATGTAGGGAAATGTGAGGGAAGGGGGGCAGACGAGTTGGATGGAGGGGGATTTGAAGAGGGAGTAGTGTTCTTCGCAGACGTAGCGGGCGTTGTCGATCGCTTCTTGGCAGATGTCATGCACATTCTGCGAAAGTGTCAGTTTGGGGATAGGAGGAGAGGGGGTGGGGGCGTACGGCTTTTGTACAGATGATGCCGACGTAGTCTGGATGGGGAGGTAGCGTATTGAGAGCGATATCTGATCCAAAGTCAGCTTCCCCGTCTCACAGCCGCAGGGGTACTCACGTTGACCAAGCAAGAACCGGATTCCAATCCTGCTCATGTAGAATCTATCCAAAAACTCCTGTATAGGCGTCCCAATAGCGTTCGCCCTCTTCAGCCTCTTCCACTCCAAAACTCCTTGCGCGACAGTCGTGACCGTCGGGTCGTGGCGATGCTTGATGTCTTGCAGGAGATGTGTAAACTTTTCATTGTATTCGTGGACTTCGGGGGGGTATATGATGGTGGTTGGAGGGGGTGAAAAGTATCTAGAGCGAGATCAGCGCTAGGCAAGGCGATAAGAGGAGTGATGGACGCACCTTCTTTCGATCGGTATTCTCAGCCGTTTCCCAAGTCCGCCCGTCCCCAGATGCTTTTCTGATACGAATCCTGATCCTACTGGTCCTTCGCGCATGAGAGGGTCGAGAGAGGGGTTGGGGGTGGCAGGGGGAAAGTTTGACATTCTGGCGGTGGTCCCGTTAGCGTCGGGACACATGGGAGGCAGCGTGGCGGGGGTGAGGAGGGATGGACGTACGGGGCAGGGGGTATTCTTAGTATTTCTTCGAGCTCGCCATTCAGTTTGGGTCTTGGGAAGGAGATGAGTTCCTATGAGGACCGTCAGCTCGACTTTTCTACAGCTCTCGACGCTCCACAGAATGACACTTGTGCCCCCGGAAGAAACTCACCTCGAAACTCTGCGCATACCACTCCTTCACAGTGTTGATACTCGGCACATGGTTGAGACCGTCCGGCAGACCTTCAAGCTCCACGACACGATGTGATAGGCGGATGGGTAGTTCTTCGGAGAGGAATTGGGAGGCTTTGAGGAGCGTCCCTTGCGAGGGATTTTGGCCAAAGAGGATCATTTGTTGGAGGGACACTATACACCAGATCAGCGCGCTTTGAGGCATCGATTGGGATGATACACACCACCAGCCTGGGGGAATGACGCAAAGTGATATATCTTGTCCCATAAGGCCGGTGAAATCTTGAACTTGGCCATGGCGGGCGAATGAGGATGGGCGGAGAAGAATGGAGAAGCAGAGGTGTGGTGCAGATGTGTTTCGGGGTTTGAAGGGGCAGGTCATGCGATTCTCAGCTTTGGGATGGATTTGCGAGACGAGATGCAAACGATCTTTGGCGGTGACTTCCCGACTCGTTGCGGAGATCGCCCAATCTCCGCGCGGCATCAAATCAAATCAATACTCCCGTTGCCGCCGTTCTTCATCTCAGCATCCATCTATATCCTCCCACATCGCCCCTCGCCCCTCGCATCTGGCCCCTCCCCGCCCCCCCCTCCCTCTCCCAGCCAGTCAGGGTAAGTAAGTTCTATCTCCTCTACCTCCCTCTTTTGCTAACCTCAACGGTAGAATTCGGCACGACAGGCCGTTCGGACACTCGTTGGTCATCGGTGTGACCAAGGCTATGCAGAGTGACCAGGTGTGTCGATTGACTTTGTCTTGTCACTGATTGTCAATGATCTGATCATGTTATTGTAGAACAACCTGATGTCTGGTCTTGGCTTTGCCTCGCAAACGCTAAGCTATTCTGGTCCGCCAGAAAGGGAAGGAGCGTGGAGTCTCCTCACCTCAGACTAACAGAGTCTCTCTCACAGGCGTCGTACGCACCTCCGCCACACGGTTCATTCGCTCTCGCTGCCCCAACCATCATAGACCAGCCAGCGCCCCAGCAAACCCGCCAAAATCCTCGCCGACACGGCGACGCACCTCTGGACGATCCCAATCACGTCGTTCCCAGCCAATCCCCGCTGACTCCTCCTCCTCCTTCCGAACCGCCCGTCCCGATCTCACCCGTCGTCGATGGAGTTGCTCGTGGAAGCCTCCAGTCCGAAGTCGGCAACGGTACGAGTCAGTCGAACCCTCCTCCCTCTATCCACGACATCCCGTTGGGCGACAGCCACGCCGTCCCTCAGGATCTTGTTCATGGAGCCCACTCAGCTGCGCCCACAGTCGAATTCTGATGCAGCAAAACCGTTTCCTCATGTCTTCGATTGCCGATATGAGAGACGAGATGCGGGGGGTGAAGATAGTTACATAGGGACTTTGGAACTCATTGGTGCTGTGTAATTAGGCTTTATGTAAGGCGATGTCGAAACAGAAGGAAAAAGACAAGACAGCCATACTCGCCAAGTCGATAAAAAAACCTTCCTCGCCTCTAGCTACTCCCTCACATCCACATCGTCCTCGCCCTCGCCTTCACCAACTCGATCCCCACCCTACTCTGCAGCCCGTCCCACACCTCCTTCTCGAGACACTTCCGCCAACTCCTCCACTCGACCGCCGTCTCTTCACCCATAAGCCTACCCGCAGAAAGAACAAGGGGGCGAAACGCCCCCCCGTAAATCCTCGGCGCCTTGTCCACCACCTCGGCATCCCTCTTCGTCAACCACGCCACGATCCTTCCCTGCACCAATCCATCCACTCCATCCCTGCCGGCTTCCTGTCCACCACGTAAACGCTCTTGTCCTCTAACCCGTACACCTTGAGGTCGTAGTCGACGTTCCTCATCTTTCCTCCCCCTCCTCGCACCCTAAGATCATTCCTCCTTCGCCCTGTTTGAGTTGACGGCTCGAGGGAGACGACGGCGCCGGCGACACGGGAGAGGTAGGTGTGAAGAACTCGGTTGATCGAGTCGTGTAGGCGGATAGATCAAGTCTCGCGGAGGCGGCAGACTTCGTCGTGACCGAGGTCGGAGTCGTTGGCACATGCAGCGCAGACGGGGGAGTAGGCGGGGGTGAGGAGTCGGTAGTGTAGACCAGCAGCGATCTCGTGGTTGGATAGACGAAGGGGTTCGAAGTAGGGTATCTGTCGGAGCCAAGAGCGCCCAATCTTCGACGCGTTTTCGACAAGGTGTTTTCGCTCGGGCTGGGTCGCCATCTCCATGAAGGAAGACAGCAGCTCGGACCACAGCTTGGCACACCGAACGCGCTGGGGGGTGGGGGTGGGGGGAGAGTCGGGGAGGTGGATGAGGTCGTTGAAAAAAGTGTATGGACCGAGCGTACGGTTCGATGGTGTTCTTGTCGCAAGAAGGTAACGAGACCCCTTGTGCATGTGACTGGACAGTGTTTGTCAGTATATGTACCAAGGAAGCACACCAAAGAAGAAGAAGACAAGGAACAGAGAGATCTTGAGAGGGCAATGAAGAATAATGATGAAGAAAGGCAGAGCTCACCTGGACAGTGTCCGTTAATATATGTATACGAAGCAAGCCAGGGGACATCGGGGTAGGCTTTGATGGCAGCTGTGGCGGACCTTGTATTGGACGAGGAGAGGGCGTAAAGTAGACCGATCTTGGGAAGCGCTAGGAAGTCGAGGAGGGCTGCATCTGGCGGGTGCGCCAAGTAGGCAGCGGCCCATCGAGAGGCGGCGTCGTAGAAGTGGGGAGTAAGAGCTGGAGGGAGGAGGACACTGGCCAGAATCAGTCAAGGTGAACACCAGAAACGAGAACGGATACGCACAGGGACACAGAGCTGTGAGGAGGCGGCGGGGAAGAATGGAGAGGCGGGAGGGGGAGAGAGATGGAGGGGGGGGTGAGGAGGGGGTGAGGAGGGGCCAGAGGCGGGGGGCGAGGGGGAGGCCGGGGTGGGAGAGTATAGGAGATGTAGAACGGCGGAAAGACAAAGAAGATGATAAGTAGCCCGGTGTAAGAGTTTAGTACAGACTGGTCAGCCAAAGATGTAGGAGGCTCCATTCGCTCCAGATTCGTTCCCACTTTTGACAAACTTTTGAACTTGAGAAGGTTTGCCGGGGCTTGGATGCATGAATCAGGTTTTGAAAACCATCGCCAAGGTGCCGCTGGTGTCAGGTCAATTCCCCGCCCTAGACTAGTTGGAATGCACGTCGATCAGATTCAAAAAAATTTGAAGTGGCAGCTGAAGATAACACAACGTGAAACGAAGGTTGAGTCCCCAAGTACTTGAAGAGGAGTACGCAGCTGTGCTTGGCTGAGGGGAAGGAGCGGTAGAGGCTAAAGAAGAAGAGGAGGGGAGAGAAGGAGGTCAAAGAGTTTCCTGTTGAAGTCTCTGTCCCAACACCCAGCCTTTCTTATACATATACATGAATGAGTGACGAGACGATAGACGGAGCGACTACGTGATACGACCGACTACGGCACGAAGCGAATAAGGGTACAGGTCTACCAGCGAAGGGTACGAAAAGTCTAAAGACAATAAGAAAGAGGAGACCGGTGGAAGAAATTCAGGGTAGCGACTATGGGCGTGTCGATGTTCGTCGGACATCTTTACTAGAGGAGAGGAAGAAGATGATAACGAGTGACGGTAACGAGACGGGGACGAGTAAAGCTAAAAGAGTTCGTGGGGCGCTAGCACGCTACATTTTGCTGTTGTATCTGAGCGACGCAACGTTGTGTGATGAACGATTGGTGGCGGTAGGTCTGGACACGACGCCGGTGATGTTGGTGGCTTGTAAATGGGGGTAGAAGTGAGAGTGAAGGGGATGTTGAGTGATGATCAGCTATCAGTCTGGCGGTGTCAGAGATCTCGCTTGCGTTCATGTCTCTCGTGATGCGATTCTTGAACCACTATTCGGCAGATTCTGTTCATAAATGTATTCGAAAGCTACTGACTGCATTGCATGGATCTCAACCTCCAGCAACATTCACAACAACAACCACTGCAACATTCACTGCCAAAGAGCGGCTAAATCGTCCCACAAGGGTATGAAAGGTCGTATAATGGAATCGCTACAGTCGAGACAATCAACAGAGAGCCTGATGGAAGGGAGGAAGGAAGGATGGGAGGGAGGGAGGGAGGAAGGAAGGGAGGGAGGGAGTCGGGGGGCCATATGGTTGGTGTGGGGGTGCTTGGGGAAGGATGGCTACCGGCGAGGCACCTCAGGCCGCTAACCAAAGGGCGTCAGTCTCTTAATAGGTCAAGTTTAGCCTTTCACCCACCCAAACCTTTGCGTAGAAGCACACCGGCCCACAGGATATTGGCAATCAGCCAAAGCACAGACCACCGCTGGGCCGAGAAGAACGGCAACGGGTTAGCTTTCTTGGCCCAATTTGCCCGCAGCCATTGTAGGTTGACAGATGGCAGAACGCCAACTAGCACACCGGTGACCGTAAGGCCCAGGGTCGTCCCGTGGGGCCAGCCTCTTTTCAGAAACGCACGCCATTAGCCTTATCGTGGGAAAGAGGGGGGGGAAGATCTTACCCGACGAGACACACGACAATGGAGTTGATGAATACAAATGTCGGAATGATGGCTAATGGTTGTGTCAGGTCTCGGAAATGCTAAAGAATGTACACCCAGAGAACGTACCCGTGGCCCAGAATGAGAGTTGTCGGTGATCGTCGATCTTTTTCTTGGCTGCGCTCCGCATGTCGTTGGCTTGTCCGAGAGGCAATGGGAGAGAGTCGATCATTCTGAACTCGTTCTCAATCCACTTGTTGTAGGCCCTCTGATCTTGGCCTGCTATGCCCTCAAAGATGCCCCTCAGCCACCCCTGAAATCCGCCAGCCCAGCCAGGCCAGGCAGTGGGCAACACGGGCACCAGTTCCCGCCAGCGGGGGACAAGCGCGAAGGAGAGTGAGGCGGGGCTTGCGACGTGCTGGGTGGTAGGATTGGCGACGTGTTGGGTGGTAGGGTTGGCGATGGAGCCCAGGACAAAGTCGTCGGGGGGGCGAGGGCGGGCGTCGTCTGGCTGAGTGGGAGGGGTGGACGGCATTGTCAGTGGTCGATCCGCGTTTGAGAGAAGGTGGAGAAGAGAGAAAGACGTTGAAGCGTTGTTTGGGACGAACGGCGGGGCGTGACCGCGTGTGCAGATCAACATCGGCACACCCCACTTTATGTCACACGTAGTAATTCCCTGAAGTGGCTTTGGCGCTGAAGTTGTGTGGATGGTTGACGGACGTGCGGTGTACATATACTCAATTCATATCTCGTTGTCTACTCTTTCTCTATGCGAAAATACCGAAAAGGTCTTTTCCCCTCCAAAATCACCTTTTCCAGTCCTCCCCCCTGCTGCGTCCCAGCAGGCCGTGACACTTTACCTCCATCAACCATATCATTACCTCCTTACCCGTCGCTGCTGCGTGTTGGCAATTTTGGCAATTCAGAATGCATGGTCATGAGATACATACCATTAAATGTTCTATAGCGGGATGCTCTATAGCGAGTGCCACAGTCAAAGTGCGCCGTGTCGACACTGCCTTCATGACGCGTGCGACGCGCGCTCGCATCTATCATTCAACATGGGCGTTGGCGCACTTACGTAACGTTCACCTGTAAGAAAAGTCACGTGCTCTGGCACACTCCAGCCTGACTCCAGCCCCAAGCGCTCACCATGTACAACGGAAGTTTGCCATCTACACATCATCCGCTTGTTTCATCGCCCAAATCTTCACATCAGGATGATCTCTCAGTGGGTTCACCCGCGCCAAGCAATTCTACTACGAGACCGGAGACAATGACACCCGCCCTCGCTTCATCTCCAATACCGACAGCCCGTATAATGATATCCTGCTTGCGGGCTCTTTAAACTCCAAAAGCTATTGCTTCGATGACTCAGTGGCACAATTGGGCTTCCAGTAACTATATCGTCCGGTTCAAGGACCCGAAGGGGTCCGCGGTATGTGCCTTCTCTGTTCCGGTGGCGAAGCACTGACGCGCGTTCGCAGATATCCCGCAGAGACTTTTGCAAGGCATGGGCCCTTTCCCGTCGGACAGTCGGTTTTCTAGGCGGCCTTAAATCATCAATACAAGACTGGGGTGTTGAACAGGAACATGCAGAAGATTTAGAGACCATCTCTGAGCTGCTCCGTAAAGTAAGTCTTGAATCCGGTAAAGCAGTATCAGCAGCTTATTCTTCCGCTTTGGAACAGTACGAAGCCTATTGGGGTAAGTCTTTCTCCGACTAGTCAAATCCCTTGTACATCCACTGATACCAATGGTAGACGAACTCAATTTTGTCAATGCAGCAGCATCAGTTCCTGGAACGGATCGGGTTATCTGCCCTTTTGCCCACGCCCCTCTCTCCCACCGACTACAAATCCCTCGTAATCAACCCCGGCAAACCTCGCTCTCGTAGATGGATCCTCAAAGGCGCGGACGATTACAATTGGGTTCCGCTCGAGGCTTATTTCAGATGTGAATCGCCTTTCAGTGCGCTATACATCTTTTAACGTCATGATACTGGAAACTACACGAAAGAGGTTTCGAGGATCGGTGGTTTTGCTATGTTGGGATAAGTGGGCCCGATCCGGTTGAGTACGATCTGTATCGCTTCCCGGGGGATGTCCCCATCAGCGAGAGTGAGTTGCAGTTGCGGAAAGAGTCAAAAGGTGAACACTATCGGGGAGCTTATTATGCGAATTTGGTGGATATGTGAGTCTGCTGATATCGATCATCGCGTTGTTCTTGCCTCATGGAGGTAGTTCAGGAGCTGCCAGTCCCCGGGGCTACGTTAGGTGAACCACGGATACAAGAATAGTCACGTATTATGACTGCCCGAATCAGAAGATGTAAGTCTTTGTTGTCCGAGTGTATATTCGGCAGAGTTTATATACCCTCTTCGCTGTCACTTGTCATATAGTCAGTCCGACTTTCATCAGTTCATCTCCCAATTCAACACTTCCTAACCCTCCGTCCCCCGCCAGTCGCGCGCCCTTACAACCTCTGCAGCAAGCCCCCCCTCCACCGCTACTCCAGCGCCCCTTTGTCTGTCCTGCGTCTTTTTGCGCCACGGCTCATCCGACACGTCCCGTACCCTCCAACAACCCCGCCCGCTCGGGGTCAGCTAGTGGAAGAAGCCCTGTCGAGCAGCTTGATGCGGCTTCTGGAGC